CCCGACGAACGGCAAAGCCTGCTCGCCAACATGCGGTCATCATCAGACGCACCGCAGAACCCTCCCGCCGAGGCGCAGGACGGGGAGAGGCAGCACATTGATAGCAACATGGCCAAGAAGATTGTCTGCTCCTTGGTCGTTCAAGCCACTTTCTTCTCTTTCGTCAAATCTGGTGTCTGATCATATCTAATGGTGACCCAAGTATCCGGGAGACCACCACGCGCGAGGGAAATTGTGTCCGAAATATTGTAGAGAAAATAAAACGAAAAAGAAATGTCGTAAACTCATCATCCAACAGATTCGTCATGCTGAAGAGGTATCCATGATAGAACAAAGCAGCAAACTTTTTTTTGGCAACGAAACAGCATATCAAAAGTCTGCCCTCTGCTCTCCGCCCCCTGATAGGTTGAGAGAGAGAGAAATGATTGCGTAAGGAAAAGTTCGTGACTTGTGGGAATCACTAGGCCGTAGAAGGAAGATGTGAAGAAGACTGAGAAAAGTCCAGAAACGTCCCGGGAAATGCACATGATGTCCCCATCGCATCCCCAGTGCTCACACAAGAGAAACCGACATATGCCCCTCATCGCAGATGGTAGGAGAGATTGATAGAGAGACGCCTTGGCAAGAAATGATTTTTGGAAAACATGGGAGATGCGTTGGTCATGCCATTTTGCCATCAAAAAAACAACTTTGGGGGAAAAAAACTCCACATAAGCAACCCCTTGGACCTTGTAACACTGTGGGTGCGACCGCACACAATGCGCCCGTTTCGAGTGAAATGCAATGTCACTCTCCAGCTAACCGGCTAGGGCTACGTCGTGAGTTGCAATTAGCCCTGGTACCCGGCGAACCCGTTGTTGAAGTTCTGTCCCTGGGGTCCCTGAGGCCACTGGGCGTTGGGTGGCTGTTGACCACGACCATAGCCTCCGGCACTCTGCGGTCCGCCGTATCCCATCGGCTGCGCTCCATAACCGGCCGGGGACTGAGCGGTTGGGCCGCCGTAGTTGCCATGCTGACCTCCGTATTGACCTGAAAAATACCGTGTTAGCTCAGTTTTCCTACGCATACTCCAACTTGTGGCCGAACACTTACCACCGTATTGCGGGAAGTAGGCAGTTGGGGTGCCGGGATACCCTCCCGGCCCGGAAGCGGCGCTTTGTGGGCTGTACGCCTGCTGCGAGGGGTCAAAGCCGGCGGCGGCGCCGCCTTGAGGGTTCGGGGTCTTGTCCTTGCCCCACTTGGCACAGAAAATGTCAGTGCGTGTTCTCCAAAGGGGTCCAGGAATTGGCTTAGGGGCAAACTTACGCTGCACTTCAGAGGGCGACCATTAACATTATAGCCGTTCATTTGGCAGATTGCCATGGCTGCACTCTCGTGGCTGTCCATCTTGATGAACGCGAATCCTCGGTCCGCCTGGAAACGAGATTCGACGACGTAGCCAAAGTTTTGGAAAAGAGGGACAACGTCGTTTGGCGTGGTGTAAGGGGTCAGGTTGCCTACATAGCATGTCGTCTGCCACGACGGCGTCTGAGCAAGGACAACCTCGTAGCTGGCAACGCCATGGGCCGGGAACTGGTGGTGGCCGAAAGGCGTCGTAGGCGTCAGGCCCATAGCCTGCATTGCCTGCTGCTGCGCAATAGACGGCTGACCCTTTTGGTTTGCCCAGTTGCAGCGGATGGCGCGCGAGCCAAGCCACTCACCATCCATGGAGCTCAGTGCCTTCTCGGCGTCCGGGCGGTCTCTAAAGGCGACGAAACCGTATCCGCGGGATCGTCCAGTCTTCATGTCCCACATAACGCGAGCTTCGGATACGGAGCCGAAGGCCGAGAAAGCCTGGGTCAGAACCTCGTCGTTGACTTCATTGCTAAGGTCGCCAACGAAGATGTGGAAGTGGTTTGAGGTGTCCTCCTTGCTGGAGGTATTAGACTGGTACGCCCAGTTGACGCGAATTTCCTAGAAATCAGTCAATTTTTGATTCGTAACAGCAAAATAAGGCTCTCGTACGGATTGGTGCACACGTCTTCCATTCAAGGTCTGCATGGCGCGCTCGGCCGCACCGGGATCATCGTATTCAACAAATCCATAGTTGTAGCCCTTAGCCTGTCGATACACGGTCAGCTATATCGTGGATCACCTGGACATGTAGATTGCAGTAGCCAAGGCGTCAGCTGTCGCCTTGACCACCAACGTCATCCTCATGGGAGCTTTTGTATGGCAGCAGTGTACGCACATTCTTGTCGGGGATGATCTTGACATTCTGGACGTGACCAGTAGTTTCGAAGATCTGACGCAAGACATCCTCGGTTACACGTTGATCCAAGCCTCCCACGTACAATGCTCGCTTATTAGGCTCAGGAGCAGCACGGCGGCCGAATCCCCCAGCGCTACCGGGCGACATGACCTTATCGACACCAGACATGGGCGAAGTAATGGCAGTCGGGATCGGGTTGTTGTTCTGCGGGATATGGAGAGGAGGCGGCGGCATATGCGCCTGATTCGATTGGCCATTTTGGCCATTCTCGTAGCCTGGAGCTCCAGCATTCGGCTGGGGAGGAGGGGGGAGCTGCGCAGCGTTCGAAGCAGGTCCGTTGTCCGCCATTGTGTCGTTTATTGGTGTTAGAAGTCGATTAAGTGACAAATATACCTCGAAGCTGGAAAGTTTGTCGATTGCCAACGGCAATGTTAGAGACTGCAGGACAGATGGCTGGACCAATACAGCTCTAGACTTGTCTCGCACGACGCGACGTTTGTCAGAGTACGATTTGGAAAGGGAGCGAGGTTGGAGAAGCAACCGATTGCTTGAAACTTGTTGGTTGTGGCGTAAGTAGGGGCGCGGGAGGAGGTGGTATTGAAAACCTGTCCCGAGACTGACGTGACCCTAGAAGCCCACAGCAAGCAAGCAACGAGGCTAAAAGAGCGGGAAGCGGGAGGCGGGAGGGCGCGCGAGAGAGAGAGAGAGGGAGAGAGAATGTGTGTGAGAGAGAGGGAAAAAAAGTGGCGGGCACAATTAGGATGTGTTAGCCGAGGGCGGCTACGACGACGTCGAGTCTTTTTTTCCTGGTTTCTGTTCTTTGCGATCTATCGGTAGAGGCAGTCGAAGTCGAGGATGGAACGATGTGACCTGGCCTTGGAAGAGGAAGACAACGAACCGAAAGTCGACAGGAAAAATTGTGGACGTGGGGACGGTACTGGCAGGCAAAAAGGACGTCGACCCAACGTGACAAGAGAGACGCTTGAGCGGATAGAGAGACAAGGGGAAGGGCGAATGATAAGAGAGATGCCGAGAGAAGCTCCAAAGTAGTGTACTGTGCAGCGCTGTAGATGAGATGACAGGAGACTCGAAATAATAAGCGGAGGCGAGCACCAAGGAAACAGGCGTGAAAAGAGGACTGGAACCCCCTGAAAGGAATCGCAACAAAACCCGGTCCGAGAGGAGAGGAGAGAGAAACGTTTCCTGAAGACGTGGAGAGGAGATTCTGTGATGGGGAGGGGAGGGGGAGCAGATGGAAGGAGGGAGAAGGAGGAGGGCGGATGAGGGGGACATTTGATCATGGCCCAGCTCAGAAATGAAATTCGCACAGCGCGCGGCACCCTGGCACCTTACATAGTGCTAGGTAGGTACCGTGAGGTAAGGTAGGGGAGGTGCACCTTAGGTTGTTGTCATCCAGTGAGGTGTAGTCCCGTCCCGTTCAGCGCAGCCCAGCAAAGGCAGACAGAGGCCGGTGCAGGTTCAGTTGGAGCTCATACAGGGCAGGAGGAGCAATCCACATCCAAGGCATCCCCACTTGCTTTTTTTCTTTTTTGCATTGTCCATGTACACCCTCGCGGCGAATTGCTGCATGTTACTGCAAGCTTCTGCAGAACTGTACATGCGTCTCCCCCGTTGCCTCACCAGGCTCACCTCGCCAGCAAAGCAACAAGGGCAGCCCATTCGGTGCCCACCGCTGGTCCCAGACCCTGGGATTGGTCTGTTGCAGGTCCCCGTCGAACCCTGTGCCAGGCGCTTGCTTGTCTAGCCGTGCCTTTCCACTGGGTACAGCTGCGCGCTATCCCCAGTCGGCCAAGGTGGTGCTACTAAGATACGGGTGGCTGTAGCTGGTCCCCGGCGCGAGAGGGGCGCGGGCTCTTCTGCCCTTTTTTTTTTCCCATTCATTCTTCTAATTCAAGCCCACCCACATTTTCAACTGCTCAATCTGTGTGCTGTCATCCAGTCCCGAGTGCCTACGAGTCTCAGCTAGCTGCGCCCAAATCACTCTACACTTATCTAGCCTTACCTTGGACAAACGGACGAGCTTTCCGCCAGGTCAGGGCTTATAGCGTGAGGGGAGATGGAAGATGAGAGATGGGATGGCAGCAAGAAACAAAAAGGGGTTAGATGCTTAAGCGACCGACGCTAAACTTGCTCAGGCAAGGAGCGAAGTCTGGGACGGCCGCTGACAACGTGGAAGTTTGGGCATTGCACCATCAGAGACGTTGGATGGGCAATTCCATTTCTACGCCAGATGGGAGACGAGGCAGGCCCTGTCAGAGCGAGATGGGACGGTCAATTAGTTTCGATACTTCATCAATCAATGGAACACTGATTGAACGTGAAAGTCGGTCATGGGGGGAAGGGCGGGGCGGCGCATAAAGGGATGCACATGTAGACTGCATTGATTACACAGTTGATTGGACATGAATTTACATAGTCAGAAAAGCGTCGCAGTAAAATGAGAATCACGGCTGCCAACAGGCCATATAAGATGAGCTCTAATCAAGGCCGAAAAGCGAACACAAACAAACAGTACTGGACTCGATGGGAACCCTGGCCTCGGAGTGGGATAACGGCAGCAAACGCATCGCTATAGGAAGGGTTCCAAGCTTCGAGGCTCAATGCAGGCAGAAATCATGACTGATCGCCATGCCATATGATGTACTTTATGGAAAGGATATCCCAGCTATGCCTCGGCTCACTCCCTGCTTAAGTACCTCTCAGACTCTCTCACATTGCTGAGAAATGTTCGCCATCAACAAAGCACTTTTTCAATGACTGCAGAGCCTCCTCGGAGTCAATCTAAAGCCCATCGCCAAGTCGGGGTCGGCGACGGGACTAACACCCTCAACCATGAGATAGAAGCATTTAGCGTTTGCAGACCGCAACACCGATGCTCAACCTGTCGCAATTGAACAATCAAGAACAGACAATAGGAGACTAGACCAGAATGAGAATTAATTCCGCTTTCAACAACCGATGAGCCGACAACCAACCCCATGCCATCAGGTCCATTACTTGTCCATTTAGTTGTCTCACAACTAGACACTCTTTGAAGGTAAAGTCGCAGCAAGCTCCAGCATCTACAACGACCCCCAAGACGCCAGAGTTGCGAGCATCAATGACCGCGCATGTGGGTTACAAATCTTGTTGTTGCAGGACGCAACCAATTTCCCGGGAGGAGGGCTCCCGGCACGATGGGACGAACGATGTCCTGGGTTAGCTCACCAGCTACAGCAATAGGGTTACCCATACCGTCGACGGTGGGTTTGGCCCTTGCCTTCCGTATCCGCAACAACGTCCTCCGCGAGATCGTGAAACCTCTTCCACATGTGGCCTGGTTGCTGTTGGACGCAAAAGGGCATCCAAGTCGCCGTTTGGAGACCCAATGTCCGCAAGATGAGCGATGCTGGAGGGCACATTCTAGTGGCTATCTGTACAGCTTATACTAGCAGGAGCATAAAGAAGCACCTAGCCAGATCGGACTCTTGGTTATTGGGCCCCTCACAGGAGCCCACGGTCCCAAACGAGCCTTCCATCCGACTCAAGCGGGTTTCAAGTCTGCTGAAGAACGCCCTTTCAGTCAGCTTCGTCCCAAGATTCCACGTTGGTCGTGATCGATACAGGGAAGGAAATGTGGAACCTGAGCCAGAGACCGAGGGGGGTTGTAAGAGGGGACCGCCTCGAGCGGGCTGGCGCCTACCTACATACTATGTAGGTACCTAGGTACATTGCTCGTTGTCTTGCGCCCACCCCTTGCCGTGTAACATGTGCGGGGTTACTTCTGGGGCTTACAGTGCACTTGTCTGTGGCGTTGGGACCTATGGTTGTGGATGTGGCGTAATTGCATCGCCACAGTAGCCAACGAGCACTTGAAATCCAGCTTTTCATTGGTCGAGCCTTTTTCGTGTCTGATTGGTTGAAATCTTACGCTCGGGCTTCTGTCTCGCCAACAGTCAACAGGATAAGGCAGGGAACGTACCTGTTCCTCGGGAAAGGCTGGGAACCTGGCTGCCCTGGTTCAGACGTCAAACATCGGCGTTTTGCTAGTTGTCAAAGAATTGAATCCCACTCTCGCGAGCAACTATCCAACGTTTTACTTCAACCAAGTCAACTTCAATCATCAACAAAATCATTTGCAGAAGGAGACGTTGACGGTCACGTTCGTGCTCACGCTTTCGACTGCCGACGAGTTTGACAATATCTATTCCCGGCCTTCTCGCTCAGTCGCTTCAACTTCACATTACCACATGTTACCTATTCCCTTGGAAGGCCGGCTACCATTTTCGACAATATCTCACATCACTCTAAACTTGGCATACCAAGATCTTACGTTTTAAAGCAGCAGTATCTCGTATACAGACTGGCTATTGAACACACAACTAGCGGCGTCACCTCGCCGCAATGGCAAACTCGAAGTCGCCGACCTCAGACTCCGCTGAAGCCCTCCATGGGCTTATAAACGATGTGGTTCGTACAAATACCTTGGTCACAGATGTCTAAACGCAATCGCTTAATATGTTCACAGCTAGTCCAAACAGGCAAGGCACTGAAGTCTCTTAGCAAGGATGGCAGGCATCAATTCCAGGCCCAGATTTCCTTGCAAACAAAGATGCCAGAGATCATCGAGAGCTTCCACTGGAAATTGGACGATCTAGAGAGCGAGATAGTAAGTCATCCTAGTACAACTTATTTTTATCTTATAGTAACCCCAAGGACAGATAAGAGCCAAGGCTGCCCTGCAAAGAGACCTGGATCGGTTCCAGCAAGCAAAAGCAAGACAGCCCGTACAGCAGCCTGCGCCAGTCGATGCACAAACTAAATCACCCATGGCCATAGACCTCGACTCATCATCTCGGGAGCCGTCGCCACCCGAGAATAAGACCCAGATCACGGAGGCTACGGGCCCGCATCGGGTCCCCGCAGAACCGAGCACTGCTCCTCCATCAATGGCTCCGTTTCCTGACATGGGCGTCAGCTTCCAACCAGCGCCCGAACCCAGTCCGCAAGTGAAGCAGGAGACGACGCCCGCGCCACCCGCTGCGCCACCCGCTATGATGGCTCCCATGGGCGAGATCAAACAGGAATTGAAGACCACGCCGCCAGGTTCGCAACCTCAGCCATCAGGTGCCCCAGAGGCGCCCATGGACGACTTGTTCGGCCTTGGCAGCGATTCCGGCGGCGGTACTGAAGGGAACAATCCAGAGTTCCACTTCACGGATATGACTTTCAGCTTGGCGCCACCCAACAACGAGGCACAAGACCAAGCTCAATCGCAAGACACAGCCATGGACATGTCATTCGGCTCCGGCGACATGGGCGGCGACCTCCTGACCCTCGATAACCTCCTTCCTCCAGACAACGCTACAAAACAAGAGGCTGGTTCGGCTCCGCCAGCAGCAGCAGCAGCAGCAACAGCAGCAGCGGCGGCGGCAGCGGCAGCAGCCAACCAGGAGAAGCCGGTGGAAGCCAAGATGGAGAAGCAGGAGTCATCGAACCTAGACGATCTGTTCAATCTCGATGGTAACACAAGCATGGAGAATATGGATCTCGATATGAACATGGGCGGCGATGGGGGAGACGGCAACAGCTTCGATGACATGTTCTTCGGGGACATGACGGAGATGGAGCACGGCAAGTTTGACGATGCCTTCTTTGGAATTCAGTAAATGTGGACCTGCTGGGAATACTCTATGCCGTGCGGGACTTGGGCTCACGTCCAAATTTATGCTTCGTTGGTACTTGGGGTGTGTCTTGGAGACACAGAAGTCATCACTTTTTGACAATGGAGCATTGGCAGGGCTGGGCAGGGGAAAACGGTGTGGCTAGATTTAAATGTCAATTTGACTAACTCACATTCACGTACCTCAAAGGTTGCGACTTACCGACCAAGCTGTCCAAGTTAGCCATTACCAAGAGATTGCTCACACAAGAAACATCCTCACAGCACTCTGATTCAAGCATGCTGTAAAGGGGCGAGTAGCTACGGTGCTCATATCTATGTTCTTGCATACTGGTGCTCGTCTGACGGCTATTCACATGGTAAATGATAGTAATATCTCATAAGAACTGACTTTAAGGGGGAACGGGGGTTTGGTCACTTTGACATGCGCGTTTCAAATATTATGTTCTAAATATCCGCGCCACGACTGGGTTGATATAGAAGCTTTCATAGTGCCGTCTTTGTGATTAAGAGGTGCAATAGGATATCTACTTTGCGGATATTATCACTGGACGACTTGGTCAGATCATTGGTTACGGCACCTAGTTGCCAGCTCAGACAACGACAAGTATGAGGATCACAACAGCAATCAAAGTTGTCGATAGTTGTAATAGTTGTAGTAGTATTCTACGACGGCAATGAACCCGAGTACCTGACATCCTCACGCAGCCAGTAATCCCGATCATTGTGCGAAAGGGCACCCTTATCGAGAGAGTCAATCGAGTCTAATTTTAGCCGCCGAAGAGAAGTAATGTGGGAAAGTAGGGTGACTACTGCCTCGAACCTCTCGCACAGCGTGTGCAAGGCGGAAATCTGAATGCTTTCATCCGGATCACTGGGCGGCGTTTCGGGGCCAGGGCTACTATCAAAATTGATGTGGCCTTATAGCAGCAGAATTCGAAGGTATCCAGCTGTAATTAAATTAGTCCCGGGTGTTTCTCGGCAATTCATTCAGATGGAAGGCACTCACTCTGCAGAGGTCTGGATGGGCCAGCAACTCCTGGGGGAGCGTTTTACAAGTCAGGGGTAAACTTGTGAAATCTCCCACGGTGATCAGATCGATAGTGTGTTTGCAGGCTGTGTCGAAGTCACAGGTGCGGGTAGGCCACGACGAAATGTCCCGGAATTTGTTCGAGTCGCACTCAAGCTATACAGGTTCAATATGTTGCATCTGTACCACGGCAAGCCTGTACATCATAACGCGAACCTACGCTGTTGTATTGGCAAGTCACACAAAATACTACCGTCAAGAGCATATCTCGACCAGCAGACGACAGAAATGACGTGCCTGAGACCGCCTTGTGCCGACGCAGACGCATAATTCGTTGTTGGCGTCTTGTCTGCATTGTCCTGCACGGAGACGCCTATCTTTCTGCTCCCAGGCGCAGCCGCCCTGGTGTTGAACTCCTCGTGTCCTAGCTCCATTGCCAAAGGTACTCTTTGTAAATTTGTGGTGTTTAGAAAGTGAGTTATTTCAGGAAGATATCGGTAAGTGATGAGGGAGAACGGGGAATTGGTTGCTTGGAAGATGGGAAATTCGGTCGTGTTGTAGCAGAAGATGCTGTGTGGAGGTTGAAGAGTGGTAAGGGAGAAGTAACGACCACCTATCTCGAGGTAACCACGCTTTCATGGTAAGATATACAGGTACGAAGGTGAAGAACGCCCGGCGCCTACTCTTGCCCAGAAAGGCCAACGTTGGTAATGATAGCCCTCATTTCTTAACAGCGCTCGGTTCTGGATAGTTGCAATATCTATGTGCATTTTCAGATGCTCGCCAAGGACATTAGGAGCAGAATATTCATCTGCACGTCCTTAGCTAGATATGTAACTGGCTTAGACGTATAATCACTCGTGTGGCTGTGCCCTTAGAGGCAGACCTGGAACTAGGTAGCGATTCCAACACCAGACCGAGCTTGATCCTAAGGCCTGATTCAGTTGTTTCGGCCTTACGAATTTGCATTCTTCAACTTCTGTTTGACGTGACTTTCTAAAATACCTACATAGGCCAATTTGGTATCTGTATCGTGTCGTGATGTAATGCCGTGAAGGATTCCTGGCACATGCCCAATGCTGCCATGCAAATGCGGAAATATATCACAACTGCCACCCCGGAGCCCCAATTTCCCAGTGGAGAGGGACTCTCTAAGCCGATAGTCCTTGCTGGCCGAAACCTCCACCTCCCAATCACCAACCTCAATGATGTCTCTTGGATGAGACCTTCGGTGCCCGTAGCTGAGCTAGTCCCCAGCATCAGAAGATTCTGCAGTCTGAGAGGGACCTGAGCGGCCGTCAATAAGGGCCCTCCTGAGAGTTTCTGCACCTTAGCCCGTCTGTTTAATTGTCTAATAACAAGCAAACGGGGGCAACGATAACATCCGCACTGAATCTCTACAAAAGAATCCGCAGAGAGAACGGTCTGACAAGATGTGGACAAACTTCAAACCAAAAGGACGTAAGAGGGGAAACTTGGGCAGGGATTACTCACCACCTGCTTGACTCCCATTCCAAGATCCAGCCACAGCAGATCTTGAGTCTTTCTCTGACGCTTCGTGTTTCGAGAAGTTTGTACTTCTCATATTCCTTGGCTGGCAAGATGCTCGCAAACCACCAAGGAAACAATGCTGGATCATTAGGACATTCTCCATATATAGCCAGCATCCGTTGTGCTAGCCAAGGCACGCTCTGCTGCCGCATTCTCTGCACAAAAGAAACACCCAACGTTAGAAGATCGCTCGTTGGCATTGTTGAAAGATCCTCTGGGGTGGTCGTAATTGGTCTCGGCATCGTTGAATCTTCGCTCTGGTGTGTAGCGGCGCTTTCGTATCTTTCTAGGGCTCGTTGTGTCTCGGTGGCCTCTAGATCTTCCTCCTCCGCGATCGACATGTCGTCAATTCGTTCAATCTTCCCCACCAAATATCCATCCAGAATGCCATGTCTGGTGATTCTAAAGCGCGATATGCCAGATGTCTCGATCAGACTCCTACCATCTGCAAAATATTCGGCGTTCACGATCCGCAGCAAGGTCCCGTATTGAACAAAGTGTGTGTCATTGGCGGTCCGAGGCCGTTGAGGAAGCACCATGCCAAAAGTCCGATCGCCCTCCAAAGCTCGGCGTATCATCAGGCGATAACGCGGCTCAAAAACGTGGAGGAAAGTGGGCATCATGGGAAATGATAATGTGCAGACAAAAATGGGAATATCAAACTCCCGATGCCTGTTCATTGCTTCCGCTGCCAGCGCATCTCCTCTAGTGAGAACAGCATCAGCCCAAAAAGTCTGAATAATAGTTTTCAGGCTTTCATTTGACGGACACGATTCCCGGTACAGCAAGGGGCTGACCGACAAACCCCGTCGGCAAATAGGACAATAGGAAGAGTGATCCAGAACGCGGTGGAGGCATGATCGACAGAAAGTGTGACCGCAAACTGTCGTGAGAGGGTCGTAGAATAACGCGTAGCAGACCTGGCAGTCCATTTCTGTTCGCACTGACTCTTTTACTTTAGAAAATGTCTTTGAGTCGATGGTTGCAGCCTCATCTCCGAGCGACGAGACTTCGGCAAAGGTGACACTTGACTTGTACTCCAACTCAGCCGTGTCTGCCAGTGTGTAGACAGCAAGCAATGGACCTCCTCTGACAACCCTGGATATTTCCACGTTGTCACTGTTGGTGTCTGCCTGCCCGGCACTCGAATTTCTGATGATGACGTGCGTGGATATCTCGGCTTTCGTGCTCGTGTCTCTCGCCTTCTCTATCTCGGCCTTGAAGTTGTTGACTGCCTTGGTGAGAATGACATCAACGCTGCAATCGCCCACAGCGTGATTCCTTCCACATTCTCCATAAGGGCATTCGAAACCTTGCAGTCTGTTCGGCGTGGCGGGATATGATATGTTTTCTCGGGTGTGTGTCTCTGGGACACAACGTTTACATATGCTTCGGCCGCAGGGGAGGGTAATTGGTTCTTGAAGAGTACGGGAGCATTTTCGACATTGTATCAGGCGGATGACTTCTCGCACTTGTTCGTCTTCCAGAGGGCGGTCGACAGTGCCATGATCCTTTTCGTCCTCGGCTTCGTGTACCGGGTTGGACGTCAAGGCCGATGGTCTGCTCTCGACAACCCGGGGTTGGTCGGAGGACATGAAGTCGTCTCCACCAGCTCGGTGCGGGTGCAGCTAAGTAGGTGTGTGTATGTATCCGCGGCGGGTCCGTTTCGCAACCACTTTTTGTGCCCAAGCCAGATCTTGCTCTCGTAGTACGTACTGGACGTGTCGCCGGTGAATCGAAATTATTTAGGTGAGGTGCCGCCGAGGTCGAGAGGTGGACGATGGCTGTTTATCTCGGGTAACCACCTGAACGTATGTAAATTCCAACAGGAAACGGTCGGGGGGGACAGTGACCAGGGGTCATATATGCGGGATCACCAGGGCTGCAGAGGTTCCAGCAACGAGCGGATCTCATGATGCGCCTGAACGAGATCAAAAGCGGACAGGTAAAGAGACACCGGCAAAGCTAGTAGACCGAGGGCCGGAGCTAGAAGCTGGAGAACTGGCAGGATGCATGTACCGGGCCAGTATTTGTCGCATAGAAAGGGTACGGTTGGGGGCGCGAAGGTAACGATGGTGGATAACGACTGGCAGGCGTCATACATTTAACGTCGAGTTACCAATTCGCTGGGCGGCTGGACGGTTTAGGAGGGGTGCGTTCGGGGGATGGTGTGGCCGTGCAATGAGGTCAATGAAATTAGAGAGAAAGGCAGACGTGGACTGTGATTGGGGAGCGACACCGACATCAGCAACAAGCAGGAAGAACAATGAGAGGAAGCAGCAGGAGAGCCGCCCCCGGACAGCGCCAGGCCCGGCGGTCCATGTCGAGATTCCAAGGTCAAGCCAAGTACCGGTACAAGTTGCGAAGTTCGCGGCAGGCGACGACGCATGAGCGGGCTCTCTCCCAGATGCCCTGGACTGGGCCCCTTGCGCCTAGGCGGAAAAGGGCTTAGCGGGCTGTTGTCAGTAGCCAAAATTGTAGGCTAGTTGTGACGACACTTGAACACCACGGGGTCCAATGGACAAGGACGAGGGAACCCGAAGCGTGAATGCGAGAACGGGGGACCGATTTGGGACAACATCGCTCAGCCAAGCCATACCTTAGTTGTCAGCTTGTCTTCGTGCCTAGTGCATTGCTTTCTAGATTTTCCCTTTTCAACGGCTGCGCGGCGGGCTGATCGACTGAGTAGAGCTAAGAGCTGCCTTAGGTTTTTACCGGCACCAACTGCTCTTCTGATCTGCAGTTCCCAGTAGCTGGAAACTCTGTGGTATTTGTGGAGCAGTGTTTACGCACATCTCAACTCGGTAGATGTCCTAGATCTTCAGCTCATCTCATCTGCTCAGAGACGCTTCGCCACTTTTGCCTCTGCCTCGAAATTAATGGTGGTCGCCTGCCTATGTTGCCTTGAGGAAAGTAAGGTAGCTTACCGGCGCAACTCAAGTAGACGGTCTCGTGTTATGTGCGTTTTGCCCTGGCACTGTCAGTCAGTACATATTCGTAGACACGGACAAGTGGTATGACGTAATCCAGCATCTTATTGCCCCTCTTTTGGAGTTATGACTGCGGGTTTCCTGGGAAGGGGCACACGCTGTCGGGACTGCTCACCTCAGCCCAGCAGGACGTGAGACAATGCATGCCACGTGATTTTCGGAGGATGGCCCGCCTCCACGACTGCTGCAGCCGCTGTCGCTCTGCTCGTGTCTGTTCTGGTGCGAATCCCGGCCGGGGCATTGTGCAGGCGATCTACCTACCTTACGGCAAGACACAAGCAGTCCTCTTGTTGCCGTAAAAAAAGATTCAGTCACTGCAAGGGGCTGTTCATCTCCCAAACCGTCAAACCAACAATTTCCCCAAAGGCCAAAGCCCAAAATACCACACCGGCCAGCAACCTACTCATTACCCATCACCTACCTAGGTATTCGTGGCGGCCGCAGCCAGATCTCGATGCGAAAGAGACCCAGGACCCTGACATCAGCAAGCGTGGCCATTCACCACGCTTCGTCCATGCTGACAAGTACCGCGACTTTGCAAGTACCGCTGGGCGGACGCCTCTGTCTCTCATCGGGGAAATAGGAGGAAACAATGTGGCCGTGGCCCGTATTCCCACACAAAACTGCGTTTTTCCTCCCACCTCGATGCTTGAGTCGGACGAAGATGAGTCCTCTGGGAAGTGATCGCAACTACTTTTAACGATCCCGCTCGATTCCACTGTGGCCGACAATCGGCGCTAGCATCTGCACGTACCCAAGACAGCGCAAATATGCCCGGACAAGCCAGGGTCCAGCGCTTTTTCAGCGCCTTGTTCGCTACCGCGCCCACTCAGATGCAGCTCAGCTTCTCAGATCCAGTGCGTCATGACACTCGCTACATTTTGCCCCTGCCTCTCACGCCCGCCGCTTTCCGTACCTCTCTAGGTAGCGTCTCAAGACTTGAGGTCGCTTTTTCTTGTTTACTTTCCGGCAATCTAGGTAGGCAATCAGTCTCCCTTTTAGGCCTGACAAGCGCAGGCATGACTTTTCCTTCGGGCGACCTTGTCTCGGATTTCTCTCTCAGTCTCGAGAGCATCTGCAGCACGACTTTTTGCCCAAATTGGTTTCAGCTCTGTCAAGTCCTGATTGGCCCTAGAACCAGTCCCAGACTGGTCCTGGTTACCAGTCGTCAGCCTCGGGTCTTGATTGATCGCAGCCCCTAGACAACGGGGCTGCTCATCACTTGCGAAGCCTAACACTGACCTTCTCGAGCAACTAGCCTCTTTAGTCTAAGAACGAAGACCGCAGAATCTCGATTCAGCCTTGCTCGTGCAATGTCGTGGCGCAAAGTCCTAAGGCTGCTCACATACCGCTCGCTTCCTGCGCACTAGCCAGCAGCTGTTGAGCTTCTCTTTGGTTGCCACTCAGCTAGCCGGTTTTGGGCCTGTCCCAGGCCATAGACGCCTTGCATCGCCGTTGCCGCCGTCAGTAATCTTCACCTCATAGATGGTCAGGCTTGCCGGGGCCAAGTGGTGTTTAGACGTGCTACTCCCTTGCGAGGCTCCAAGAATCGTTTGATGGCTCGCGCCCAACTTCAACGTAGTGCAATTCGCACTGCACCTATCCCCGGAAAAGAAGTGCGAGGCCAGAATCTACAGAGCACCAAAGCTCTTATACAGTTCCGCGGTCTTAGATTCTTATTGGGACTTGTCGACCAAACCCTTAGCTACAGGTGACACTATGTGATGACTGATCACCGCGGACGTAAGTTTCTGCGTGACTTCCATTACACACTAATTCTGAACTCTACGGTCGGAAAATCTGCAAAATTCGGCCAGAAGTTAACAATGTCTCGGTACAACGAGAAGAGAAAAGGAGAACGCGGCAAAAGGCACATCATGCATGTATCAGGCGTCGGGATTCTCTGAGAAAACGGGGAACGGTTGGCTCTGTGGCTATTATCACTCTGCATACACTCAGTCTCTGTGCAACCTACCGACACTAGATCGTCATATAGACTCTGCAACTGAGCTTCCAGTTTCAGAACAGATCTTCGGTTCTGGACCAGCCATTGACTCCATCTTGCCCACCACCCCTCGAACCCCTCTATTCCACCTAGATGCCGCCAATAGGACCCCACTCGCTTCCCCTCAGCAAAAAAACGCAACCTAATTCGAGTGAAGCTGTGGCTTGCTCGTTGTCCAGCCGAGTCTGTGCGATGGAAACATGCCACAATAACGCGGCAACGCGTTCCAAACCCTTGCTTACCCTCACCGACAACTCACAGAATAGGAAACTTTCCATGTGACTGAGTATTTTGAACATTGTAGGAAGCTTTCGGATATTTTTCCCCCTTCAACTTCTTTTCTCTTAGTCCGCTGGCCGACACTCGCTGAGTTCAGTCCCGTTGCTATAGCTTTCCCTAAAGCCAAGTCTCGACTTCGGATCCTACAAGCTTACCATAACTGCACCGCAGCTTCTATCCTTCTGCTCCTGCTTCATTTCTCCATCATATTAGAACACAGATTTCCCAAGCTATCGGTACTCTATAGAAGAATAAGGTAGCCCACCATGTCTCTCGGCCTTCCCTCGCCCGAATACCGCGCCAAAATCATCGATAAGTTCTCGGAGCTCATCGAGGCCATCGAGGCCCACCCGGCCTGGAACCCGCCGAACCCCCACAAGGGTCTTTTTCACGTCTGGGACTACGTCAACCGCTCCCGGTACATCATGACCGAGCTCGACCACATCCGTGACGGCGAGCCTGTGCAATATCCGGAGCAGATCCCTCAGCAAGATATTGGTTAGAATTTTTTTTTTAACATTACAAGGAACTAAACCTCACCTAGTTGAGTGCCAGTAACTATTATGTCTGCTTTCAAATTTCTGAGTGGGAGGGAAGAGATGTTGTGGCGAACCCAGTACCCGAATCCTCCCCCCCCAAATCTCATCCGTCAACCACGCAAGTGCGCAATGCGCGGGCCTAGCCGGCGACACATGCACGGAGAAGTGGGAGGGGGATTACGGAAGAGGGGGAAGGGGAGACGAGAGGAAAAAAGAAAAGCCCTACATCGCTGACATGGACAATCCCAGGCGTGCCAGGTCGAAGTGGTCCCGACGCCGCCACCGAGGCCTTTATCGACGTCTGCGGCCGATCGGCGACGATCAACAAGATGATTGCCAACCCGAAGCTGCTCACCATGATTGGTCTCCCGCAGGTGGATTACGGCAAGGATATCGTTTCCAGGTCGCAGGCGGTTGTCGACGTGTTGAAAAAGGCTTTCTGAGATGAGGGTTTCTGAGGGAGTAATAAGAAGTAGAAGGAGGAGGAGGGCTGCATCGTCAACAAAAGTTAGAGAGAGAAGAAAGCGAAATGGATTTGTTGCGGGCCGAAGATGCCGTCAAGCAGCTTGGATGAATGGGGGACATTGATGTAGAAGGGATCGAGGCAAAATCGGAAAAGTAGACGGATACATGAGAGCATCAAGGAAGAATGCTGCTTGAGAAAGACATGCGGTTGAGGTGTGGCTCGTACAGAATCGATAGCGTGCAAGCCGGTATAGAGTAGCGATACTGTTGGGATTGGCAGGGGAAATGGGTTTCTTTGATTTGTCATAAATACAGACCATACTACAGATGATGGCAGCATAGTTGTGCAGGAATCCAAACGTTTGAACCATCATCTCATGATCTTCCCACTAGCGTAAACTTGGACATTGTAGAGTTCGATGCCAGCGACAGCCGCTTCAAGATGCGGCATGTCTCGACGCTGGGACTCTCATTACGCTCTTCAGAAGCCAAATACAGTAAAGAATACACCCCGGTGGTGGATATTTTTATCCAAATGGATATTCCCCTTTTTACCGTTCCCACCTTTCCTAGAACCCAAGCTGATGACACACTCCTGATCCGAAATAAAACAATTTCCATCTTAACGTGCCGTGTCTTGTCATCTGGTACCAGCCCATCGGCCTCGCGCAGATGCCGACTTGTTCAATGTCAACCGTCTGCCAATGTTGCCAAAGCAGACGCAGCTGCAGAACAAAACGCTGAGCATCCAGATGCCCGTCTCAATAGTTTCCTGGCTGGCGAGGCCCCCAAGAGTGATGGGCTCCGAGTAGGCCCTCTCCGACTCGTTCCTATAGGTTAGAGATGAAGGCGTAGGCATCACATCTGGGTTGATACCGAGGAGCACTGCCGACCCCGCCAAGCCAACGGCGGCCGAAAGCAGGAATCCAGGTTTCGAGCGGTCAATCAGGTACCACAGAAATGGGTTGACCAGCGCCAAGGTGAGAGATACCTGGAGGGTAGACGCCCAGGGAAGTTTCCGCTGCCCAATGTCAGTGTCCCGATTCAAAACCAACTTGCGCAGAGCAACTTACAATGGCGAAAACAATGCCAACAAAAGCACCAATGCTGCGGACAACTAGAGCCCAGTCCTTTACAGGGCTAGAATCTTCTGGTGATGGACTGCCGCTCCTCTCCTCTACAATTGCCTCGTCCTTTCCAAACGAATTTTCCCACACGCCGTCAAACCAAGGGAGGAGGCTGCCAAGCACCACGCCGGTCAAGCCCCACAATGTAAGATATTGCCAGTCGTAGCCGGGCATCATCATACTGTCAACCTGGAATGATGAGAACCTGTGCTCGTTTTGCAACCTCGTGACCATTACTCCATATCCCATGCCGATTACAAAGAGTAGTGCGACGCGTGACACATTGAACAGGGCCATAGTTGCTGTTGACGGTGGCGGAGTCTTCGCTCCACTTCGGTACGACGACCGTCGGCGTGACAGTTTGGAGCGGTCCTTCATGAGCTCGAACGTTGTGTCGTCGACATTGGCCCGCTTAATTGGTGTTTGCGCCCCAGTACCCCAGAGAGTATCGGGCTCATCTCGGTCATTGTAGGCCCGGTCTCTGCCGTATGTGGTTGGCGAATAGATGCCAAACAAGGTCGATGCAGTCATGTTCAGTACGGACGGAGCGCGTGGTATGGAGCCAGACTCCGAAGACGTGGTCTGGGCATTTTGTAGTCTAGACAAATCGAGTTCTGGGTTCGGGCTGGGGGAGGACGAGTCGTCTTCCGGAGGAGTCGGAGCAGCGTGGTTCAGGTCAAAGGGACGGCGAGGGATGGGTCTTATAAGATGGGGGCCGTCGTCGGACATGTTTGTGGTTCGTGGGATAGCAGGGAATAGAGGGAGGCGATGGACGCTGTAGAATACGATGAGTTAGAGAGCTAGTTGGCGAGAGGGTGCGTAGGGCTTAGTTATTGCTCACAGTAGAAGCGATGTGGCAGGTTCTGGTTCTGGATGCCTGCGAGGTTCAAAGTCTACATATAAGAGTGCCCAGACGGTCCCCGCATTCGACTGTGCGAAAGGTCCTGTTGTCGTCACAGATGGAGTTCAGACGAAGAGGCAAGTGTCTCGCCTCACGTGGGCTACGGGAGTCTGCTTTGAGCTAAGATGACGAGAAATTGAGACGAACGGAGGTAGGTCGAGGGAGATGGGAAGAGTTGTCGTTGTGTGGGATTTAAAGGGAACCAGGGTCGTGAATTCTGTTGGGAAATGCGACGGCGGAGCGTGGAGCGTGAGAGGTCGAGGTCGAGGTGGTTCGGAGGAGCTGATGCAAGACAACCCTGCCGCAAAATGTAGTATAGTAGGTGTTGGGTGGAGGAGAGGGATGGCAAAGAAAAGGAAAGCGCCAATATGCGAGTACCGCGAAGAGAACTAGTCGAGACCACCAGCAATAAACAGAGTGACAAAAGACGGGCAACCAGGCGTCAGGGTGACGGGAGTGAAGGAGGCGGCGACGGCGGCATCAACTCTTAGAGGTCAGTTCGCTGTCGCTTGCTGGTGTCCGTGGCAGGCCAGGGAGCGAGGCGTGAGGGTCTGTTCTAGCGGCCGTGAGTCTTGCTGCATGTCCGAATACTGACGTGTGTCCTCATGCGCGCCTTGCTCTGGGACGACGACGGCTACGACCAAGGACGAGACACGACGGTAAAAACAGATGCGGGCAACAGACGAGAAGAGGGGAATCACAACGTGATGGTGGTGTGGTCTCTACGTTGTGTGGCTTGGGGAATAAACAGCAACGAGCAGTAAGATGGAAGAGGCTGCATGGAACCTTGGAGGAGGGAAAAATGAGAGGAGGGAAAGACTTTGGGACTGGGGAAAAGAAGAATATTCACATGTCTGCACTTCTCATTTGCATTGGCATTTTGCAGGTACCTTTTGCCTTATCGTATACGGATATAGATGTATATTCGTACCTTGCTTCGTATCAAGTGTACTTTCATAGGTAGGTAAGGTAGCCTATTGGTAAGTATTAGCTGCGGAGACCTACCCATGTTCTTAGGTTGCCTGCACCGCAACATACCTCTCTGCTCTGCATGGTGTGCTTTAGTCGCCTCCAACGTGCAAGGCTGGCATTGCTTTCTCCTCTCCGGAATCTGCATGCATATGCTCCTCACCCGCCGTTGACTGGCTCGCCGTTGCAGTCGCTGACAATGCTGCTGCTGCTGCTTCTGATGCTACTTCTGATGCTGATGGAGCTGCGGGAGCTACGTGACCAAATGGACTGTGGATCGTAGCTTCCCAAAATTTCTGCATTTCTCGCACACACCTTTCCGTGCCTTAGGTACCTGCACGCAATCTTTCCCCCGCTGTTGAGCATTGGCATCACTCGGATTGGTGAGGACTCGAGGAGCGAACCCAAAGAAGGACGCCCGGGCATATGAGCCGGAAGCTAGGGGACTCCGCCAAGCCCCAACTGCATGTAAAAGCTGTGTCTCCAGTGGAGCCACATGACTGGGTGGAAGGTCCCTCGACGCCAGAATTGGCTCCTAAAATGACATTCTTGGCCTCCTGATTCGCCGCTACCCCACACTCTGCTAGCCCGTCACCCCGTTCCGCAGAAGCACCACCTCGCTGATCGCTCCCAGCCAGCCTGACCGGTACACAAATGGAAGCATATGACCGCGTTTCTCTCACTCCAAAACCCACCAGTGCGATCCCGTGACTGCACCAGTGAGCTCCCCGCTCTTTCCTTCACCCGAGGATTGGGCTTCCTTTTCTGGCGTGGCCCAAGAGCCGCGAAAACATCCTTGCGAGCGTGGTCGAACGTCGCCTTAACAGTACGTCCCTGCCAGCTTAGCTAAGGCTTGATACGAGGCGTAAGGAGAGGCTGGACGAAGATGAAAGCCATTTCCGAGCAGTCCGCGTATTCAGTAATGTTCCCTGGCGGAACTCCAGGAGAATGAGGGGAACGCAATGGAAATAAAAACTCGCGAGTTTGAGTCATGAGTAAGACGCAATTCGAGACGATGCAGCCCAGCAGAACTCTCAATCCGGGTGAGATAGGTACCCACGTACCCAACGGGAGCACGGGGGGAAAGCGGGAAGACGGCGATAGCCTTGCTTCCCGTGGGCCGTTAGGGTCTAATGTCTTGCCGGCCACCCCTCGTTCCCTTGCGAGTCTCTTTTCCAAGAGACAAAAAGGGAACATCGGGTTACAGACAATGCTCAGACATTGTACGCTTGACGCCGCGCCCCTCTCAAGTCAAGTCTGGACACGGTTCTGGACACGCGTGACACTAGCTACTTTCTCGTGTGTCTCGCGGGTCCACGTATCGTCAGTTTCTGCCATCCTCAACTTGCGCTGGGAAGCCCGTTCTACATCTATCTCGGACTTCGCAGCCAACTACCATTAAACTTCGGACCTTACCTGTGGCCAAGATCAAACCCTCAGACCTTCAGCAGATCGCAGACGTACTTAGCTACAAACGCCCGTGCCAAAGGACAGAACTGGGGATTGGCATGCAATCTGCAGACTAATACGAGACACGCCTGATGCCGATCAGCGGATTCCCGCACGGGCCAGTTTAGGAAGTCGGCGAAGACGCCCGGCAACGAGAAGTCAGAGCCGTCTTTCCGACCGCCGTTTGATCTCCACACTCAGTCGGAACTCTACAAAGCCTAACGGACAGGATTTGCCATTACACGGATATCTTTGATTATCATCGCTATTGCCACAGCCGTTGTAGTAGTCTATTCTTCATCGTCGTCATCCTCAGACTCGTCAGAGTTCTCATCCACCTCGTCCTCGCTCTCCTCCACTCCCTCTGGCCGGGGAATCATCGTGAATGCCGCTACACAGGTGATGCGGTTGTTTGTGCTGTATGCTCCCAGCAATTTGCCAGCTTGCTCACCCTTACCATGCATGAGCTCCTTTGCGCCAATCTTCCATACCCGTACCTTGCCATCGCTGCTGCCAGCAACCACCAGTAGTGCCGTGGAATCACCCTCCTTGATTTGCAGAATGGCCGTGTCCTTGATGCGGCCAGTCACACCATCGTCCTTGCCACCGATCTGCGCGACCAACTTAGCGCTTGACAAAGTCTTATCCTCGGATTCGGGCTTCTTCAAGTCGTCTGCTTTCGTGGAGAAGAACAAGACTCGTCCGTCCTCGGTGCACACCGTCAATAGACTCGACTCGAATTCGCCGTCGATGGCAACGTATGATAGGTCATGAATCTTCGTCCGCGCGTCGGGCATGACGCGACATTTGGGGACACTGTCCATGCCAAAGACGATGACATCTCGGTCGAACCCAACCGCGAATTCGTCCTCATCCTCCGTCTTTCCCCAGACTACTCTCCGTCCTTCTCCCGTCGAGTGTCTTCCTTCCCCAACCTCCTGCAACATGCTGCGACTGAAGTTCAGAACACCAGCCTTCTTGCCGGTGACAAGGTTCCACAGTCGCATACACCGCTCGGCCTTGCTGACGCTAATCATCAATTTCATGCTGGGGTGAATGGCGAAGTCGTTGACGCCAGATGGCGTGCCGCCAAAAGGCGCAGTGTCACCGCTGGGTCTGCCTGAGGGCTGGGCTATCGGGGCCTTGATAGTCGACAAGACGGACCAGTCCCTCGTTCTCGCGACTGCAATTGTGGAATCTTCACTCGAGGAAAGCAGCTTCGACCGGGTGGGGAAGGCAAGCTTGGTGATGCTTGACGAGTGGTGTAGTAACGTCCCGAGCTCTCGGTTCTTGGGGTTCTCGAGAATCGGACGAGCGGCGACGGCAGAGAGCGCGTCTTGGTTCTTGCGGTTCGGGGGATGCGCCGACAGGTTGTAAAGGTTGATGCGCTCGTCGGTGCTGCCAGACGCCAGCAGGACCTTCTGGCCTTGGCCGGGGACTGGTGCTGAGAGAGGCGAAAGGGCGATGCAACGGATGGCTGACGTATGCGCAGAAAACAGGAAAGTGTCGGCGAACTCGACCTTGCCCTCGGGCTTGATCGTCGCTGTGATACCATGGAGAATTCGGTCGTAGGAGCCGGTGACAATCTGTATCGTCACCTCTTCGGCGGGGCCCGTCAAAGTTGTTATTTCCTTCACTGCAGACGCTTTCGACGTTTTGGAAGCAGAGCCATTGGTATTTGCTTTGGCCTTTTTCGAGGTTGCTGCCTTGGACGCGGGAGTCGCGTCCACGATTTCGACTCTCTTTCTCTTTGCCACCATTTTGATTGTCTTCGTCGTCGTTTCTGTAGACCTGTGAAAGTTTTCTAGCGCGCAAGATCAGATAAAAAAAGTTGGCAGCTCTGAAGCGCAAAGCGGCTCGAGACCCAGGCAGAGAAAAAAAATTATTGAATCGATAAAGGTCTTATCGTTATCTCATATCGATAAGTCGATAAAACGATGTGGGTAAGGCACCTAGGTAGGTATCTACCTACCTTACCTTAGGTGCCTGGCTGAATCTAGGTACCCCACCAACGAATCTGGATCTTTCGTTGACCATTTTCGGGATCAGATGAGAATCACACTTGGCGCCGTCTGGCAAATATCTTTCCCACAGCTGCCCAGCCAATGACAGCATTTACGGTGCATTTACCCGATACTTCCCCGACTGCATTGCGAAACATGGAACAGGATGTGCCAGGGTCTTGGTTACTTCCCAAGGCCTTTATGCCAGCGCTCCACCACTAATAGCGGCCGAAGGACACTCCGTACCTGCGAACTACGCACTACGGATGTCCAAGTTCAGGTTCAGCTTGATGGCAACCTAGAACCAACTCGTACGAGACGCCGATATACATCATCAACACCATCGACACCCAAGAATGGCTTGATTGTTTCTTGCTCGGGTCGCAAACGCTCGTCAATGCCACTTTCGCTCTCCTGATACTCCCGTGCTTTTCTCACCGTTTAGCATCTCACCGACCTCAACCTCTCGCTGACCTACGAAGTCCACGATCTGGCTGACTACCCCGAGTGGCCACAATACCTGCCGACGACATTTCTTCGAACCTCTCTAGCCGATATGGCATCCTACGGCCATCATATGCCTGCGGCGGCTCCTCGAGCTGCTCATCCTGCCGCCTATGGCGCCCCAATGCCTGCCCCTGTGGCTACGGCGCCTGCAGGCACCTTTACGCCCGGAACGAAGATACAGGTCGGAGGCCACAGGGTAGTGATCCAGAAATACCTATCCGAGGGAGGTTTCGCACACGTTTACCTGGTTAAGCTCCCGAAACCCGTCGACGGTACGGATATGGCTGTCTTGAAAAGAGTTGCTGTTCCCGATAAGGAGGCTCTCCGCAGCATGCGAATTGAGGTCGAGACCATGAAGAAGCTCAAGGGCCATCGCCCAATCGTCACATATATCGACTCGCATGCATCGGAAATGCGAGGAGGAGGCTACGAGGTATTCCTGCTCATGGAATTCTGCAATGGAGGTGGTTTAATCGACTTCATGAACACGCGTCTACAACACCGCTTGACCGAACCCGAGATCCTCCATATTTTTACCGACATAACGGAAGGTGTTGCCTGCATGCATTACCTGAAGCCACCGCTACTTCACCGCGATTTGAAGGTCGAAAACGTTTTAATCCTGAGCAATGGTTCCCAGAAGCGTTTCAAGCTTTGCGACTTTGGATCTGCTGCCCCACCCAAACCCGCGCCCCAGACCGTCGTCGAATGCAGACTTCTGGACGAGGACGTCCAGAAACATACCACCATGCAGTATAGAAGTCCAGAGATGGTTGACGTCTACCGTAAACAGCCCATCGACGAGAAATCAGATATCTGGGCTCTGGGCGTTCTGCTGTACAAGTTGTGCTACTATACAACACCTTTCGAGGACCAGGGACAGCTGGCCATTCTCAACGCAAGCTTCAAGTATCCCAGCTACCCTGTGTTCTCGGACCGGCTAAAGAAACTTATTGGTGAGTAAGCAAAGACCTTGGTCATCTTATGGTGACTAACAGAACCAGCATCCATGCTGCGCGAGAGTCCACAGGCAAGACCAAACATTTACCAGGTTCTCCGTGAGGGGTGTGTGATGCAAGGACGCGATGTTCCTATTCACGATGTAGGTCCCTTCTCTTAATGACATCACGAAGTTCCATTTGACTGATATGTGCACAGATCTATGCCGGAAAGCAGCCCTCGGCTCAACAGGGTAGACCCTCTGCTACGGAGAAGTCCCAACCAAAAGTCGGCGCCGTCTTCTCCCCGCCTGCACAGCAGAAGGAGGCCATTCCCGATATTGTTCCCATGAGAAGGGGAAGGCTGCCAGCCGCCAGCCAACAATCTCAGCCTGCTCAAGCAGCTAAAGCAAGTCCATCTCCTATGAGGGTGACAAACGGAGATCCCTTCGCCGCTCTAGATGCGCCCGCTGCAGCGGCGGCGGCGGCGGCACCATCCACAGCTATGGCTGGAGATGTGGACGAATTCACATCCCGATTCCCGCCTGTTGATCAGTTCTCTATCCTCCACGAGCATGGTGCAAAGTTCAACTTTGACTCTCATACTCCGCCCCCAGCCCAGCAGCAGAGAGCCCCGGCTCCTAGGTCTGCCGACAGGTCGGCGGATCAGTCGTTCCCGATATCCCATTCCCCGCCCAAGAACCAGGAGCAGGCTCGACCAAGAACTGTTGCGCCGGCAGTCACTGCTTCCTACCCCCCGCCATCGGTTAAGTCGCCTCCCCCGGGTGCGGTGGGACTTACCAAGACTGCATCCGCTCCTCCAAAGCCAACTGAGATGAGCAGAGCGCACGCCATCATTAATAAGAATCCAGAGTTGCAGGCGATTTCTTCGCAGACCAAGCCGCAATACCAGCCTCAGCCACAACCGTCCAGATATGTGTCAACCGGGACAATGACAGCTTCTCCTCCACCTGAGCACCAGCCTCCGCAAACAATACCCGTGTGGAAGGTGCCTACGACAGATCATCACCGGTCTACCAGTCTTCCCCGTCAGCAAGATCAGGCTTTACCGTCTCGATCAGGGGGGGAAGAAGGGCCTCTTCCTCGCGCTCCGTCATACCAGCTGCGTCCAACGCACGTGCGGCACCCGTCGTCTTCTCGGCCGTCGCTTGAAGGAGGCCGGCCAAGCTTGGAGCTGCTCGATGCAAGTAACCAGTCGAGAAGATCCATTGATGGACGCCCGCGGCCCGTCAGCACTCATTTGGAGTCAAACCTAGATTTCCTACGAGAGAAGGAAGGTTCCTCCAAGCCTCTTCCTTCTCCTAGTCTCATGTCCCCGAAGTTTCCTGACAGAGCGTCATCTCCTGCAGCAGCGGAGCCGGAGGAAGAAGCTCATATCGAGTCCAACGTGGATTTTTTGCGTAGCATGGAAGAATCGGACTCGAAGAAGCGCGACTGGCACTCCAAGCATAGCAAACGCGCAAGTTTGGGCTCTTTGTCCGGGACGAAGAGTATGTTTGCTGGAAAGTTTGGAGATGCGTTTAAACGTTTCGAGGGAAACCAAGCACCACCACCTGCCCGGACTCCGTCGCCGCTCAAGCAGCTGGACCGGAGTAATGCATTGGACCCTATCGAGGGATCGGAAGCTACCGATGGCCGCACCGATGACGGTAAAGGACTTGAGGAGACTGAAGATATGACACCGGCAATGAGACGTGAAGTGGAGCGTCTGCGCCTTGAAGAGGAAGAACGCCGTGTTGAAGCGGCGGCAGCAGAGTATCGCCAAAGGTTCACCAACCAAGGATCAGGATCCGGCGGCCCCGCATCGCTGCCGAAGAGCATCGGGGGCGTTTCTCGGGCTGTCAGTATCCAGAACCGGGTTCAAAATCTTTTAAGCGAGGGTCAGAAGTCCTCAGCCCAAGTACCGCGCACCGCCCAGGGATACGGCATCTACACGGACACATCCTCGTCCACCGGCCGGGACAAGCAGCTTCCCGAGATTCCGAGAAAGCCTGTGGGGGGCGCCAAACCTCGCCCAATGACGCCGTCTAACTCCTCAGATGTGATGGTCAACAAAGTACGGCCCTCCGTAAACGAGCCGGTGCCGACAGCGGGACGGTCTACACCCGGGCCGCGGCCCATTGCGCCCCGGAAGCCGATGCACCTCAACAGCTTGCCGACCGGTGGCAGACCAGGCTCGCCGCCGAAGCAGCCCCACCCTTCGCAATCCATGTCTTCCGAGCATCTCGTTGGAGTAGGACTCCCTGGACGACCGGTACTAGAGATGTCAGCCAAGGAGAAGGACGACTATGTTCAGGACTTCTCGAAGCGGTTCCCTAGTCTCGGCTCGATCGAGATGGTGGAGAGAGACCTTGCAGCGGAAGCGGGCGAGCAGCGAACTAGCAGATAGAGAGGTTTGGTTTAGCTGGCTACATCATCTATCTACCAGACCTCTATAGACGCGGAGATGGTTTTGGCTTTCTAGAATCGAATACATACACTGGACAAGCGAGCGCATGGATCGTCATGATTAATTTTCTTTCATTGTGCGAGCAGCGCTGTGTTTAGTCAAAGCCCCCTCCCACCCTTCCAATAGAACACTTTCTTGTACAAATGATTGCTAGAGACGCCTGGTGGTTTGAAATACAATCTCATCCTGACGCTTGTTCCCAATATCTGCTTCACTGTGTGTTTGTTCCCTTGCTCGTGAGGTCTCCTCGGCAGCGTGTCCAATGCCCACGTTGTGCTAAGACGATGCTTTGACTCGGAGAGATGCTGGCCGCCGCTCCGGCGAACCAACCCCTAAACGCAAAGAGGGATTTTCACTTGATATCGCGTGCCGTATTTGACGAACACGTCTAGAATTTTACATCGTTTTACACTTGGTCAAATTGTTTCCGCGTTGTGCAGATGGCTCAAAGGCTCTTGAGAAGATTAAAATTCAACATTGGTATCTTTGAGTATAATGACATCCCCCACCCCCAACAAATTACTGTTCGAGTTGTTTCTACTCTCTGAGCAACTCGTTCCCTTTTCAATATCCACAACAAGGCATGCTCGTCCACGAGCCGTCTCTGCAATAGAACAGAGACCGTCGTCTCCCTTGTGCACAGAACCGGCTACTCCCATCTAGAACAAGCCACGAACCACCCGCTTGGGCAGGTTGGCCCAGGTCTTGACTTCCTCGGGCTCGTCGGAGGGGTCGGCGAGGATGACGCCCGCCTTGAGATCGATTTCACGGAGGGGCACGTACAGGCGCCAGTCGCGGGAGATGAGCTTCCAGAGGAGGTAAAGGAAGAGGACGATGGGGGCGGCGAGGTAGGCCTGGAAGAAGGCCGAGGCGTCGGGCTGAGAGTTGGGAGAGGGCTGTGATGGGAAAACTGTTAGCGACGTTTCTTGGCCACGTGCAGTAGAAGTGCTGGGAAGAGCAAAAGGAACTTACGTAGAGGGCGTTGTAGAAGGTGGCGATGAGGCAGATGATGTTGAGAGCCAGGCCGACGACGCTACCCCACATGCCCCAAGGGTTCTTGTAGGGGATCTGGTCGAGGGTAAAGCCCTGCAACTTCCAAGCCAGGCGCATGCGGACGTGGGCGAGGCAGATGGAACCCCAGACGAAGAAGTAGGAGAGACCGGAGAGGGCGAGGAGCCAGGAAAAGACGGTGCTGCTGTCGGCGGACTCTCCGATGAAGGCAAGGAGACCAAAGGCGACCTGAATCAGGACACACCAGATGGGACGGCCCTGCTTGTCAATGTAGGCAAGGAAACGGGGCGCCATGCCGCGCTCGGCCATGGCCTGCATCGTGCGGGTGGAACCAAAGGTGCAACTGTTGGCGACGGAGATGACGGCAATGGTGATGACGGCATTGAAGATGGAGGGGAGGACCTTGATACCGGCATCCTGGATGGCGAGGACGAAGGGGGAAGCCTTGGTGTTGGCGCCGGATGAACCCAGGAGACGGGGGTCGTTGGCCGGGACGATGAGACCGAGGATGAAGAGGTTGACAATGTAGAAGAAGGCAATACGCCAGAAGACCTGCTTGGTAGCCATGGGAATGGCCTTGCGCGGGTTGTCCGACTCTGCGGCAGCGAGGCCGACGAGCTCTGTGCCACCGAAAGCGAACGCGGCGACGACAAAGACACCAGCGAAACCGTTGAAGCCGTTCTGGAACGCACCCGGGTCGTGCCAGTACTTGGCGCCGAGGTAGCCCTTGTCGCCAACGCCGCCGCAGTTGATGACAATGCCGAGAATGATGAAGCCGATGCAGGCCGCGATCTTGATGATACTGAGAACGAATTCGACTTCTCCGTAACCGCGGACGCCAAAGACCTGGATGCCGACGAGGACGACGAGGAACACGGCAACCCAGATACCCATATTGAGATCATCGCGCCAGAACTTGATCGTGATACTAGCGGCGACGAGTTCGAAGGGCAAAACAGTCAACCAAGCGATGGCATAATCCCAACCCATGGCAAAACCCCTGGGATAAATGTTAGAAAGGGATGGTTTTGTTTTGAATGGCAGTGCCATGCATGTGTAGAACTTACCAGGAAGGGTCGACGAATCGGCAGACGTAGGTATAGAAGGCACCGTTGACGGGGTATAAGACGGCCATCTCGGCGAGGGCCTGTGTGGTGAGCATCAACATGAAACCAATAATAATGTAGCCGATGACCTGTTGTTACTCTGGTCAGTCTTGGTGATCCTCAAGGCGTTGTTGAAGGCTTCTTACCAAGGCGGCAGGGCCACCACTTCGAAGAGCACCACCAGAGCTGACGAAAAGACCGGCACCAATGGCACCGCCTACAGTAGTAAGTCAGCAAAACTGCGAGGTGTAGGAAGAAAGATGGTTTGCAGTGAGGCTTACCGATGGCGATCATCTGCATGTGTCGGTTCTTCAGGTTTCGTTGAAGGGGCTCGCCCTTGGTGACGACGCCGACCTCTTCATCGTGAGATCCCTCGTAGCTACCATGGCTGTTCACAACGGGGTCCTTGGTGTACTGCTTGTCGTCATCGACAACGGCAGGTTGGGACGACATATTGGCGATTGATACCAAGTGATTCTGGCTCCTCGAACTCGTTGTTGCTGGGTTTAGGGATGAACGAGGTGGCATGAAAAGCAACCTTCGTAGCCTGAATTTATGCCAAGAGGCCCCGGTATATATACACACAGAATAGCAGGACAGCACTGGTATTCTTCAGTTTGATAGGCAGGTATCAGCGTTTGATGCCGCGCACTTTGTCTTACCCTGGCCCAGCTTGGCTGCGACATAACTGTACCAAAGCCATGGGGTCAGGACTCTGGCCTACCGGTCCCCGGCACCGCCGTCCTCCTAGTCCCATTCTTGCGCATGGATGGCAGGTCGTGTGTGAGGCCTAGACCCTTGACATCTCGGAGGAGGTAGACAGGACAAGCTTTCACCGACGATAAGACGGTTGCCCCCAACGGTGCTAGAGCCAAAGCAGACTGGTCGATGACCTTAGATATGGGAGCGAGCCCGGGGGTGGTCCCATTGTCACCCGGCACGGGATGCGTACCTATTGCTCGACAAGGGTAAGGCATTCGTGCTAGCCTGGTTTTAGTGCGAAGCTTACAGAGTGCTTCAATTGGTACGGATTAGTGAGGTCGAATTGGCCGAGGTCGTCTTGATTGGCTCAAAGGAGTTTGATATCTTGGCTTTCTCGGCGATACTCTAGGGTCAACCATTCCCCCGGCGGGTCTACCCAACTTCCTGAGACCAGCCATCCCTTGTCCCAGACCCCTGCACCAGTGATAAGCTGGTGCAAGTTGCAGCAGTACAGATAAGGAAGGTAAGCAGAAGTCTGTCCTTATATGAGAGCTCGGAGCCCAAGGGTGCCATGCCTCAGCAAGATTGGGTCGTGGTGTTTGGTTTTCGTTCCTGGATGTTTTGTCGTGCCCAGCTGTCTGTCATCTTGTTGGCGTTCCTTTGGTGTTCCGAAGTAGTAAATGAAATTATTCAATTGACTTCGAGTGAAACATCTGCCGTGGCCGTGGCTTCAAAACGGCATTGCTGTTGGCTTCGGCCTCTAGACAACAAGGAGTTAGGTACTCCGAGGAGGCGCGAAGAGCATCTCTGGTGGTAAAGTTCTAAGCTAAGCACGCGATGTTTGTACGCCAACAGACGAGCTGCCGAATGAAGGGTTGCATGGCGCCGCCGCTATCTGGCAAAAAATTGCCGCATGCCTTTCGTCAGGTTCATTTTGTTCTAGAAGACTGTCCCAGTTAGGCCCGGACTAACGACTAACCAATGGCCTGGTTCATTGGACGGCAGGCGAGTAGTAGCGGCCCCTCGATGCGAACGGGTATGGCGCCATGATCTGACTCGGTACGAACGCAGCTAGTAGTGACAGTTCTCGTACCTGTCGTAATCTCAAATCATTGACAGCATAAAATAAGTGTTATCGCGGTGGGATGGGTTACTCTCTCGGTGTCGAAAGGTGGCAAGATGTGATCCGAGAGGATGGAAATCGAGGTGATCGTCGCCTGAAGTCCTCAGGCCCCTGAAAGCCGAGACAAATCAAGCTTTGGCGGCAACTGAACCTAAAGGTATCATTGGCCGGCTTAGAGCCTAGCATTCGAGGGCATCTCTTGGTAGTCCTAGCTTCCCGACCACCCGTACTTTCTTTCCGTTGCCCTGCCCCCATTCTGTGCGCCCTGCTGCAGCACTCTTGCTTGAACTCGCCTTCAGACGATCCGGTGAAGCGAGGGATTCCTGAACTTGTAACTTGGTGCAGGTCGCCGATACTACATCTGGTGGGACCGTGCCTGCAAGAGATGATGCCCTCCTCCCGACGGGAAACGTGTCATTTAGTCAGCGAACCGTCGATTGCATCTGGGTTACTCTGCCCGTACGGATACTGAGTAGTGTAAATCGAGTCTCCGTGGGGATCTGGGGTAGTCGCCCTCATTTCGTTCTCTGCAGACACCTCCAGGCATCCCCCCCGGAAGTCGTGTTCGCGTCCCCGCACCCCGTCTCCAACTGAAATAAGGGCAATGTAGTACTTGGTCTTTGCGCAACTTCGGCACCATTGGTGGGTAAGAAACCTATTGTGTTATTTCGCTCGTCGACCGCATTGGGCGGCACACGGGTACAGTGACCATCAAGCGAAGCGCTCGTATCTTGCTAATCCGTTTCTACCACCTACACTACATAGTAGGTATCATGTCGGGTCACAATCAGAGTTAATCAGCTCTGCCCCCTGTTGTCGCAGTGTTCGGACTCGCCGAGAAGATGGCATTAGTGCGCAACCCCGCGTCAGCCGACATCCTACTACGCACACTAGGTTCACCTATCAGGCGTCCTGAGGCGGCAAGGTCGCCCGAAGATGCTTCCCGTGGTGCCATGCAGCTCAGAGCTGTCACATCTTCAGCTCCGGCCCCAACCTGTAAGCGTTCTTACGCAATGGATGCTATCCCGGTGCCAATCTGTACTCATTGTAGACCAGAATAATTCTAGCGCTCTTCTAGCTTCAAACAAGCCGGCGGTTGTTGGACAAGTGCAGCCATGTGATCTTGCAGCTCCCGTAGGACGATCCGCAACAGGGAGCTTCGTGCGTAGCTGCCCGTTGTGAGGGCTGGCATGTATTCGAGGCGAGCATCAGCTCAGCGTCGCCAACGGTGCAAAAGTCACACCGTCTAGCTCGGGTAGGCTCGGGGGCTTGACCTGTCTCTGCTGGTACAAGGCTAGCCACACTGCATCACCATTGATTGCCTCCAAGGCTTGACGTGCCTCATTGTTCTGGGCAAGTGCTTCGCTCAAAAGCTCCAGAAATTCATCGAATATCTCGGCGTCAAGGCGGACGTGAGAGACGATAGCTGTCAACAGGCGAATCACGGAATCCCAGATCTGCGCAGATTGAGCAAATTTACCCAAGCCGCCTGATACCGAGCCTTTCGTTATCTCCACGGATTGATAGCTTAGCCGATCGCTACCTGTCGTGATAGGAATGACGATTCCCTGACTCGTAGTTGCGGCGGTCTGGCCTGGTTTCGTGCTCTCTCGGTGTGCACTTCCGTTGCCTCGAGACTGGATGGCCTCCAGCTTTTTCTTTCGACACCACTTTCCCAGGCCGTCCCACCACTCTGTCTTGATTCTGGACGCTAGAAAGTCTCCGGCGGTGGCGGACAGCGCACAGAGAGCATCACAAGCTGAAATCGTGACAAACGCCTCCTCGTCGTAGAGCCGGGTGATCACCACCGGCCATACAGCATTGATCAGCGGCAAAAACGAGTCTTCGTCGCCTGAAAGAGCTGGAGATACGGTGGCCAGTAGTTCGAGCAATGATTTTCGTAGCGTGGGACTTGGTGATGTAAGATAATGTTGTGTCAAGCCGGTGATCTTCTCCAGTAGACTATACGTTGGCGTCTTGGGTGGCCTTTCCTTTTCGACTTCGCTGTTCGAAACAGTCTCATCAGTTTCTCCAAGGTCTTCTTTGATTTTTTGATCCTTCGCGCCCCATGGCTTCCGAGGGTGGCCGTCAGTCGCAACGTCGACCTCGTCGGCAGAGGCTTCAGTCTCTCGTTCCTGACGTTTCTTCAATAAATTGACAATGTCATCAATTGTGACGTGGCTGCCTGTGGCTTTCTTGTGACTCTCTGGTCCATTTTGCCGACCCTCCAGAAGAAGTCTATCAGATTTCACACCCTGGTCCACGACTTCTTTGAGCACTGCAAATAGACTTTCAACAAATACTGGGTACCCGTGGTAGTTGTCCAAGGCTGCGAAAATGGAGGCCACGACATCGTCCAGGTACGGCAGCAGTCGCGAGCCGGTTAGGCGAGTGATCATTACCAACACCTTAGTGGATGCCGGTGAGATATCGAACGTGTTGAGTCGCAGCGAAACGGAGTTGATCATATAATCGACGTTCTCGAGAATCAATTCAGAGACGCTCGTGTACCCGCACGATACAGCTAGAATGTTTAGAGTCGTGATTGCATGCTCTCTTACTCGTGGGCTGGCAGAGCCAAGGAAGGCTGTTGTCGGATATAACACATCGATGAGTTCTGGCCTGAAGGCCTCGCCTGATCGAGAAGCTGCAAAGGCGATGACTTCAAGTGCCGTGGCCTCTAGCCTCCAATCGATCTCAGACAGTTCGGAGTATGAGTCCAGCAGAGCAACGGCAAGCGAATACAGTTCCTGAAATATTGACTCGGGACCTTCGTCCCCAGAGCCCAGGGATGAGAAGTCCAAGAGATCGTCGAGTTCACTAGAACGAGAAAAGGCGGTCTTGAGAAGTTCGAAGCTCAGCCAGAAAGAGGCTATCTGAGCATCTCCGGCCGAGTCTCTGGCGTAGTCTAGCATTTCGGCAGCAAGCCTAGTCTGTTGAGAGGCGGATCCAACGTTAGAGAGCAAGTCGATCATAGCTGACCTCGTCTCAGCCTGACTCTCCTCACTCAACAAGACGTTTTGATATTGCTTAGAAGTATACCCTGCTCTCGCAATATCTTGATTGTACCATGAGGCATCCGGCGCTGTTTGATCCAAAATTTTGCCAGGCTTCGCTCCAGTCGCCAAGGATGTTACACTGTCCCTGAGGGCCGCCGCTATTGACTCGTCCAAAAGTGAGGAGTCCAGCTGAAGATGACCGACGAGAGCCATGCCCTTCATCAGGTTTCGGACGGCGGCCTGTTTCTTGCTTTCATCGGCAGACTGCATGATCCTGGGCAAGCTGGTGATCCAATTGTAACAATTAACCTTCACGATCTCGCCAAGTTCAGGATAGATAATGGCCAAGTCCTGCAGACTTGTACCGGTCAAAGATGACGTGGGATGTGTTGGCGAGATGACCATGGCTGTCTCCACCAATACCGGGGAGCAGTTTTCCAGGGAGGTATGACACTCGTCGAGAAGTCCAAGGCAAAGAGTCAGCAGTGCCTCGCGTACGTCGAGATTATCGCTCATTCGGAGTTTCAGAACTGTTGCCAAAGCCAGCTTAATCTGTGACTTGGTGGCGTTGAGCCATGCTGGGCTCAAGATCCCTCCTTGTTCGGCCTCGGTTGAAATTCCAGGGGCTAGTCTTGCGGTGATGCTCCGGGTTCTGACGTCGCCGAGAACCTTTACCAGAACCAAACCCAATGATTGGATAGACCCAACCAGGACGCGCGTCTTCTCTCTCTGTGGTTTGGCAAGAAGTTTTGTCAGGCTAGAGACGATGCCAGGGAGGAACGACGCCAGGGCAGCATGCTCCTTGATGCTCGTGTAAAAGCCGCTAAGCGTACGTAGAGCCTCGAGCTGGATTTCCGAAGTTTTCCCATCCGCTACACATGCCAGGAGGACCGTGATAGTATGGCCCAGAGTTGGTACCACTTTCTCCTCGGTGAGAGCTGTTGCGGCTGTGCCGGACGACCCAGCCACAGCGACCAGGGCACTTAAGGCTCTAAGCGATTCAAGCTCGGTTTCCTCGGGAACATCGTGCTCCTCCTCTCGGCCGGGAACTCCTCCAATGATGAAAGTGAGAAGGATGAGGAGCTGCTGCAAGACCTGGGGCGAGATGTTGAACTTCCAGCCGTGAATAATGATAACGGTAAGACACTTGATCGCGAGCTCGACTAGGCGCTTGGGATACTGATCGCGACTGCGGAAGATATGAGAGAGCGGGAAAAAGACGTAATCGGCTAGCTTTGCATCTAGAACTGTGGCGTCTCTATTGACTTGGTCGTTGAGAATGTGGTACAACTCATCGGTCAACTCAGAGAGTCGTTTGAATGAGGACGAATCTCCTTGTTGCCGGATTGCTAGCTGACTGATTGACACACAGCAAGGCTTGAGCTAGTGGACTGGTCAGCAGGTGCTCTTTATATCACAAGGTACACGAACCTGTTGGAAGAACTCATTACGGGCTGGATTCGCGTTGGCGGGATTTGTCGTCATTTTGGGGTAGAGGGTCAGGTATTTTACGTCAGCCTCCAGCGGCCCGTGACTTCGCTGTGACGACGGATCTGTTCTAGTATAGTTTCTTGTCCCTACTTGAAAAGATGCGTCTCATGTGGAAGAAAGAAAAGGTGTTGAAGATTCGCTTGTGTACTGGAAGTTGACGGGGGAAGTTCTGTGTTCATCTGCGGAACTTCGATTGAGCAAGCGCCTGCCTGAGAAGGCAATCCTAAGAAAGATTGCGTGGGTACAGGACCAATCGGGTGGTTTCCTTTTAACAACCATCGGCGATAAACCCCACCGACAACCGACTGTTCAGGGCCTTTGGGGACTTTGGCTCGCCAAGGTGCCTTGAAGAGAAGCTGGCCGCCCCGCAACAGCAACAGCAACAGCCGAGCTGACAGAGCTGCCCCCCACCAGCGTGCTTCCTTCCCCTCCACTGGGCAGTAAATAAAGTGGCACAGCACCAGCAAGAGCGATCTAATCTTCAGAGACAGATACAAAACTTCGATTTTGTCAGACACAAGTCCAGTATTCAATCATGGCTCCGGCTGCTTTCTCCTGCACGGTTCATCCTTTCGATTCCCGAACCTCTCACTCTAGCGCATATGAGATCGGCCCACCTAGAGCATCAAATGCCATCCTCTTCATAGGAGGCCTCGCCGATGGGCCACATACCGTGGGTTACACCAACGCCATAGCCAAGCACCTAGAGGAAGCGGCACGGGATTGGTCCGTGTTCGAGATCCGTATGAGAAGCTCTTTTTCTGGCTACGGGTTCTCGAGCTTGAAGAACGATGTTGAGGACATCTCGGCTCTGGTGAGGTATCTCCGAGGTATCGGAAAGAAGAAGATTGTCCTGATGGGCCACTCAACTGGATGCCAGGTATGTTGTCGGCATTCTAGACATTGGCAGGACCCAGCTAACCTTGAAAGGATTGCATGGAGTATACTAAGCACTTGGAGGATCCTGTCGACGGCTTCATCATGCAAGGCCCTGCATCTGACCGGGAGAGTATTGAGGACTTTGTCAAGCCTGAGTGGTTGAAGAGGAGCCTAAAGCACGCAGAGGCTCTGATCGCCGAAGGAAAAGAGGGTGAAATGATGCCTAAAGATCTAGTACCAAGCTTCTTCTCGACCCCAATGACGGCTTACCGTTGGCACTCTCTGGCAGCAAAGGGGTAAGTCGCATAAAACCAAGACTTGCTATTTAAAGTTAGCTCGAATGCTGATCTATATCGTAGGGGCGATGATGATTACTTTTCATCCGATCTCGAAGGACCGTTTGTCTCCGAAGTCTGGCATTGTTTCCAGCAGCCCGTCATGGTCCTGCACTCTGCAGAGGATGAGTTTGTCCCGGCCAAGATCGACAAACAAGCTCTGATAGACATGTGGAAGGAGACAAGCCCCAAAGTCAATGAGCTGTCCGGCTTGATTCCTGGAGCAAGCCACACTGTAAAGAATCCCGAGAGCCAACAGTGGCTTGCAGAGCGTGTGGCTCAGTTCATTAAGCAAATATGAACATGTCTGTCTGCATGTTCGGGAGGTGACTCGGGAGGGACCGCATGAACCTCAGTATCTATTTGAGAGGAACTTTTATCTTCAGTTATGGCCAAATTTAGCTTACAAGTGGCGTTCATTGAGATCGAATTGGATACAATTTATAAAAAATTCAGAGCAATATTGGTCTTTTTGTTATCGGAAGCTTCCAAACCTAAATGCTTGAGTAAGCCCAAGTTGGCAGCACCCCACTTCCCCGGAATAGGGAGCGAGGTCGGCGATACCCCTCCGAGACCCACTTCAACGGGGTCAATGGCCCGTGATGATGCTCAATGCAGGTCGCCGACTTGATTATGCTATCGCGGACACCGCGAATACTTAATCCCAGGTAAGCTCGTGGACCACCGCTTTTCCCACAATGATCAAGCTACAAAAACTCTTTTCCAAACATCTACTTAGCTTCAAGCATTGTATTGCCTCAAACACAATATAGTCTCCGCACCAGCCTCTGTCTTTTACCTTACCCTTCACTTTCAGCCATAATGTGCTTTGGAGTTACCTGCTCGACTTGCTGTAAGACACAAACCACTCTTTCCGCAATGAAAATGTTGAAGCTCACAAAAATACTGATAGCAAAAGCAACCTGGCGCGGCTGTGGCAAACACATCCCGTCGGCGCTGGGCAGCGTTCCAGAGGACCAGTGGTGCATTTGCACGCCCAAGGTCACCGTCAACGGCAAGGAATATCCCCCGGCAGGCACTGTGTCGATTCCTGGTATGTCTTGGTTGAACGGTTTTTTCGGCGGGGGCAATTCGAATGACAAGTTGAAGCAGGGTACTAAGGGACGGGATGAGCTGTGAAGATGGAACGTGGACTTGAGGGCTTGAGATTATTTGGCGGGTTGAAAAGGTGGACTAGTACGAGTCGACAATTGGCGGAGTGTTGAGGTTGGTCCTCTCACGAGAGATGAGCAGCGGGGGTGGCGGCGTAGAAAACGTGAGTTGAAATCAACACACAATCCCGTACCAAGTTTCCATTTCGTGAGAATATGGAGCCTCAAAAATGCATACCTACTACCCACCTGTTCGAGCCTCCCATTGCTGACTATCGAGTTATGGAGGGGGAATCAGTGTTGCCACGCTGCCCCTCACGTCTCATTTGGGGCCAGTCCCTCAGTGGGTTATCCCTACCTTAATGCCTGAGCCCCCGTTCTCGGGCTAAAGCTCCCTATCGGCGCCGGCGCTTGCCTGCCCGTGGTCATTTACGAATAGAAACCCTCTGATTGACCAACGCTATTGTGCACGGAACGGAGCTGATAAGAGGTCCCGGTTTCGCTCATGATTCAACAGACTTATTCCCCAACGACGACTTCATTCTGTCATTTTCTCAGAGCAACAGCGATCCATTGTGTAAGAGAAATAAGTTCATGAGATGTTACTTCTTTCTCCTGTGTTCCTAGGAGCAGCATTTGCCGTCCTCCTTTCGGTGTATCTTATTCGCTGCTTCTTGTCATCGTTATGGAAAGTTCCCGGCCCGAGGATATCTGCCTTCACTTCCCTTCCTTTGAAATGGCATGAGCTGCAAGCAACCAGAACGAAGTACATCCACAAACTTCACCAGCAGTATGGCCCAGTTGTCCGGATCGCACCAAATGAAGTCTCGTTTACATCTTACGAAGCCATTAAAGAGATTTATTGCTCCGGGGGTAGCGGCTATGACAAGACGGAGTTTTACGACTTATTCAAGGTCTATGGACGAAGGTATGTGATGGAACTTTATCTTGATAGGAACGAAAAAGGCTGACAATACCAGGACCATGTTCACAACGCTGAATAAGGAAGATGTAGGGCCCCTGAGGAAGCTTGAACTTGGAGGAGGAAAGTGACTTATGACTTGCTCTAGCATGCAAAGCGAAAGAGAATTATCGCGGACCGGTACGCAAACAGCAACGTCCTACGACCTGTACCCCTTGGCGGAATCCAGGAGAGGTCACAAAAATTTATCAACCTATGCAAGACGTCCGTGGGCAAGAGCCACGACATATTCGTACGTTGAAGCCGCCAAGGTTCCCTGTTCCAACTCTCGAGACGGAGTGCTGACTGCTTTCGCAGATGAGCCTTCACTCCTACGCCTGTGATTGCGTTACACATCACCTGTTCCATCCGTACGGCAGTAACTGCCTTGAGGACGAGGCGGACGAGGAAATGATGCACCAGGTCGCCGCCGACGACAGCCTGCAGAGTGAGTATACGCCTGGCAGATGTTACTCCATGAAACAAACTTTTTCAAGGCTCGCCAGACCGGGCTAATCGTTGGCTTCGAACGCAGATCGCCTCGTCCAGCACTACAGTCCCGCGCTGCACAAGCTCCTCTCTAGATTCCTATACCTCTTCGCCAAGCCCCGCGAAACCCCCCTCGCCGACACCTTCATCATCGAGTCCAGCAAGAAGCCCGACCCGGCCGCATTCACGCTCCTAAGCCGGCTACACGACAAAGCCGGCCAGGGACTAGACCAGCTCGACATGGCGGGCGAGTGCCTCGACCACATGGCGGCGGGCATCGACACGACAGGCGACGGACTGTGCTTTCTGATGTGGGAGCTTTCGCAGCCGCGTTCCCTACGATTCCAAGACAAGCTGCGCCTGGAGCTGAGGGAGAACCCCGGCGTCGCGTTCGACAAGTTGCCGTTCCTCGATGCCATCGTGCAGGAAGGGTTGCGGTGCTTTCCAGCCATCCCGATGTCCCTGCCACGATACGTCCCCCAGGGCGGACGACTGATAGACGGTTATTTTATCCCTGAAAAGACTATTGTCAGCTGTCAGGCGTATTCTATCCACCGCATCAACGAGGACGTGTTCCCGGAGCCGGATGCCTTCAACCCAGATCGATGGATGGAGCCGACGGGTGACGCGGAGAGGAAGCGGCTAATGTTTGCATTTGCCAACGGAGGTCGAGGATGTGTTGGCAAGCAGTGAGTATCATTTCCTACAACCCCAATATTCCACAGTGAGATCCCGCTGTTAACTTTGCACCAGTCTGGCGCTCGCCGAGATGAAGACTCTTTTGACGGACATCTACACCCGTTACACGACGCTTCCTGAGACGTCGATGACAGAGGAGTCGATGGCCATGTCGGACCAGCTCATCTCCTCGCGGCCGCTAGGACAAAGGTGTTTGCTGCAGTTTGTTCCATTTGGCGAGAAGCGAGAATGATGGTTTCAAGGGGATGAACGAGAAGCTGTCAAAGTTGCATAGTAAGGTATGTTGCATATGGCGCGAAATGCGTCGAGCATATCGCGTCTGGGCGTTTCAGCAAGTGTTTGACCAGTGCGGGAGGTAGGGTGTCTGGCATCTGGGTCTTGGGCAGGAATGCAAAATTAGTAAAGACAACGTGCCTCGACAGTGAGATAGTTTGGCGCATGTTACTGAATAGCCGTGGTAGACTGCCAATTCCAAGTCACATCATAGGTACCAGAAAGATTTCCTGGTGATCCGCTTCCCTGTTGTACCTATTTGGCCTTGCTTGGTTGCCACATATGGTTGCGTAGACGAGCCAGGTTTTCCGCTACCAACTGTCCTGCTTTGAGGTACCTTAGCTTAGCCAAGGGAAGCTGCAAGTTGAGTGATGACTGGCATGGCGATGACTGGTTCGGCTTTGTTAGCCGGTGTTAGGCGAGGCGAGGCGAGCAAAAAGAATGGCGGGCAGCGCGGTTTACTAGCTACAGGTTGCAGGCTGCATGCTGCATGCTGCACAGGACAAAGTGCTCCATACCCCCCGCCTAATGTCGAAACGGGAACTCCTGGTCCCCAGGGTCTTTTTTTTTCCTTTTTTTTTCTCGCTTATCTTTGGTTTGACTTCTTTCTTGGAGCCCCATTTTCTCTTGGAAAGCTTCCTTCCCGCGGATTTGCAATGCGAATAGACGCTTTTCCAAGCGGGAAAGGCCGTTGGTTGGCCTGTGCCTGGCGCGGAGCTGTCGCGGTTTCCCCCTTCAAATGCCAAACGGAAATAAGAAACCACGCCAGCCTTTAGGCTTTTCCCCCTTTGCTGTCTCATGCTCGAGTTATGTCTGATGGATGCAGGAGGTGGTGGAATAGTCATCGGAGAAACAAACGAAGAGAGAGAGAGAGAGAGAGAGCAAAATGGTTGGCCTCAGAGTCTCGATGTCTACTGTACACGTGTGATATAAAAGTGTCTACGTGAGGTTTCCCGATGGTAAACGACACAAAGCACTGCAACAATGAATGAATGCTGAGGCCAAATGTGAGGCCAAAAGAAAGGCCGGGAAACGTGCAGGGCAGCAAGTGGATCGGGCTGACTGCGTGTCGCATCCTGGGCACTGGACTGGTCCGGTGGCGCCGCGGGGCAGGCGAACGGCGACCTCCCGTCAGACCCGGATTTGAAACTTGCTGGTTGTTCTGGCTGTCTGACAACAAGGCTCCAGGGAGGGTCTCTGGGTGGTGGCGCACCACTGACAGGTACAAGGCAAGGGCCGGCCAGGCTGCTAGTCCGCCATACTTCCCGCCCCGGGCACCCAAACCATGAGCCCTGAGGCGAGATGTGCTCTTTGGGGGAGGGCGTCAGTGAATGAGGTGCTGAGGCGAAGGTGAATTGGTAAGGGACTGGAAGGTAGCCAGGCGCTCCACTTTATGATTCCAGGGGTTTTTATTTTATTTTTATTTCCTATTTTTCATGTGTTTCCGAACTTCCTACCTACTCTGCCGCCACCTCCGACTCACTCCACTCCACCTCAGCCTTTCCCAAAACTCTGCGCCCACTGCCCAGTCATCTCCGTTTTCTCCTCTTCCCACCCACAAGAAAAAAAAACGCACAAAAACCTCCGCTCGGAGATCCGTCCATCGAGCACATATCGCAATTACCTTAAACCCACCTTTTCGCAATCGCAGGTCACCGCCCTGCTTAGGCATCTCTGCATCCTCGCGTCGTCCGCGGTAAAATCTTCCAAGCACACAAAACCTCCCTCTCCACCCCTCTCTCTCCCTCCTGAGAACGTTGCCACTTCCCACTCCCCGCCAACACAACACAGTATCGTCAACATCGCCAGCAGCATCCTCTCTCGCCGCGTTCCGACCCCCGAGTCTTCTTCCGCGAGAGTTGAACATACAAGACCACCCTCACGCGGTACAGGTCACATAGCAGTTTATGTATCAGCACGACAATACCACCGTCTTCAGACACTTCGTCCCCAAGCTGCAATCATTTCGCATAGCGAAACCTTGTAGCCCCAACATCAGTTCCGTTGGCTGAAATCCCCTGACCCAGAGGAGTTCATGAATTCTCGACAGCAAAGACGATCTAGTCTCGCTTTACCCTATGTTCATCAAAAAAACCCTTGAGCATTGAGTCCGCCTTCTTGCTCCCCAACCAGCTTCGTTGCCAAATCGTCGATCCTATACCACCCCGACCTACGGCTTCTTCATGCTACCCGCCCGCCTAACCGACAGCACTACCTGCTTCGCATCCCGAGCCCTTACCTTTCAAATCCAAGTAACCTTCTAAACCAATACTTCTTGCAAGATTCTTCAGTCCCACTACAATCAACACCGCAATCATGGCTTCTCTCATCAACGTTCGTCGCGACGTCAAGGACGCTTTCTATCGCTACAAGATGGAAAAGATCGTCACCAAGATCGAGGGCAAGGGCAATGGTATCAAGACCGTTGTCGTCAACTTGAGCAGCGTCGCTCAGTCTCTCGCCCGTCCCGGTGCCTATGTCATCAAGTACTTTGGCTTCGAGCTCGGTGCCCAGACCAACGTTGACCCCGCCGACGACCGCTGGATTATCAACGGGTCGCACAACGCCGCCAAGTTGCAAGATCACCTCGATGGCTTCATCAACCGTTTCGTTCTCTGCAAAAAGTGCAAGAACCCCGAGACTGACGTCAACATCAAGGATGGTCGCATCCTCCTCGACTGCAAGGCCTGTGGCCAGCGTTCTGAGGTCGATCTCCGTCTGAAGCTGAGCGGTTACATTCTGAAGAACCAGCCGAAGAAGGGCAAGAAGGACAAGGCTGAGCGCAAGGCCGCCCGCCGCGCGAAGGCCAACGGTACCAAGGAGAACGGACAGGGAAGCGGAAGCGGCGGAGAAGGATCCGACAACGGCTCCAACGATGCCGACGACCAGGATGTTGGTAGTGATGACGAGTTGGAGAAGATGAAGAAGGAGGCTCCTGAAATTGACCAGTTTGAGACCCAGGAGCACGAGTGGGCCGTCGATATGAGCGAGGAGGCCGTCAAGGCCCGTCAGGCTCAGCTCCCCGGCGAATTCAAGCAGAAGCTCAACATGGGCGATGACGAGGACGAAGATGGCGAGGCCTCCGGAAGCACCGTCTACGACGAGTTCGGAACCTGGATCCAGGACGAGGCCACTGCCAAGGGTAGCGTCGACAAGATCGACTCGATTGACATCTTTGTCAAGGCCAAGGAGCTCGGCATCGAGACCAAGCACCGTTCCGTTCTGGTTCTGGTTCAGACCATCTTTGACGAGAACATTCTCGCTCAAGTCCCCAAGCGCGCTGGCATGATGAAGCAGGTATGTTAAAATAGTCTGGACCATACAGTCTTAGATCCCCATTGACTAACTTGATTCTTTAGTTTGTCACTTCCGAGCGCCACGAGAAGGCCCTCCTTGGTGGTACCGAGCGTCTCATCGGCCAGCTCGCCAAGGAGCACCCCGACATCTTTGACAAGATTGTCAAGATTCTCCAGCTGTACTACAACCACGATCTTCTCAGCGAGGAGGTCGCCGTCAAGTGGGGCAGCAAGGCCAGCAAGAAGTACACCGACCTGTCCACCTCCAAGAAGGTCCGCAAGGCCGCGGAGCCCTTCATCAAGTGGCTCGAGGAGGCCTCGGAGGAGGAGTCGAGCGAAGACGGCGAGTAAATCTGTATTTGACGGCGAAATTGGGAGACGTTGTTGGCATCCTGGTGTCAAAGACTATCGTGCCCATCGCTTAGATCGATTCGCATCTCTTGTCTGGCAGCCTTGTCAGAACCCTTCGCTCGTTTTCTCTCCCCCTCGGTTCCCTCGTCGCCCAGTGACTGAGCGTTTCCATTAACCTGGCACATCTCTCGCCGGCGTACGCATGTCAGAGGACTTAGGTAGCACACATCTCGTAGACTGCAGCAATTGGCAAACTATCCACTCTCACTCTCTGACCGCCACACGTATGCATTCGTCTTTATCTATCTATGTCGGATTCTGGTGCCAATTAACTGGTTCTTCCGCTGACCTAGAATTGAGGGGAAAAGTGCAATGTCCGACGCGCCTTTCTCGCGGGTAAAATAGTCTAAGGTCGTAAAAGAATGTAAGCAAGAACTCAGCGTCTCTTCCGCTCGCAAGGCTCGCAACTCCTCTTGAGCGAGCCATTGATAAAGTCCATACCTCATGCATCTGAGGAAAACGCCCAAGAGATGCGTAACGCAGAGACCCCCTCAGCTTCAAAGACCTGGCAGCTGCTGTCAAATATTTTACGCCGCTCAACCACCTATCCACTCTTTATGGATGCGGTATACATCAGGCGCCTTCCATCAACTCAGCTTCGCTAAAATCATCTTTACCAACCGTCTGCCGCGCCGCCTGTCGACTGCGCCAAAGTCGGATCGCCCCAAGGAGGTATGTTAGCATCCCAAGCACCTGGCATACTCTTGCTGCTGCTCGAGGCCTTGCTCATCTCGGTCGCCGTAGGACCCCAATTGACCTCGCCATTCGTGGTCTCGGGCCCCCATCCGGCGCCGCCGCCAGCCGTTACCCACTGGTCGGTCTTGTCCTTGCTTCGCGAGCTCTTCTTCGCCGTCTGGGAATTCTGAGGACTGTTGTTGGCTGTTGGGCCGGCGTTGTTGTCCCAACCGGCATCGGTAGAAGTTTGCGGCGGCGAACTCTTCTTTGACTTGTTGGACTTATTCGAACTGTTCGATGCTTTACGTCCTGATCCTGAGCAGCCAACATTGTTTCCCTGACCATCCCAATTTGTAGCAGGCTGGGCTTGACCACTGGTACTACGGTTGCTGTCGTTACCACTGTGGCTCTTGTCCGATTTCTTCGAGCCGGAGTGGTTCGAACCATTTCCCCAGTTGTTGCCGTAGTCGCCTCCGGAGTTGGTCCAGGCATCGGCCGACAGGTCAATGGGGGCACCCCATCCATCGTTTTTCATGGTTGCGGCCTGGTAATTGTTGTTTTCGGTATTGCCCCAAGTAGTATCGTTTGTCGTCGTCCAGCCGTCACCGCCAGAAGCTGTCTGGGCGTCATGACCCTGCGTGTTGCCGGATGTACCCCAAGCATCATCGTTCTGGCTAGTGGTGTTCCATCCATTGTTGCTCCCGCTGCCGCCAGGCCCACCCCAAGAATTATTGTTCGCATCCCCAACCTTCGTCCAGGCTGAATTGCTCCCCTTGTTGCTTCCCTGGCTTTTCGTGGGAGTGTTGCCCCATGCAAGATCCGGATGTTGACCACTACTCAGAGGCTGCCAGTCTGTAGTCTTCTTTGATCCCCAAGAGTTCTTGCTTCCATTAGACCCACCGCCATTGACCTTGCTTCCAACTTGTGATCCATTCTTGTTCGGAGTAGACTTTTTGCTGAGGTCGCCAGCGAAGGCAGCCCACGGAGTGTTTGGATTCACCGTCAGGTTGATGTTAATAGGGGAAGCCGGAGCCACATTGTTGGGACTCGCTGTCTTTGTCGGAGGCGAAGGAGCTTTGCTTTGCTGAGGGCCAACATTGGTATCCCATCCCTTTTCCTTGTCTTTTGCGCCTGTCGATGCCGCGTCTCCTAGAATGGCTCCCGACATGACAGGCTTTGGAGATCCCTTTGGAGAGAGAGTCTTAGGAGACATTGGACCCCACCACGGCGGTATCTGCATCGACGTCTGCATTGGATCGACTGCTGCCATGACCGGTGGTCCTCCAGGCATGCACGTGACTGGCATAGCGCCCCAGGGAGACTGGCGCTTGAAATGGTTATCTCCCGGGTTTGCGGGATTGGCGAACCCGTGGAAATAGGGGTTCTGCAGGGGATGAGGAACGCCCATGGGCAAAGGAGCGTTGTTCGGGTCACGAGTAGGATATAGCAAGCCGTAAGGGTTGCCGTATGCTGGACCATGGTAGACTCGAACAACGCCGTGTTGTGGGTCGTGAAAAGCGTTGGGTCGAGGGTCTTCGACGCCTTCAATAGTATGCTCAATTTGGACAACCTCCGCGCGAATGGGCATAATGAGATTGGGTCGGCGCAGGTGAGGAGATAAGACCGCCTCGGGTCTTAACTTCTGAGGCTCACTGGCCTTCTTGGTCGCATCCGACTTCGCTCCTCCATTCTTGTTACGAACTTTTTTGATGGTAGGGCCGACATTGTTAGGTTCAATGTCTGCTGAAGCGACGCTCTCCTTGGTCTTGAACGACTTCTTGACACGGTCCTTCGTCTTTTCTTGCGTCTTCTTCTTCTTGGGAGGCGCCGGTGTCTCATCGTCGCTCTCATCGGTCTCAGATTCGGTCTCTGTCGTCTCAGTCTCGCTTTCCTCACTTTCTGACGAAGATTCTACTACCTTCTCTTTGGCGGACTTGTCGCCTTTCTTCTTCTTTGACTTTGATTCCGACTCCGAGTCGGATGTGTCGTCAGTCTTTGACGACTTCTTTTTTTCTTTTTGCTTCATGGTTAGCTAGGTTTTCTTCATGTGAAATCAGAGTGCTCGTAACCCCAACGAATCTCGGAATTACCCTTGGACTCGGCTTCTGAATCCTTGGCCTTCAGCGCGGACTTCGGTGACATCTTGTCAAAACGGACCTTCTTGGTGCCGGAAATCGAAGTGTCCTTGCTGCGGTTGGCGCGGGGGTATGTGATCTTGACAGTGTCCTCTTCGGATTCATCGTCGGTGGAAATCTCGACGCAGATCCGCTGTCTGCTGCTGGACTTCTTTCGCCTGCGCCGTTCGATAGAGTTGCAGTAATCCTCGACGCTGAAGCCGAGAGCCCACTCGCAGATCGTAGAACTGCGGGTGTTACGCGTCATGTCGGCGGGTGGCGATCAAAGTGCGGTCAATGAGATGCTCTGTATCGTGGGTGCTGTTCGGTGAGCGACCAAAATTACGAAAGACTTTTCCTTGCTCGGGTGCTATAGAAGACTTTTAGGATAAGTAGACACAGAACGAGGATGGTATTTCTGTTTTTGTCAAGTGATTGGAAGTGGAAGAGCGTGGAGGCTAAGAAGGCAGATGAAGTTGGGTCAACGTAACGACTTTAGGTAGTTCGCTCAGGTTGGGAAGGAACCAACTGACTTTGCACTTGCCTCAAGATTTATTTCCAATAAATTCTGCAACGGAAGAACATTCAAACCAAGGTATTGACAGTAGCACAGAATTCAGTGTGGAAATTTTCCTGCCTTAATATCACAAATTCAAGGCCATGAGTGGCAATGATGCACTTGGCCATGCTTGAAAGGAGGCAATAAGAGAGCTGCAAAAGTTCGCTCACCCGCATCGCTTTTTTACATCACGCACTAAGGACAGAATTTAGGATATCGGGAGCTTTAGTTTGAAGGTTGTAATCTGCCTAGGTTCGGAATGGGGCGCCTAACCACTCCTGAACCATCGTGGAATGACTCTCGGGGTAGACATATTGGCCTACATCCAAACCACCTATCGAAAGCTGCCTCCAACTCTAGCCTTCAACGCAGCCGTGACCGCATGGTCCAAGAACAATCTCTGGCCTGTTGACATAGGAAATAATGGCTTCATCCTCCTTGGCGGCTCACCCTTATTTGATACCCGTATCGTCCTTGGGCGATTACCCCAAGCCGTCAAAGCAGAAATCATCTGTGGTAACTCGCATCTACTGGCTTGTCAGGGGCTGAGAACTTGTCATAGATTGCGTGACTTACCTGCCGACTTGATAATAATGACGGAGCAGAGAGAATGGCAGGGTGCCAGAAAGTTGGAATCATCTGCTGTGATCAGAAATGGGAGTCTCTTCGTTCCTTGCGACAAACTCACAAGCAAATTTGTATCATACCACCCTTTTCCCGAGGTCTTCCGAGTCGTCTCGTTGCCAATTTGAACCTGTTTTAGGCGTTAGCCATTCATCCCAATTTTCCAATCGAGGTGAAATACCAGTGATGAAGATTTTCCTCAGTTCGGCAAACGGACGGCATAGAAGTAGCCCTCGTTGGTGACATACCAACGACAATCGCCAAGGTTGTCAATAGTAAAACGATTGCGCTGGGTCCAATTACCGTCAACCTCTCGAACGGGATAGTAGCGGGATGGGTCATCGTCCGCAGGCTTGAAGTCCTGGGGCTCGAAGAGACCGTTGGCATAGGCAAACTGAGCTTGCTCCATGGCGACCTCTCCTGCGGTCTTGCCAAATCCAGTGACGTCCGGAGGAAGGTTGGCATTACCTGCGAAGATGGGCGCTCCACCGCCACCCATGTGAGGAGGAATGTTCATACCCATTTGGGGACCCTGGAACATGGGAGGGCCTCTGAATCCGGCAGGAGGGGCTTGAAGCATGACCGGGGCCTGCATGCCCATACCGGCGTGCATGGGAGGCTGCTGGGTCATGAGGATGGGAGGCTGAAAGGGAGCCTGGCCAATGTAGGTGACGTTGTTGGCAGGGGGCTGCTAAAATCCAAAGTCAGCAAATTGTTTTCGTAAAGTTGGATGAAAACAGCGAGATGTAAACAAGATAAGGAGGTGAAGCAAGGAATTTCAGATGTCTGATGAACCACGTGAGCCACTCGGCTAAGGAAGCAATCGCAAGATTCTAGCGTGTAAGTGCTTGGGAACTTGCATAATAATGAACAACAACAAGAGGCGCGCCAAGCAGAACTGGAGCAGGCTTCGGGGCAACAAAAGAAGCCATTGGAAGAACCTGAGCATGAGGGAGACCGACGTGATAGACAGGAGGCATTCCATTGTCGAAGCGAGGCACATAGACGTGCTGCATAGGGCCGTAGGTGGTGTCCGGGACCGGCGGCTGGAAGTGAAGACCACCAGCGGGCGGAGCGACGTTCTGGTAATCGGCCATGTTGACGTAGGGAGGCGCGGAAAGTCCGTACGGATTGAATTTGCCGAAAGGCGCGAACGAGTTGGTCTCGGTGATGTAGGCTGGATGAGAGGTGGAGGGTATGAATGGGTTGAGGTATGGGTTAGCCGCCTGGCCGAAGGGTGCAAGAGGAAAGTGGCTGCCTAAGTTGACTGAGGCAGAGGGATTGGTCGAGGTGTGGACAAAAACACCGCTGCCCTCGCCTGCGTCGTCTTCGTGGGTGTTGAAGGCAGGAGCGGTCGAGGTGCTGGTTCCCTGGGTAACAGGGAAAGAGGTTCCGGGATTGCCGCTGTCCTCCTTGAAGCGCACCTGCCGCGGGCCGGTGTTGTTGGCAGCCGACTTGGTTTTGGGAGACTTCATGGTGGGTTTGATAGGCTCGATATGAAGACTAAAGTCGACGTTGGTTTCTTTTTTCCGAATATCGAGGTCGTGGTTGTTTCGACGGATATAGCGAACTCGAAGATCCAGAGGAAGAGACCAGATGCCAGGAGATGAATCTCCTTGGTGGATGCAGGGCTTGGATGAGATGGCACTGCTCACTTCATTCCAGTCCTTTGTGAATGGGTAAAAGGTGAACTTGACCAAAGGAATGTGAAGAGGAAGAGGTCTGAAGAGTGGACCACGGCGAGACTCATTCTGATCCCTTCACTCAGCTGCAGTGAGATCCACTGCGGCTTGATACTTTCAATGTCCCAATATCCCGCTTCAGTGTGATATGGGTTGGCCCTTTGTTTCCAAGGCCGCAAGATCGTGAAAAAGGGCAGAACATTGCCAGATCTTCTACATGTACCGGGCAAATCGGCCGTGGAACAATGGACAATACCGGGAAAGGGGGTGAAAAGCAAAAAGATCTAGGAGACAGCTGACTTACAATGTCCACAGCGTACCTCTGGCCGTCCCAGCCGAAGCGATATACAAGCGGTGGATCCTCGTTGTCGTAGTGTGCCTTCGAAAAAGGCCAACATCCGCACATTTTGGCGATACCTAAAAAACAGGTGGGAGACGAAGGCAGAATTGGGTCAGATTATGGCGGTGCTTCTCGACGGTTTGGGCCCCGGTACTGGGATAGTAGGAGTGGAAGATGAAGTCAGTAAGGTGAGGTATCTTAGTAGGTAGTGGGGTCCGAGAAGCATCGGGCGAGTTTGGCAGGACCTCTCCGAAGGCTTTTCAAACTTGAGCGGCGTTAGATATTTGGTATGATGATTTCCGATCTTGATTCTGGGCCTTGGTATATATCAACACAGGGAGAAAACCGGCAGGTCTTTAGTGATGATCCCGAGCGCACACGGGATGTAAAGCGACAACGCAGCGCAAGATTGTTTACTTATGGCATTGACATAATGAGAAGACAAGCTGATTGCAGCCACCAAAACCAATACAGGCGAACATGCAGAACCAAACCATAGTTGCTACCAGTGCCAGCACATACATAAGCTACCTACCTAAAGTGAGCCAAGAAGCGCAATGAGCGCCGCAAGCATCGACTCTTCATGACGACCATAGTCAAGCTTGTTAGTCCGTCTCTTCAACGCAATCCAAGAACAAGAGATACCTTGTCCATCAGTCGAATTCTCCAGGCTGAGGCCAATCGTCCTCCTCCATGTTTTCGTCCGTGGAAGCTTCCAAGAGGCTGTCGAAGTCGTAGGGGCCTCCTACCAGCGCAGGCTTGCTGTTCGCAGTTAATTCTGTTTCTGAAGGTTCAGGGAGAGGCCGGCCAATTAGCTGTAGTATTTCGGGCAGCTGCTTGATGAATTTGCGCTGCCAAAGCTACTAAATTGTCAACGCCAGGATGTCAAACCTCAAAAGTGGTGCGCTCAACCGACCTTGACAATGCCAACGATATCTCCTTTGGCCTGCCCTAAAGTTCTGATTGCAAGAAAAGCTTTCCTGCCATCGAGATCCTGCGAAACCTTCTAGTTCGCTGGAATGTCAAAATTTTGATGGGCGTCGACTGTCACGTAGGCCCACGCATCATTCATTATGTCAAGATTATTGAACCAGGTCTGGTATGTTCTGGCAGCGGCGGCTTTTGGAGGGGCGGGCTTAGATATGATGAAGTCATCGATCAGCTGGACGTACTTTCGCTTGATATTCTCCACGTTACTGCCCATTGTATCCGTCACCTTGGAATGAAACTTGGACATTGTTTGGATGAAACAATCGAAGTCTGTCCACATCGGCCAAACTGACTTCTTGAGGACCGAGTCACCCTTGTTGTCGAGGTAAATCAAGATAACGTGGAAGGACTCGCTGGCGATGAGAGGGGAAGTACTCAAGCTCCACAGTCTCGTCCGGGCAACGTCTTGAATCTAAAAAATGAAGATCAGAACGTTTGTTTACATTGAAGTTGACTGAGTTGTTTGACTTTTTTTCTCAGCAAGAGGTTCCGAAATTGCTGCGTTGTCCTCTTTTCTTGTTTGACATCCTCGGAGCCGTAGAGCTGGTTTTGCGGACCCAGGCCTTCGCCGCCGAAGATATGCTCATTGTTAGAGGCGTTATCATCGCTGGGATTTTCATTTTCGAGCTCCTGAGACAGGCACTGATGCAAGGCCAATAGCCCGTCATTTGACAATAGTTGAATGTTCCGCTGGAGGTCGTGGTCTCGGGTGCTGAAGGACTTGGAGAGATAGGATGTCTCTTCGGGTAATGGTGACGAGGTATCGTAGGGGAGGAAGTCGTGTCCGCCGACTTCATTGTAGACGTGAATTCCCATTGACCATGGCTCGCAGTCTGATAGATCGAGGTGCTTCGCTCTGGCTCGCATGTTGTCCAGCTCGAGATCGACCAAATTGTTCGCGAGTTGTTGAATTGCTGAAGATATTTCCATCTTGCGCAAGCAAGTACTCGTCGCTATAGTTGATGGTGAAGAATGATACCACGCCGAGGCTGCTGCATGCGGGAGGTGAAGTAAAGTGGAGGGAATGACGATGATATGTTTGTGCCTGCTCCTTCTCCATGACGATATCCTTCTTCACTAAGTTGTTGGGTTGCATGCAAAGACACACAGAAGGGCAGTCTGGATCGAGCCTGTGCTAGCTAGAGGCCTGCTCAGAACGTCCCTTCCGTTGGCATAGGCCAGGCGACCAATCCAAAATGGCAACACCATTCCATGGTGATTGAACGCAGAAGAAACGTGTGATGATGTTCTTTTTGACTCTTTTTGAAAGGTACCGAACGCCCACTACCACCCAGTGATGCGGTCTTCTAATGCTCCTTCCTAAATACTGTACACGGGTCCACTTGAGGAGAGATCGTCCGTCACAATGCCCAAGACTCCTCTAAGGCGCTCTAAATTTCCTACTCAAACAACAGATAGAAGAAACTCGCGATGGCGAGCATAGTCGTCCACAGATCCAATGTGATGTGTGGAGATAATGAAGATTCATTATTGGCGGGGTTCAACGGAGACAATTCGTCAGGTTATGTCGTAAATTACAAGGTGGCATGCTCGGAAGTAATAGGCTCGGGGGCAGAGAAGAAAGTACTGCGGATAACCTGTGGAAACGATTAGATATGCGAAGCTGATGAACTTCTAAGGATGGCAACTTACAGCCCAGGCACCGGCTATGGAGGCCACAACACCACCAGAAATCAACATGGGCCGCACACCTCTTGTGCTCTTGAAAACCATTCCACTAAGCGCGCCAGCCAAGATCGTGTTAGCCGAGTCATGCTTTCCTCTGAAGTAGCCGATACCCGCATTGAAGAAGTTGTAGGTAATGGCAACGACACCGGCGGAGTTACCCAGGAAGGGGCCGCGGCGGGTGACAGCGTTGAGCACGGAGTTGAGTCGTAGCTTTGGCGGCTGGTTGGCAGATCTTCTCAGACCCTCTTGCAGACCCCAGGCTCCTCCTATCGACAAGGCTGCCAAGTATGTGACACCAGTTCCGTAGCAAAGGTCATCGGTGAAGCCTCGAGAGGGAAGGGCAGACTGGCCAGGAACGTCCGCCAGAGCCGCGTCTTCGAGGGAAAGATATTCGAGGGTGTCCTTATTCAGGCCAGAGAGAGGGTGTAGTTGCGCGGGGTCGGCAAAGGATGAGCTCTGAAGGAAAGACTCGACGCCAGATCCTGCTGAAGGGTCGAACTGTGCTGGAGTGTTCTGGAAGGTAGTTGTAGGTTCGGGGGTTGGTGAAGTCTGAGAAGCACCCGCATCCTTCTGAGAGGACTTACGACCAGAGAGAGTATCCCAGAGCGACGACATGGCGAAGGTTGTGGACGTGGCGGATGGAAGAAGCCGGGGATCGGAGTTGGACGGTGGACAGGAGATGTGGGCTTGTAGGCCGATGATGGAAGCTGTCGAAAAAATTTGGGCAGAGCGATCGCGACTTGGACCGTGCGTTTGAAATGCAGTGGAAAGTGACGGATGCAGTTGCACTGCACTTTCAGATGGACTCCACTTATCCGGCCATCTTTCGGAAGGCTCGAGTTGAGATTCTCCGGCTTACCTCATCGCAGCGGTTCCTTTAAGCTCTCGCAATGAGTCAGCAATTGCAGAAACTCCTTGAGTGGACCGACGGGAGCTGGCACATTACATAAGGTAGCGGATACTATTTCAATCTACCTTACTTCAATTTCCCCGAAGCTGGGGCGGCCGGGGGGTGGTGCTGGCAAGGACAGGTACGGCAGGCTCCACTCGAGACCAGGCAACGACCTTAGCAGGCGCCCGAGACAATGTTTCCAGAATTAGACGAACAAAAACGACATGTCATTCCAAGCAACAGCTAGATTCTGTCGATTCTCGTGGCTCGGCCTATTGAATATTACCGTTGGTTTCTTCTTTCTGAACCAGCCCATGGAATTCTTTCTTCTAACAGTAGAACGTGATTTGATGCCGTTGCAGGATCACTCCCAGATCCAACTCACAACCCGCCAGTTTCCTGCCTGCTGGGCAGCCCGAGTCTGAGCCACGCTGCACGCTCCAAGAGGAGCAAGAGGATTTCCTGTGGTACGATAATTGGACAGTAGTGCCGGGCAGAAGCTGGCCAAGCAGCCTGCCTGATATGCAAGTTGCCAGCGAGGAGCCTTTGTGACTCGTCCAGCGGCACAAACATGCAGGAACTTGATCTATGTGTCACTCGGGAACGGAAACAGATTAGGAAATACCTTGCTGCACCGTCGCCCGATTGAAGATGAAGGTTGGGTGTTGATTGCCGGCGCCCTCAAGTGGCACAACTCATCAAGGACTGTCCTCGTCTTTGACCCAGTCACACTATATAAGTGACCTACCCATCGCCCTCTTATTTTTCACAAAGATCCGTTGTTGATTCTCGTTACTATCTGCTTGTATTATTAGTCGATCTGTAAATCGAAAAGATATCCATTCGCATCACCGAAAAGAGGCACACCACTTACGCCTTATACGAAGTTGATTCTAAGGCACCGACCATGCTTAACCTCATCAGCATGGGGGTTTGGGCCCTTCAGGTTTGTGACAAGATACTCGTCTCAGTTAATGAGATCTGGTAGCGTGGATGAACTAACACTGCGCGTTCCATAGGGCATCATGGCCATTATTGTCCTCGGCCTCTCTGTCGACCTTGTCAGGGTACAGAAGATTGGCGACGCTCCCACAACTACCAAGTATAGCACATTTACTGGCGGCTTTGGATTAGCCGTCGCTGTGCTTGGCCTGATCTCTGTCTTCATAGACGCCATCCCGGCTCTGCTGGTAATGGCAGCGGATGCGCTGAGTGGGGTTTTACTTCTCGGAGGTGGCATCGTAGGTCCATCGATGTTTATCCTAGGTACACGCGATTGCTAATTAGGACGTTAGGCTTTCGCCGTTAGGTTGCGCGGTGTTGCGTGTGACAGGGCCCATGGGGAAGCAATTTTTGAAAGCGAAATCATCAACGGTGGAAGATTCAAGAGTGATGGAGCGTGGTACAGTGCACCCGGCACAACTGAAGAGTTCTTTTTAGAAAGGTGCAAGAAGGCAACCGCGGACCAGGCTATGCAATTTGTGACATTTGGATTTGCGCTGACGACTTTTGTTCTTGTATTTTTGGTTTGGAAGAACGGTCGTGGAGGCCGAGGTGCCGAGTATGTTTGACCTCTTGACGTTGTGTTATTCGGACAAGCATGAAAAGTAATTGGAGGCTACGGAGCAGCTTTTTGAATGAAACCCGTCTGGTCCAACTTCAAGTTACGCGTGCAACCCACGTGTGTTCATTATTCGTGTCGGACCCTCTTCTCAATGATGAATGAGAGGGTTTCATAGACAATATTTTTAAAGTTGCGGTCACGGATTGCCTCTTCTCCCTGCTGTCAAATTAGACAACAGCTGACGATTCATGGTATCGTTCCTATAAATCAGCACCGCGTACGGTGTGACGACAGATTTTGACTCGGTTTGAATGCCAGACAACTCCTCTTGCCTAGGTAGCAAACAGGTCATTCAAAGCGCCCAATATCAAATCTCGACAGGAGACCGGCCAGGTTGGTAAACGCTGCTTTGTCGACGCTTTGGAAGAAGGCAAAGAGATTGCCTCTCTTATACCGCAGTACTTTTTGAGCGAAGTGCTAGGCAGGGACAGGAAAATGCGGGTTGGACGCAGGATAAACCCTTTAATAGTTCAGATTCCTTTACAAAAGGATGTTGAGACCACCCCACAGTCAAATACCAGGAAGAGTCGTCATACTCGGCTGATAAGGAAAGGTGTTCACATGGGATTTACTTTAGGAGGCCGGGAACGGAAGAAAGTCCAAGGAGAACAGGACAACCCTCAGCAAGCCGCATAGCGGAGCCGCCATACAGACCAAAAACATATGACGATGTAAATTTGGTCCGGATTGTAGTAAAGAGGAAAGGAGAAGTCGAGTGAAGTTGCATCGCGAGAAGAGATTTTTATGGTTGGTGAGGGGTGGGGCTGGTCCCAGTCCTGCGCTAGCACTGCCGCCGTTTCTGTTTCTCCGGCTCACATTCAGGTGGTCTGTGCTTGACTTGCAGTGCCACTTGCCGCCAGAGGCCCTCTTTAGTACCACTACCATGACGGCATATCACATCTCGCCTAAATGTAGGTAGCTATACACCCCAGGCTGTGATTGACAACGGCAGGAGCTATCGAGTGAGCTTCCAAGGAACGCGCCCAAGTGTGTGTGCCATGATGACGCGCTGCGCACCTGCATCTTTTGATCCCCGAGGGCGACATCTTTCACCTCGGGTTCACTGTAGCTACCTACCTTGGTAGTTATCCTGTAATATCACACCAAGCAGCAACAGCCATCTAGCCAGTGCAACGAAACAAACATGGCGCCAGTGACCTTGGAACCGGAAGTGAAGTGCGTTTGATCCATCGACATGATAGACTAACAGTTCTGATATGATATTCAGGTACTTGCCTTTGAGCTTGGTGGCTGGCCACGCGCTGGCAGTGGCAATTTTCGGCACCACTGTCGCTCGAAGCCTCTCCAGATCGTATCAGCACTTGCCGCCATCTCAGGGCACAAGAGCAAGACTTGTTCGGCGTTCAGCCCTCGCACCTCTGTTTGCAAGTTTGGCACTCGTTAGCTTGTCTCTTGCAAGTTACTGGGCCTCAAGCTATGCGAAACTCTCATATCGCGTCTGGGCAGACCAACGTGGAGTTGAAGCTCCAGTTCGGTTTGTTTCGTCTTGCGCACTTTCTTTGTCTGGCTTACTCATGGCATCTTAGCTTCTATGGCGATCATGGGGTCATTCCCAGCGGAAATGCGACCGAGATTTTCATCGGCCGCTGGCTAAATGACACATCAATCCACCTGGATGCTCTCGAGATCATCGCCGAGAAAGCTCGTCGGTTCTGGTGGGGCCAGCAGATCGAACTCGCAACGGTCTCGTGGAGCTTGCTGCTGGCCATCGAAGGCAAGCGAAGGAGCATCCCCTCTGTCTGGGCCTACCTTGGATTGGCACACCTTGTCAGCCTTTCGTTCGCCCAGAACCTCTTCTATCTCGCACTGCTTCTTACCCCGGCCCCGACTACCACAGCAGACGACAGTCATCCGACCTCCACACTAGGACGTCTGCGCAAGAGATTCTTACCTGTGAAACCTGCAAACTGGACGCCACACCCGGCCTTGCTCTTGGCATCATTCTGCTTTACGTATGTTTTGATATACTGGGCTCCATCGACAACAGGCACGGCGACATTTGCCCGGATCGCAATTTTTGGACGGCTTCTGACCTTTGCTCCCATTGCCATCCCTGCCGTCGTTCCAGCTAGCTGGGGAACCGTATACTCTGATCCCCATGGAGCATATGGCATCTTCACTGACCTCTTTCGGTTTGTGTCCACAGTGAGTTTCGCATTTCACGTCAAAGGCACCGCGCTTGCTTTGCTTTACAATGCGCCGAATGCCCACTATCATCGTCATAGTCGGTTCCTACCATTTGACGTAGAGCAACGTTCGACGTGGGAGCGTACAACAACAGCACTTGGCAAGGTCTTAGGATCGGCATCCGATCATCCTGTTGTAGCTGCTGTGGCATGGGACGTTTTGCTCAGCGGAGTCAGCCAAGGGTTATGGGCGGCTACACGTGTGCTGGATGTGAGTAACATTCTAGCCGCCTCTACTCCGTTCGCCCCGAACGATTTATCGAAGGCAAAGCCACCACCCAGACTACTGGAAGGGAGTGACAAACCATCGCCGGAATCGGAATCGTCCAGCCAAACCAGCACAGTCTCCACGCGGCGCAGAGGTAATCAACATGCATCTCAAGTGAAGCCCGCAGAGATGACCATTTCAGAGACATCAGCCTCTAGAAGCACCCGCCGAGGCCGTGGCCATACCCGAAAGCACACGGCAAACCCCGAGGAGGCGCCAGAAGATATGTACCAGCCGAGTCCTGCGGAAAGCCGCGCCGCAGTCGAAGGCGACGAATTGCCTGATGGTGAAGTGGACTGGGAATCTGCAGCGTTGGCTTGGGGTCTCGCAGCTTTGGGTGGTCTTGGATCTAGCAGCGCTGGTGTTTTTGGAGCCGAGTGCACATCTCGATGAGGATGAGCCCTGGATGGAACAGCAGGGGCGCTTGAATTATCGCTCTCGCTTGGTACTACCCACCCACCAAAGCACCCAAAGTTCTTTGTTCAACTTGCATCTCCAACTGCACATTTAAACGGGTACTACTAGGCATATTTGACGATGGCCAGTGTTGTGTCTGACAGCCGTCAGGCGGTTGTCGCTGTGCTAGCATTGGCGTTCCGGAAATGGTCAAGTTTTTGGAGATAGAATGCACCAATTGATGTTCTTCCAACACACACGCGCAGGCTGCTGTTCGATCCCTGAGCCCGAGAGTCGTTGCTTACGGTTCTACTGAGTTTAAGGTGCCTGGCACTAAGTGAGACATGGCGGGATTCCAGACCTGCAGCGCTAACCGGCCTGGCCGGTACCATCGAGGACGGTTCGATTTTTCACAAAGAAGGTATCTTGGGACGGCCAGACTTCAGAACAATGAATTCAGAGATCGGGTCGAGACCGTCGAAGACCTCAACCCCGCCACGTTGACGATCATATGGATCAGAGGAGAGCAGGGAACATCGGCCCTCGGTGGCATCGCTATCGGCCACAAGCGAGGGAGCTTGACCAAGAGCAATGGCCAGACCAGGTGTTTTTGGAATGACGTCGCCCCGCATTTGAAGAACACCCCCGCATACAGCCAGAGGCGGGCGCTGCGCCATCCCCAAAGCCTTCCACTTTGAGCACGTAAGGTAGCATCGGCCTGAAGAGTTGATCTCCGGCCCGTAAGGTGTGGGTGGTACCTTACCCAGCGTGTCGTTAGTCCATTTGGGTGGCAGCCCTGCATATGGCCCGCGGGTTGTGAAAGCAGCGACTAACATGCAACTTGCAACTATGCAGGGTCCAGGAAAGGCGCTTGGAGCGACACGGATCCCAACTTCTTGGGTCTTTTCAACGGTGCTATTCTTTGGATCGCCACATCCGTTCCCCTCCCACGCTGCCAAGTCTTTTGCCCTTTGTCACACCTGGTTAAATACTATTCGGCTCCCCTGCCATCCTACTCTTCTTTTAATTCACTCATTTAAACCAAGAGTTTACAACGCAAACCAAACACTATACTACACCACTTCAGTATCAGTCTTCACCTCTTCAGACAACTCAAATACCTAGTCGAGCAGCGTCATAAGACTATCAGCTATCGATATCATCTTCTCACTTTCCCACCAACCCATTCTTCAACATCTCATCATATCAACACAATGGCCATCCGGGATCACTTCCGCCGCCGCAAGTCCATCTCCGAGCCCAGCCAGGGAGATCGTAGCGGCTCAGACCCAAAGTCCCCAGCTCTCCGCCTCGCAAAGACGTTCGGTTGGCGGTCAGCAAAAGAAGAGAAGCCGAAGAAGAAGACCGCCATCAAGGAGAAGGAGGCCGACCCGCGCGAAAGGCCCTTCAATGAGACCAACCTCAGACACCAAGAGATCCTCAATGGCTTCACCATGACGTTCGGCAAGGGTCAGCGCCAGATGAGTCGCGATGCGCGGTCAAGTTACTACAGCATCAACGTCAGTCCCGGCACGTCGCGCCACAACAGCGTGGATGTGGACGACAGCCCGCTCCGTATGAATCCGTTGCCTCGCGAAAGCCAGTTCCGGTCCGTGCCGGAGGAGGATGAGAGGCCTTGAGGTCTCGGCCCGAGAGCCTTGACCGTTCTCGTCTGAGACATTTTCCCTTTCCCATCTTGGGAATCGAGAGACAGCCGAGTTCGGCGTCTCGGAGCGTTTTTTTTTTTTTTTGGCATCGCCTTGGAGTTTGGGTTTGAACTTTTTTGGGGAAAAGGCTACCGAGCCAAATGCGACTGAGCCAATGTGCTCGGATTTTACTCTCTCAATGGGGAGACTTGAGCTGGGACTGATATCTGGGTTGTTGTATGAATATGTCAACACTAGGTACTGGGATATAACAAGATGGCAACGAGGCAGGACTTGTTCTGATTTCGAAGTCGACGATACACATGAGAAATTCTACTCTACTGATCACAAATCAAAGCAAGTGGCAAGCAACTCGTTTCGTCTGTGACCTGGAGAGTAGAGACAAAGGAGATGTGCTTCTGAGGTCAACACTAACCAGAATAAGGCTCTACACATCACCCCAACCCGAGGTAACAAAGGATTGCTCACTAGCCTACAACCGGAACTGCCTAGCTTATTATTAGTCATGTCACGATGGTTCTCAATACTAACGATTTCATTTTTTTCGATATGAAGTCACCTCACATGGGCTTCCTTGGGAAAATACAAATGATACTGAGGGGCGCGGGCTCAAGTGCTATACGTGAGTGGTGCTTCAATCCTGCCTCTACGATATCTCCATTACATTTGATGCTAGCTTTTCTGACTCTGTTCAAATAAACATACAGGTTTTCAAGGTTGTGACCTTCAATTTCATCTTCGATTTCATCTTCGAGTAACGCACCAGGTTGATTGATATATAGAGCAAAAGCTACCAGCTCAGGAAGAATTCACACTTCCACCCCTGAAGCTTCATGTACCCTGAGATGCATTTCTCGCTCTTCCTCCATGAGCATAAGTATATCCACCCGTATCAATGTGAGCTTGCTGACAAAATATGGATATCTTTTTTAAATCTCCAAACCCACCTAGTGCTGCCTACCATATTATTATCAACCCCCATCTAGCAACAGCCCCTCTTGAAACTGAGTAGAAATGGTATTCGCAGTGGAGCCAAAGATTTTTGTAATATAATGGTTCAGTATTGATGTTCAAACTAAAATATATCAGCCCTAGTAGTCTTCTGTAGAGACACGATGGCATCAAACCATGCATTTTCTCACACCTGTAGTCGTCTAAATGTGGTATACAAATCTTGCCCTGCTTGGCCCTTGATCCATTGCCAGTAGCACTTCAGCAACCTCTAGCAGTGTAGTTCGTCCAAGGCACACTTGGAAACAGAAAAAAACTAGTAACAAGCAGCCGGTCTGCTCCAACTTGCCTTGATCACCAGAATGCTACGAATAATACATCTACCTTAGCCGAGGTACCTTTTCCCCACCGGCACCTTCCTGGACATTCCCACCGTGCCTGCCAAAAGCGAGCACCGCATCTCATCTCATCTCATCTCAATTGCTGCATCTCTACCCACTTAAGAGCATCTTCTCACTCTGCTTGTTACACTCCAGCTACAACAGACAGTATTGACTTCTTTCTCTTCTTCCATAAGAAGGAAGAACAACAGCCTGAACGTACAGCTGCCACACTCACCTCTATCCATCTCTCTGTTTGACTACCCTCGTTCGCACCTGCCGCACCTGCCGCAGACACATCTCACCTCAGAGGGGCTCCCATCACGTCCACCACCTCTGGACCCTTTCAGAAATCCTTTCTTCCTTCATACCTTACCGTACTGACTTACTTGGGTATCAAGTGCGCCCTCTTCCGCATCATACCGCGCAGCGAAAAGTGGTGAGTCTTTCGTTGAACTTTAGCACTGGCTTCCAAAGCTTTACCATACCCAACTGTACATGTACTCACTGCAAATGGAACTCCGGCATCCCAGAATACGATGTGTACCGATCTGTCCTCCAAGACCTTCAGCCATCCTGCTGACACTGATGCTTTAGGCCGACTTGACAAGTATCGCAATTTGTTCACTGTCTTCAAACGGAGCGACCGTTGACAAAGCCAATATCAACAGCCGACCAAGTCTATCCAGGGTGCAAAGCACAGAACCTCATCGTTGCTAGGCCGCATCACCATTTACAGCGTCTCCTTACAGTCTGCTCATTACGCAAACCTGAGAATCAGGCAGTAAAGTCAGCGTCTTCTCTCACCTACGACTAGCGCAACTGTGAATCACTTCTGGGTGGAGGACCATAACTTCGACACGGGTCACCTGAAAGCAAAAACCTGCTTTGAATCTTGGAAGCGAAGACAGCTAGTATTTTCATCAAGCCCGAGACTGGATTTTGCCGACACCTCTAGCGCCTAGCCTGCCACATCTGGTATACATCACCGAAAAGGCTTCAACTGAAGGGCCTTTGGACTGTTAAATATCGTACACAAGCATAGGAGAAGAACCGAAAGCAGATCGACACAATGGCTTTGGGTATGGACTCATGGTTTGTCCTCAAGTGTCAGAACGTCCACAAGCGTTTCGGCTTGTGCCAGAACACGCAGGTGATGCTACAGGCTCTGGAAGACACCAAGACAACCGCCATTGACATGGCTGAGGTTGGCCGGATGCTTCGTCTCAGCCCCCAGAGACGCCAGGCCATGATCAATACGATCCGAAAGTGCACAGAGAGAATGACAAAGCAGGAGAGACATAAAGAAGACGAGACCAGAGAATGCGCCTTGATCATCCACATGTGCACCGAGGTCTTGGAGATTGCCAGTAAGTACTTCATAGCCCTAAGGGCCTTTGTGTTCTTTATGGGATCGTCCCTGGAATATGAATGTTGAAAAAAAAAAAGCCACGGTTCAAGCTGACTCTTGCGTTGCAGACCGCCCTTCTCCTACCGTCTTCCCCTTTCTGAAGTTGCCTCGGGAGATTCGAGCACGGGTGCTCCGCATGATCGTCTGCCCCAACCCAAAGGCCTGCAGAATGCCAGCACTCAAGCGTATCCAGGATAAATACCGCTGCAACTGTGCCAACCCCGAGGTAAAGTCGTTGGGACTCATGGCCAAACAGCAGTTCTATATTTACAGAACCCTAGGCGCGGCCCTGCGCGACGAATTCTTCCAGGTGTATTATGACGAGCAGACCCAGTACTTCTCGTGTTGCTGCGAGCTCCTTGGCCAGCTGAAGGCCAACAGCAACCTGTTCAACCACTTGCGCAAAGCTGAGATCCATTGGTGCGGTCCTCAGTCCGACATGGCCTTCATCAAGCTGGCCGAGTGTCCCAACCTCAAGGAGGTGACGATTAAGATCTCCAAGGCCACGACTGCCACCTTCAATAAGCGCGAGGAGATGATGAGCGATCACTTTCTCTTGAACTACAAGACCAAGCGCATCACGGACAGCCTTGGTGCCGATGAGCTTTTTGCCATCCGAGGCATTCTGGATGTTGACGTTCAACATATTCAGGCCGCGCAGAAGCTCCAGCTGACAGAGTTTGACCGCCAGGGTCTTTTGTCGGCTCTGCGAGCGACTATCAAGCAGCCAAAGCCGACAACCACCCGCGCCCCCCGTGGTAACTGGGGAATGTATCTTCGCTGAGGCTATTGGATTGGTCACGAATGTATCAGGGTGATTGGGATGGGAGTACGGAGTCAAGCTAACCAACGGCACATAGACTGGCAGCTTTCTTGAGACTATGATGCGCAATGGCAACGACCATCGGTCGAGGAATCATATGTTTTGCTTTTGCTTTTGATTTTGCTTTAACAAAACCTTCTTCAACCCTTAGTAAGGCAGAGAGGTAGACACTCGTACATAACGGAACAGATCTCTGCATGAAAAAAGGTGCTGGGACCGAGGGAGTTGTGACAACAGATAAATTACGCAAGCCTTCACATGAAATCAGAAGGTTACGTACTCAAAGAACATTGCCTGGGGTTCAATCTTGTCTTGTACTCCGCACGCGAGGCGTGGAGTATCCGGCTCAAGATCAGAAGATGAGAAGGCTGAACTGATCGAGCTATGGCAAAAGACGGCATCAAGATTGTATGTGTGTGACGCGAAACCGTGACTGACGGACCGACTTCCTTGCCCTCCCTTCCTTACCTACCTCTGTTTCTGCAGCAGCATTATTTTGACCTGCCATGCAACTCATACCCTGGATTGGGTAGGGATACCATAATGACTGGCAGTGCTCGAGTAGTGTTTACTTCAAACACTAAGAGCTGCGTCGCCGTTTGCGATGGCATCATTTGGCAGATGCCGGATGACGAGAAGGTGTACAAGAAGAGAAGAAGAAAATTTCGAGCCGAGAGGGAAAAAATAGGCAGTGCGCCTTCTTGGCCGTCAGGGTGCTGCACTGACCAATACAAGTGGGCCATCTCTGCGTGTGTTTGCCCGGTCCACAAGACTGCAGGAGACCACCTGCGGCAATAGCGGGATTATCAGGCATCCTGCCCGGTGCCAATGTCGCGTGGTGGCTTGCCCGAAGCAGGTGCGTCGTCGACATCCAGCAGGGATCACGGAAGGGGGACCCTTGCGCCGCTGGCCTGATCTCACTGCCTCCATCTTTAACCGATTTCCCCAGGGCCCAATATGCCAATGCAGTGGTCTGCCGCTCTGCGTGAGTGTTACTGCCTTCCTCTATACGCGGATTCCCTCCAACCCCTTCCTCCAAGCTGGCAGGTCACAGGCTGAGGAATCACATCCCAAGACCATGGACGGGCCTCTTTCCGTAGCGGAAGCTTGGCAGCGCCAGCCCTGTCATCCGTCCAGTTCTTGGCCTCGACCATTGCTGGCATTATAAGGGAAATGGCAGCCGCGCTCGTATGCGCGTCTGACGGGGTCGACAATAAAGCCGATGTCTTTCTTGGATCCTTCGCCGCTTGGCCACGTCTCTCTCCTTCAAGCCTCCACCCGCGTCTGTTGTGGTGCTCTCAAAGTTGCGACGCCGCGAGTGCTCTCTATCCATCCCGTTCTTCAACACCTCCCCGAACCGAACGGCCCCGGAGAGCTTTTCCTACGGCGCGGAGGACAATGCGGTTTTCCGCCAGCTGCAACCGCCACTACTAGTCGGAGCATTGATTCGCGCGTAGTTTCGGGTGGTTCCTTTTTCCCTTCCTAGCCCCCAATGATCCGCAGTATCCAAAGGCTAGCTGCCTCTGCCGGGGGCTCGCCCTTCTTTCTGCGGACCGTGCCGCGGCTTTCCCTCTTGATACTGCTTCTCTCAGTCGTCTACCAGTATTTCGTATCCGGTACGAGCAAAGCAGTTCCGTTCCCCAACTGCCACACCAATTCAGGGTCCTGGGCAAGTTTAAGCTGAGTCGAGAAGCTGACATGAGAGGCAGGCCAATATGATCCCTACAAGTGCAACGCCCTGCTCTCCAACGGCACCTGGCGCTCGCGCCCCGGCTCACACTTGCCGATGGATGTCTTTGCGAAATGGGAACCTGCCGATTGCAGGATACGCGAAATGTCCCGCGAGGATGTGTCGGGCTGCTTCTCGGGTCGTCACTTGGTCATCGTTGGAGACTCGACTTTGCGTCAGCTCTACTTCGCTGCCATGACAAGGCTTGATCATCGCGTTGCCGACAAAGCCATTCTTGACTTCGCCGTGTCAGAAAACAAACACCAAAACCTAGCAAAGGAGGTCAAGGGTGTCAAACTTGAGTTTATATGGGACCCTTGGCTCAACTCCACCAGTCTTCACAGTCAATTGGCTCGATTTCGGGACCGTCCTGGATCCGCCGATTATGAGAAACTCGTCCGACAAGAGGGAAGAGAATCACCAGCGCTCATCGTCCTCGGCACTCCAGGTATATGGGCGGCTCGCCAGGGCGGTGACCGGTACTTGGAGCTCTTCAGAGAAGGCATCAACGTCCTCATGCCGTACCTGCACAAAAGTATCGACGAATTAATGGTTTACCCCCAGAGCAGTTCACAGTCGGCCTTTACAGAGCTCTCCAACCATGTCCTCGTGGCACCCGTGCCTGTCCCGGCCTACGGTATGCTTACCACGTCCCGCGCGCGAGCCATCACTCCCAAAAGGATTGGCGCCATGAACTGGAACTTGGAGCACCTGGGCCCGGATGAGCAATCGCATATTGCTTGGGGCTACAATGGCATGACCGAGGACCACGACGACGCTATGCTTGAGGATGGTATCCACTCAGTCGATATTGTCATAGAGAGGAAACTAGATGTCGTCCTCAATGCTCACTGCAATGCCGGTCTGATTAGACGAGGGTACGCCAATCAGGTCACCTGCTGTGTGCCGTACCCTCCCCTTCGTCGCATCCAGCTTTTGCTTATTGGCCTCAATGTGTTGACGATGCCTATCCTGTTTTTGAGTCGGCAGCAGGATTCTTTCCCGTCTGCTCGAACGTCTCGCTTCATGGATAGTCTATCGGCGTTGGCTACGCTACTCGTCGTCGCGGCATACTGCCTCATCGCCGACCGAACTCATATCTTCGCGAAACAGGACAAGTACTTTGACGTGCCCGACTTTTTATCACCTTTGATTGGCCTCGCTATTTTCGCAGCGTCGTCACATCGTTTCAAAGCACCCATCTTGTCTTCGGCGAAAGGTCTCACTACCTCGTCCTTTCTGTCCCGGGAGCAAACGGACGAATGGAGAGGCTGGATGCTGGTATTCGTTCTGCTATACAAGTACCATACGGCGTCCGAGTCATTGGCAATGTATAAGGTACACAAGTTCCTTATCGCGACCTTCATCTTTTTGTTCAGCTACGGTCATACGATGTATTTCCTCCGTACCGAAGACTTTTCGCTGCGCAGGGTTGCGTATGTGTTGGGTCGGCTGAATGTGCTAGCCTGCCTCATCGCGTTCATGGTATCAAGCGAATGGATCATCTATAGTGCGCCTCTAATGACGTTTTGGTTTGCTGTCATCTACGCAACGTTGGCTTGCTTCAAGAAGTCCAACAGCAACCCTGTTGCATTCTTCGTAAAGGTCGTGGTATTTGCTGCTTGGACTTCATATTTGGTACAAAGCACCCGTACTCCTGAGCGTTTTGTTCTGATTCTTGGACGGACTTGTGGGATATACTGGGACGTGAATCTTTTACGCGCCCACTTCACCATGGATCGCTTCATCCCTTACTTTGGTATACTTGTGGCGGCTGCCACGCACCGAGTCTCGGTTCTTAAGCGTCGTCAGCATGGCATCAACTCCCAGGCTTCATTCGAAAGGATCAATAACGCACTTGACCGCGGGCTGTTGAAAGTCACTTATCCGCAACGAGACGCGATACCGGTGAAGCCGATAATGGTATTTTTCGCCATCGCGTATCTCATTGTTTTCATCATCCTTGCGTTTATTGCCGAGGTCTATGACAACAACAAGTCCTACAACACCTACCACCCGTACACGAGCCCCTGGTTTGTGCTGTCGGCCATCATTGCAAGGAATTCTTTCCGAAGATTGCGCGACCTTCAAATCCCGCCGGCGGTAGCTCTTGGACGCATGTCCCTCGAAGCTTACATTTTGCACCATCACATATGGCTTGCAAGTGATGGAGCTGGAATCTTGAGGATTGGAGGCGGAGGCCGCCTACCGAGAGCAGTCGAAGTAACGGTTATTGCTACAGTCTTCCTTTGGGCCTGCAACAAATGCCACATCGCTACTCTGCACATTGTTGGTGGTTCGACAGGAGCAGACAACAGGGAGCAGGCCGAAGAAGTCTCGTTGGGACGCGCCATACCGGTTAAGGACGGTAAGACAAGTCCTGCCCCATGGCGGTCGACAGCAACAATGGAGAAGGCGACAAAAAAAGAGAATTCAAAAAGCTCTTTTGTGTGAAACAGCGCATCGCGGCTGAAGTTTATTGGCTTCCTAGCTCTGCTGTGGTTTGGTAATATGACTTATGGTGTATAATGGGTATTGCACGACATTCCCGACTTGGAACCGCGGAAACCCCTCTACCCGGAATGACGCAGTGCAGACTTTTCAATAGCAGTAATGACTACATGAAGCAACGCCGCAGAGTTGCAGATGATACACTTGCTTGATGCCCATCAGTCAGTCGCATTGAAGTGCTATGCTCTACTAAACAGGGACAGGGATGAGGGCTTCAGTTGTGTGTTTCGAGTCTGCTCCATCTACCCACACAAAAATCAAACTCCCAATGTGGTCTTTGGAAAACAAGCTTCGGCGCCCCGTTAGCCAAGCTGTCATCGGTTCAGACGGAAAGCATCTGCGTCGGCTCAAGCCGAACTCAAAAAACCCACTTAATTCTCCGAGTCGGGCTGATGTAGCTGGATGACATTTCGAAGAGCGGCAAATGCGTTGCGAGATATATCGATAGTCTTTCAACGCCCTTTGTAAATCCGGAATACATGATTTTCGGCTTACTTCCTACCTTGATACAATCCTTACCTGGCGGTTGACTTTGTCGATGGCGAGGCAGCGGAGATTTGCCGATGACCACCGGCATCACTCGCGACAGGTTGCCAGCCTTTCCCGCATTGACGTGACACCCGTCCTCAGCTGACTCGTGCAGGAAGCAAAAGGGAAAGACACACCTCGGAATGGAGCAAAACCACCTCGTCCCTAAGCCCCCGGTGAGGCTCTTCCGTGATACCGTTTCGCGTGGGGTCGCAAAATCGCCAAGGGTCGAAGAGGGCGACGACGTGATTGGCCGTCAGAGGACAGAAAATCGTTCCTTTTGTCGATGGGATGATGGCTGCTTTGACAGGTGCGGCATGGGACGGTTGAGACGGCATACCGCCGGCGTGCGGGTATGCAAAGCGGTTGTCAAGGTTGGATGGCAGGTGATGCTAGGTTTCTCTTTGCCATTTGCTGAAGTTATCCTAAATTTGGGTTCCATTACCCCTCTCTAGGACTAGGACACCCTTTCCCCTCTGTCTTGAGGTCACGGAATGCCCCTGAGTCTGAACCATCATTGTGCGTTCTTTTTGACTACCTATATTCCTGCCCGCGGCTTTCCTTACTTCTTGAGACCGGGTCGAGGTTCCGGGAGTTTTGCAACGACACGATGTCTACCTGATCCGTCAGCACGTCCGCCTACGAATCGGCGACCCCTTCCACGTTCTCCAATTCCCCCCTTCAGGGCATTCCATACCAGCCACGGGAAACGCAACTCCCGGCAGCAGGAAGGATTCATCGACGGAGGACGGGCATGACCATGGAGCTGTTTGCGACTAGCGAGAGAGACGGGAAGAATAAGGTTAATATACATATGCGGTCGGCCGGCGTTCTTTTGTCACCAGCCCAGCCCCCCCTCTACATTGTAGCCGATCAGAAGAGATCAACAGACTAGGCTCCGATAGAGTAGATCTCTTGGCCCTTCGCGTTCACCGTCCCTCCCATCTGCCTCCCTTCTCTTCTCCGTGAGCCCAAGCGGCCACTTTTAATTTTTCTTCCCGCAAGTTTGAAGTTTTACCGTCTTTTTTCATCCATTAATTGTAAACTTCCGAGTCGGCTGTGCCTCGAACGCTCGATGCTCATTCACTTTGTTTTTAAATTCTAATCGTTCGTGTGGGCTTCTGAACAAGCCATGCATCTCAAGCACGTTGTTGCTGCCCTGGCGGCGTTCAGCTCGTTGGCTGCGGCGGGTAGGTCCCGACATAACCTCGAATCTAGCTGTACAAGCACACTGACTGTCATGTCTTTTAAGCACCTGCTCAGGACGCAAAGGCCGTGGGCAAGGGGCAAGGGCAGAACCAGAACCAGAACCCGAATCAAGACAAGAACAATGCAAAGGGCAACAACAATGACAATAAGAACAATAAGAACAACGGCAAGAACAAGAATAACAACAACAGAAACAATGGCGATGTGAACATTATTCAAAACATCATCAAGCCAAACATCATTGTGGTCCAGGAGAACCTCGACAAGATCAGTCAGCTGCAGAAGCAGAGTGAGAGAGAACTCGCCGCGCTGGTGCAGTCCCAGCTCGCGCTTGCGAAGCAGTTGCAGACTGTCAAGGATACCATCCGTATCAACCACTTCAAGGCGCAGTTTCCTCAAGCGGTGAGTTTTCCCTCCTTTCAATTTTTAGAAAAGCTGTCTCATATAACCGCCTCCGAGAATGGAAAACTGTTGAGCGGGAAAACTGACTCTGGATAAGAACACCATAATCGTCACTGTCACTGGCCTCGTCGACAACAGAAACCAGGGGCAGCAAAACAAGCGATATCTGGTCAACCAGCTCCTCGCAGACAACGGACAGGCTGGGAAGCAGACGCTCGTCATGGTTACGGACCCGACAAACCTGGAAATCACGACGCAACAAGCAGCATCGGTCCAAGCAAACGCCTTTGGTGCCGCCCGCGTGCAACTCGAATCTCCTCCTTTGACTGCTGCTGGATCCAACACGTCCGACGTCAGCGCTCAAGCCGTCGGGTCCACCTCCGACAGCAGCCTCAGCCTCGCGGCCTTCAGCCAGGCAGCCCCCTTTGGTCAGGTAGGCCAGAGCATCATTCTCCCCGCGGGCACGCAGGCGCCGCAGCTGCTCTCAGTCCCGGACCCAGCCGCCATCATCCTGCCGCAGCAGCAGGGCCTCTTTGTGCAGAACGCGGGGACCTTCCTGAGCGACTGCGCCAAGTCCGCCGCCAGCGCCGCCAACGGGAACCCGGCGCTGGCCGGGGCCGCGGCGCAGATCTATTCGAGCTTTGAGCAGATTGCCGCGGCGCAGCTGGCGGGGTTGTCTGGGCTGGGTATCTTCATCGGGAACAGGGGCAATAACACTGCGCAAGCAATACCGCCTCCGGCTCAGGTTCAGGGCCAGCAAGGAGGACAGAACCTGGGAAGTATCGCGGTCGGCGCGAACCAAGGACAACCGGCTCCTGCTGCCGCTGCGCAACCCGCCCCTCCACAAGCGGCACCGGCACCGGCCCAACCCGCCGCCGCTCCGCCTCAGGGGAATACCGGGTCCGGAGTGGTGATTGTGGGATTAAGCCCTGGGGGCCAGAGCGCGACGCAACCGGCTTTGGCCCCACCAGCTGCCCCGCCTGCGGCATGATAGTGTGAGTGGGTGCAACTCGGGAACGGAGGTGTATTGGAGTTGAGGGCAGGGCTTCAACTATGTACCAAGTTGGTCGGCTGGCTGGATCTACTTGGATCACAACGGGCGTTGATGATAATGAAGGGTTGATGAATGGAATACGAAATGCTGTCGAATCAAATCGCACACACCGTTATGACGGGAGTTGTGGTGTAGAAGTCGGAGTAATAAGGTAGCATTCTCCGGCAATAAGTGACTGAATTTGAAGTACAGTGCAGACTCCTGAGCTGGATCATTCATGCAGTGAGTGCTTGGGAGGGACGGAAGTGAATGCCCTTCAAGGAGGCTCATCCAACTCGGTCCATTGGGCCCCATGGTATCGAGGCACGGCCCAAGCTATACTGGGAGAATGAACTAAACAAGCCATTGAATGTCAACAGGCAACGTCAACGCCCATCCAAGTATAAACGGCAGAGGGCCTAATGTGGTTTGGAACGCAAGCTGGTCTTGAATGATGGGTGATGAAAGCGGAGGTTTCGATAAGGCGACAATATGGTAGGTGTAGGGTATCTTGGTTGACAAATGTCACTGATAGGCCATCGGACAAGGTTGCCTGAGACTCATGTCACCACAACTTGCGTTGCAACGACCATAACTCTTCCGTGCCTTTGAATGTCGTCGGTTGTGTCCGTCCAGATATGTGGGCTTACAAAGTCGGAGCTCGAGGCACTGGACCTCTCTCCAAAGAGACCCTGACCAATCGAAAACGACCCCTGCAGGCTTTCTCGCATCTAGCGGATCCTAGCGTCTCGAAAGCGAGGGGTCGCCGCCGGGTCTCAGCCAACCGCTGCCAATGAAAGCAGCTTAGTCAGTCGTCCCCGCCGAAAAATTTCCAGGCATGAGGCGAAGAAGGTGCGCTCTCAGCCCACGTGATCATAGGGTAAGCGAAGCCCACCGCCAAACTCGCAAATTTCCTTTCACCCACTCTCGCGAGTCTATCACACCTGACCGAATCTGTTCGTCAGCCATCAACCATCGACATCTAGGAGCAGCCTTCGTACGACAGTTGCCCAGCATGTCGCTCGTCTCCGGGGAGAAGTGTTCGTCTATCCCAGCGCCCCTTTGCTTCGAGATCATCGATTGCGGTTTTTCTCGAGCAAGTTTCGCAATGCCGATGCTAACTGTCTTGGTGCAGCGAACTTCCAGTTCATTCTCCGTCTTCTGAGTATGTACTCTCCTACCACGCCGACGACAGCAACCCCTACACACACCACGCCGATTACCCCGACATGAATCCCGAAACCGGCACGAAAAGTGGAAGACAACGGGAGAAGGCTAACAGTTGCTCGCAGACACCAACGTTCGTGGTCAGGAAAAGGTCATGTACGCGCTCACCAAGATTGGTGGTGTCGGTCGTCGTTACTCCAACATTGTGTGCAAGAAGGCCGATGGTACGTCTTTTTTACGAAGCCCTCATTCTCTCTCTCCTGGCTCGCCAGCAGAATCCGCACACGAGGACTGCATCCCGGCGCTAGGACCAGAAAGCTCGAATAATTCAAGGAGGATCGAAAGAACTAACCAGATATTTCCCCACTACAGTCGACCTGAACAAGCGCGCCGGTGAGCTCACCTCCGAAGAGCTTGAGCGTATCGTCACCATTATCCAGAACCCCACCCAGTACAAGATTCCCTCTTGGTTCCTCAACAGACAGCGCGACATCGTCGACGGCAAGGACAGCCAGATCCTCGCCAACGGCGTCGCCTCCAAGCTCCGCGACGATCTCGAGCGCCTCAAGAAGATCCGCGCCCACCGCGGTCTCCGTCACTACTGGGGTCTCCGCGTCCGCGGTCAGCACACCAAGACCACCGGCCGCCGCGGCCGTACGGTCGGTGTGTCCAAGAAGAAGGGTGGTTAAGCGTGTGGCTTCTGATGATGAAAATTTGGGTCGTGCGGTGGCAAGGAACAATAGGCGGCGTGATACGGCTGGTTTTCTCTCCATCTCATCACTCGTGATGATACTCTACTGCTGCATTACAACAAGGGGATTGCTATTCTGCGCAGGATGGTGGCGTCTCTAGATAAACAAATCGGAAGAGTTCCATCATACCAAAAAACAAAAAGCTAAAAAGTACACGAAAGCTTCCAGTGACGACACGATGCGATTTCAATGCGGTACGACGTGACAAACTCAAACCCCCAAAGCAAACAAGCCGTTACCACAATGGCCTCTTGAGTGTGAGGGAAGTATGAGAGCTACTCTTCCCCCGCAGCCACGGAGTGCTATAGGTTGTACGTCCGTAGTGACATGCCAAATGCCACCCGAAGGCTATCATTTCAAATCTGTGCGACTCCCAAGCGAAGCGGATCCCGAGTCCTGCTCCGTGTGGACGGGAGTAGAGACATGGAGCTCGAACTGCTCCACCCGGAGACCAAATCCTCATCGACCCACACCGGAACGGCCTGATGTTCAGGATGGCATCCCGGTCGCCCCGTGAACGCGGGCGGCCCTTGGCCAGTACGTGGGTGGTGAAGAGGGCACAGCGTGCAGAGGAAATAATCGCGACTTCGCAAGGCATGTAGGTTGGTCTCGTACGCGCGATGAAGTTGGAGGTTTTGTGTTACTATGTTCAGGGCCATCTGATAATCAGAAAGAGGGGGGGGGGGTGGGACTTTCTCTTCAACTTTTCTTCTCAATTCGACTAGGATTCCCTCCGACCATGATGCGATTGAGTGAGCCTTGCGTAAATGCACATTTCCAGTCACGTCGCCAAGTTGAGAGCGCGTAGTGTAGGATCGCGATACAGTCAGTCTCCGGTGTCACTCAAACACACACGGCAGCTGGCATACATGTCATCGAGTCTATTTCATCACGATCCTACGAAAGAGCCCTTCTCGGTCTAAAAAGGGGGTATATCGACAAGAACCACATCAGCCCCTCCCCCGCCGCTTAATCCTCATGGATAACAGCCATATCCAAAACCTCGACCCTGCCCATGCCCCTCGTCTCTCCCGCAATGAAATCACCCAGCCCTTTGAACGCGCCGGGCTCCACGAACCCGACAACCTCCCACTCGCTCCCCAGCACATCCTGGCTCTCAACCTGCTCCACGAACCCCAGGATCCGATCCTTGACCGTGCCGGGCTTCTGCTTCTGCTCATCACCCTCTTCGTCTCCTCCTCCTCCTCCTCCGCCTCCCTTCTTGCCACCACCGGCAGCGGGCTTCTCCTTGACGGCCTGCTTCAGCACGCTCGTCGCGCACGTCACCCGCAACCTCATCCGCGCCCTCTGCACGGGAATCGGCTGCGCTGCAATCAGCGCCTTCATCGCCTCCAGCGCCTGTGACTTGGCCGATTTTGTCGTCGTCACGCCCGTCCAATGGAAGCCCTTCTCCCGGGGCTTCGCCTCGCCCTCCTCGCCGCCCGCCGGCGTCCCCGCGCCGCTCGCCGTCTTCGATCCTCCGCCGGCGCCGGCACCGCCCTTCTTACCACCACCACCACCACCACCACCACCAGGCGCGTCGTCCCCGTCCCCGTGCGCCGCAGAGCTCAACATGTCCAGCGCCTTCTCAATCATCCCCGTCGTATACACCCTCTTCGTCCTCGGATCCACAAGCCGGCTCGCCACGATGCCAATAACCTCATTATGCACCCGTTCCGTCTGCTCCGCCCTCTCCTTGCCACCGACCTGCATCTCGCCCTTTTTCAAAATCTCGAGCACAATGTCGTCCGTGCTCTTGCCCTTTCCAAACGCCTTTTCCAGGTCCTCCTTGGGCGCCGTCTGGCCCTTGGAGACATTCAAAAACACGTTGGGGATCTGCAGCACGTTGTCGAGGTCTGTCTCGATCCCGGACCGCCACTCCATGACTTTGTTCTTGTAGCACGCGATCTCGAAGCGCTTCTTGCCCTTCTTCAAGCGGACCATCGACACGTTGGTCAGCTTGATCTGGTTCGAGGGCTGGTTGATCATCCGCGACATCTTGGCGGTTGTGAAGTCGTCGGCTTTAGGCAGTTGTAGAAGGTATGTAGAATGGTCCTTCGCGACGGCGTTTTGGTTGTTCGCAACGACGGTACAGAGGCACTGAGGTTCGTCGTTGGTCGGTGACGTTGACGGATGTTGGCCAGAAAAGTTTTGGCGGGGTAAAGTGCTTCGTACTGCGCAGCTGCTAGGAGGGGCAGCAGGCGGTAAAATATCTTTACGGCAGGCACTTTGGCGAGTGCTGGTCTGACGCTGTTTTAGCGGATACCAAACTGGGAAATCTGCAGGCAAGGCACTCCAGAATGCGCCGGTGACTAATACTGTCATTTCGACTCATCTCCGTTACAGCTGCATATCTAAATTGGTCTAGCCCCACGGCCTGTCCTGTTCTTACAGCACCATCGGAATAGAAAACCTGAAAGTTTACGAGAAAAAGGAGTCACATTCTAACAGTATAACTAGATTCTACCGCGCCGGGCTTGCACTGGCGCTACCGTTTAATCGGTTGACTGGGTCCTCCCGCATTGACAAACTCCAATATGCCCCAGTCTTGTACCACGAACCAATTTAAGCGCTTACTGTTACAACAGCATGCCACTAGCTATTCAATCTTCGTTTCGTACATAGCTCATTACTGTGAGTGTGTTTACGCGACCCACTCACCACCAAGCCAGCGGTTGAAGAAGTCGGACGAGGCCTCGGGTTGGTCCATGGGGACCATGTGGCCGGCGCCGTACAGCTGCATGAAGGTGAAGTTGCCGCTGGACTTGACCTTTCCGTACTCCTCACCCTTACCAACAGTGAGACCCTTGACCTCGGCCTTGTTGAAGCTCTTCTGGCCAGGCCACTCAAGAGCCTCAGTCCAGGCACGGTTACCGAGCCAGTTGCAGATGTAGTCAGCGTCGCCGGCGTAGATGAGAACAGGGATCTTCTCGAGAAGATTGGGGACGATGCGGTGGAAGGGCTGGAACCAGTCACCCGCAAAGAGGAAGTTGCGGTTGATGTCAAAGTTGCAGCTGTCGTAGCTTTCGACCTCAGCACCGAGGGCCTCCTTAACCTCATCCTGGTTGAGGTACTCGCTAATCCAGCCAAGAGCAGAGTAGCAGAGGTTGCTGCTGTCCTCACACTTGCCACGAATGTCGTAGACGTTCTGGCCGGTGCGCTGATAGGGGCCGATGAGAGCGTTGTTGCAGTAGATGCTGGCGGGGACGCAAGACCAGACGCTACCAGAGTCGTAGCAGTTCTTGATCAGACTCTGGCAACGGGGGAGAGCGTTGTCCATGGCCTGGCACTCGCCCTCGTCAAGAACAGCCTTGTAGCCGCCCTCACCGCAAGCCATGGGGCGGTAGTAGCCGTACTGGGTCCAGCCATCGGTGAGACCGTTGCCGATCAGGACACTCTTCAAGTTGATGTTACGGTCCTCGTGGGAAAGAATTTCAGAGGCGAAGACGGGAATGTAGTGACCAGCGTACGACTCGCCAGCAATGTGGAAGTCCTGCTTGGAGTACTCGGGGAACTCGTGGAAGAAGAGGGATAGAAGTGCATAGACGTCCTTGCCGGCAGCGACCGTATTGGAAACGGAAGAGCCAGAGTAGGAGTAGCCGACGTTGACAGGTTGGTCAAGGAAGATGACGGAGGCGTTGTTGTTCCAGGCCCACTCGTTGTTGACTATCTTGAGCTTCTTGTCGATGGAGGCGGGGCCCAGCTCCATGAAGAGACCGGTCAAAGAAGAGCAGCCAGGGCCACCATTAAGCCAAAGGACGACCGGGTCGTTCTTGGGGTCGTTGCGGGACTCGAAGAACCCTGCGATAACGTTAGTAACGGCTAAGAATGAAGACAAAGAATAGCATCTGCCAGGTGGGCTAGCTTACAGTAGAAGAGATGCTTGTCGTTCTCTTCATCATCGAGGTAACCGCTGTACTGCTTAACCTTATCGACGCCGAGAGCGGAGGGGTCGACCTTCTTGGCGCGCAGGTTGAAGTTCTTGAGGTCACCGGCGATCTTGCGATGCTTCTCGCCGTCCTTCTCAACCCACATACTCTGGACGTCGGCGCCCTTGACGACGTGGTCCCACTTCTTGTCGGACTTGCGGTGGTGAGGCTTCGGCTTGGTGGCTTGGGCGGTCTTCTTGAAGGACTCGACGGCCTCGGGGGCGAGGAGGGTAATTTCGTCCCAGACGGCCTTAGCCTCCGAGGTCATCTTGCCAAACTTGTCCTCAAAGGCTGAGAGCCAATTCTCGCCGGTGGTCTTGATGGAGTCGAAGGTGCTGTCCTGGCCGCCGAGGACCTGCTGGTCCAGGGCGAGGGCGGTGGAGGCCGCGCCGAGGACGAGGGCGGAGGTTGAGAACCTCATGATGGGCTATCAGCTCAGATTATGGAGCACTGGTGATGGAATCAAAAGCGACTACGATGAAAAATTGATTATGGGATATGGAAAGGGATATATTTGAAGTAAAGATGGTGGATGGTGTTGACGGGAGGATGGTAGACTTTGGGAGGAAGAGGGAGCTCGGAGGAAGTGTGGCAGGCGACAGGCAGGAAGCTCGCGGACGTAATAAATGAAACATGACAGTGGCGGGCGGGTTGGCTGGGTGCTCTGCTGCTGCATGCTCTGGGCTGGGTGCTTGGGGGTGGGGGGGAAGCAGCCCAGGTGCGCGGAGCTTCCATTGTCACTGCTGCCATCGGGGCTGGGGTGCGTTGGCCGAGCTGGTCGCGCTACCGCTGTCGCAGCAGCAATGGCAACGACACAACTCGAGCAACAGCTCAACACAAACCCGTGGACCACCGCTCAATGCACAGTTGCTGTGGGGAGCTCCAGCTCGAAATGCAGAGAAACAATTGGCTCGTGAGCTGCCCAAGGGTTGGCCAAACGATAGTCGAGAAACACAGTCCACCTGATCCCCGCGCCTCGGACGCTAAAAAACGGAACCTGCCTGTTGCAGATCTGCTAACAGTTTCGTACCTATTCCTGTATGGTTGTCTGATAAGGGGATACGTCGCAAGCACCGTTCCTCCCTCACCCACCCTGCTTCGTCTGCGTCATGCCAGGTACCGCCGTACACCCGGCGGCGACCTCAGGCACCATAATCCCACGGCCAGGAACCTGTGCCGCGCCGTGCCTGGACCTGGACCAGGGACCTTTTACTGCGGATGACCCACAATCTTTCCTCGCTGATAAGGTGATGAGGCTTTCCGATTCGTCAGAGGGGGCTTAAACCAAACGGGAGGGATCTCAACCCAAGCAGGCGACATTGATAGCTACTCAAACGCCGAACTGCCCAAACTGAGGTGCCGAACTGCCAGATCTGGCGCCCCGGCAACAGTTTCTTCGTCATACCTTCAATATGATGCGGAATCTGGTAGGGGGAGATGTTTCATCTTTTTGCAAAGAAACCCAAGAGTTGCCTCGCCAATCCGCCGCTCTTCGCATGCCTGCCATTTTTTCTCTGATATGTTGCAGTTGACCCCTCCCTGAATGACACCGACGCAGCTTCAATCAACCGCATCGCAGCCAAATGCCAGCGAGATACGACTCGCACTCGTTTATCGAATCTCCTGTGTGTTGCTGACGAATACTGCACTCGAATCTCTTGGCCCGCCCAAAACGCTGTCCAGCGCCAGCCCAGAAAACCACACGGTCGTCGCAGGCCTGACATGAGGATCCGCCGCCCGACGTGAGGGTCCGCCCCCCCGACGTAAGCGAGAACCTCTACGGCCGTCCGGATATCCACCCATCCATCTGCCATGTCGCTTCGCATATCCACCTAACCGACCCAAAGTGCATCAAGGCATAACTAGGTACCATTAGGCCAAGCGAGCAGATATCCTCACCACCTGCCTTTTCATACTTTTGGCCACCAATCCATCAACAATCCAGACCATCAAGCAAGTGACTACTGAAGTCTATGTCTGCAACCTTCAGATCCTGCCCACGACACCGGATGCCAGCTGTTGTCGGCTAATGTCATTGTGAACTTGTTAGAATTGGCTATCGTCTACTTTGGGCTGCCGGCCATTTCTAACCGTATGCCTTCACCTGCCTCCTGCCTCCATCCCATGGTCCGATAGCACGCCCACTAGCCAGTCCAAAACATGGCAACGCCGCCATTGTTGCCCAATATCAGACTTTCTCTTGTCTGTCCCAAAGCTTGAATCGTCACAACCTGCCGACTTGCCCAGAACGCCGCCTCCCACCTAGCCTACTTTTGAACAGGCGGTCGAGGCCCGGAAGAACAATGTCGTAGGCCTTGCCATCCAGCTCATGACTTGCGCGGCCGTATCCCCCTCGTTATTGTCGCCGGTGTGGGCGAAGCACTCAAACACCCAATACGCATTAACTCCATCCCCAATACTGTACATAAATAGCGAGCTCCGTATATTGTGCTTTACAATTCTTTTGTTCGACTGTGGCGCTACCCCGGTCATCTCGGATCGCGATTAGATTAATAACTCGGGTAGTGGCTCGGGTATATCGATCGCTGGGACGTCTGCGTAAGCCACCGTAATCGTGGACTTCTTGTGCCAATACCGCACAATTCGAATGTAGCTGCCAGAATCGGCTCAACTTGCTCGACACCTGTCTCATCAGGTCGCTGTGTCGGCCACCGACATGGACGGGCTCGACGCTCTGTTCCGCCTAAAGAATTGGAAGGCATTCATGCGGAATCTACTAGATTTCTTCTTCACCACCTTGCCACCTTCTGTTTTGCCAAAAGACCCGTTTGACATGTGAGAGCCGTTGACGTCGTGATCGAGATAAGTAGACTCGGGTTTGGCTTCAACGAATGGCTTTGGCTCCGAAATCGTAGGCACACCCGGAAGCTGCTCCGTCGACTCTCTGCTGACAATGCTAGTGCCTTGAGTGCTTGGCGATAGAGGCATCTTGCCGGTGGTGGCACTTGTTGCCTGCGAAGCCCAGTCCCCGGTGTACGGGCCAGTGGTGCTGCCGTCTGTCGTTTCGCTACACCGCTGTTTGCCGTTATGACCGTGATGATTATCCGGCGAGCTACTAGCCCTATCCCTGCAGTGAAAGGGATCGCTTGCTGCAAAGTCGGCCACCGAATCAAATGACGTTACGATGCCGTTCACCTCCTTAGGATCCTCCGGCTCCGGGATGTCAGTGATATGAGCTGTTGTACGCTCCGAACCCGTCGGCTCGGGGGAAAGCCCGTCATCTTCTTGCTTTGACTCGTCCAACATCGGAGGCGGCATGGGAAGCTCTGCCAGAGGTGTGGTCACCCGGGGGGTCATGGAGTCTCTGCTTCCTTCTTGCCCGCCCGCCAAACTCATAGTTCGTGGGGAAAAGGCGCCATCGTTGCGGAGAAGTCTTTTGCGGATGGGATCCTCCTTCGCCTGCTCTTCCCGAATGCGTTGCTCGAAAAGACCTTTATTGATTTCGAGCTCGTCAACAGTGTACTTCATCGCTGGCAATATGTCCGCTACTCCCTGGAAGAGAGGGATGGCGAATAGGTTCATGAAGCTCAGCTGAGCCTTAGACAGTGAGATCAAGTCCTTCTTCGGAGGTGACAGGAGAGATGACGTGATTTCCAGTTCGCTCTCCATGGAGGCCTGTCGAGAGAACTCATCCGACAGAATGTACATCCACTTCAATGCGGTTTCGTGTTTCCTCGCCTGCAAGCCGTTGGGTTAGTAGTCGATTTTGGACAGTAGAGGTCATTATTTACTAACCACGTTACTGATATCTGCACATTTGATGAGCAGTGAGCATACCAGAGCCTTTTGCTCCTCCTGCATGCGACCATTCCAACCATCAGTTGTATTGTCAACATCCAGCTTGTCCTGGGTATCTCCGAGCCTCTTCATGTAATCGAAGTGCAGCCCCATATCCGTGGCAAGGATGGAGCTGATCATGAGGTGCCTCATCTTGGTGTCTTCAAAAACACTTGGCCAGTACCTTCGAAGAATCTGAGAATAGGCGGCGCAATGGAATGATTCGAGTACTGATCTGTCATTGTACAATTGAGCCAAAGGGGCATTGAGGGTGACCAAAAATCCGTTGTTGACACCAGGGTGGCCGACGTCATGCCCTATTGCCGTGATCAAAAGCGTCAAGCCGTCGAACGGATGGAGCAGGCTTGCCATTGGGGAACTCTGCGGCGGGCTTTGACCCGCCAGTGGATCGGCGGGATATGGTGCGAGAATACCAACACGAACCAGAAAGTGGAAAGTAGCCTGTAGAACATCGACGACATGACGGAAGTTGTGATAGGGAACAAAATTGTTGTATGCAGCCCGACACGCGACCAAGAAGCTTATGAGCTGGTCTAAACGATTCGTCAGCAGCCGTCCGCACACGGCTCATGTAGGCGCAATGCACTTACCTGTCGGTATCCGCCAGCGATCCAACTCGGGCATTGACAAAGCATGCTTGAACATTACCATGGCCGCAACGAGAAGCTCGTCATCCGTGAAACTGTGCGCGCAGAAATGCCACTGACCAACGGCAGCAGCGACCGCAGCTTGGCGATCGGTGGAGACGGCAATGCTGACATTGGAGATCCGATCATCATCTGAGTCCGCGCCCGACCGGCAAATACCCCTCATGAGTCCGGATACCATGGCTTCCCTGAGATAGGAAAACGGTTTCTCCTCATTCACGCCGACCCACGACCGCTTTCTGCCGCGACGTACTTCAAGCATTTCCTGCTGTTCTCGGGCCGCATCCTTGTGTGCCCGATAAGCATGGATTTCTAGACTCGTGATGGACTTGAGATGTAAAGGACTGATGATGACGTCGACGGCTCCCAGGTCCAGACAGCGAATGATTAGGCGTCGATCAACTGACGCTGAAGACTTGGGTTTCGCATCATCGCTAGTTGGATCTGTTACGCTACCATCCTCGTGAGATGAGAAGCTCACGATGGGTATCGGTACGATCAGCTTCGATAAGCTACGGAGATGTGACTCAGTCATGATCCTTTGCAGCAATTTGAGGCCGTAGATGTCCTCCTCAGGTGTATGAATGTTGATGTCGGCAGTAGTCGGGCGAGAATGCGGCGACGCCGATCTAGATCGGGACCGGATCCTGGGTAGCCGTTCGTCGTGGGGAACATCAATGAGAACCAGAGTTGGTGTGAGGTCCATCATGGACTCGTCCGAAAGCTGGAAGAGCGTAGAAATACAGGCCGAGCCGGTGGAACAAAGATAGACTGAACAGTTGGTTAGTACGTGATACTACGGGTGTATGGTTTTCAATCCGAGCCTACCCTCTCCAAAGGTTTCCAGTAACAAGTCTGCGTCTTTCTGAACATCGACATTCTCCCGCACGTCGGCTTCGGTTGCGTCTATTGGCTGATCATCGTGCGCATTAGGTCGGATAAGCCTGTCCTGGCGAACCTGGCGGTTCACGTAGACGACATGGCAAGTGGCATCGTCCATCATGGCTTAAGGGAGCAACCAGTCTCGCGACCGGAGCGCTCTGGCCACTAGGGCAACGAGGGTCTACGAGCGTAACGATGCGATTGTTCAAGGTTGCAGTTGATGGGCTTTGCAGCGAGACAAGTCGAGGACGGCGACCCGGTCCTGTCGAAAAGTAGCACGGCGGCGCAACGCCTACAACGTCCACGTGGTTGCGCAATCTGCGACGAGGGATTCAAGGGTGCAGGCCTCGTCGTGATGAAGTCGTCGAGGGGATTGAAAGGCAAGCGTGGTCGGGATGTCGACCAAGAGTCTCATCAATGGTATTTCACCAAGTGCAGGCGACGAAGCAGCAGCAGCGCCGTGGTTCCGTCGGTCACCAGGATTGGCATCAATCGTAGTCGCACGAAATCGGTTTGGCCGAGATCATGAACGGGGTTATTTGTTCCAAAATGTCGAGGCGTTTACGGATCCTTTTGGCTTTTGTGTGAGTAGGGGCGATCGGGGAGAGGGGGGATGTGTCGTTTCGCAGTTGCGGGTACCGTCGCGCGGAAAGTTCGCATGTACTTGAGACGAAGGGTGGAGGCTTCAGTATTCTGGCGCTGTTGATGGCGAGCGAGGTCTCTGGATCAGTCTGGCATAGGAGGAGGAGAGGAGGGAAAAAGGATTGCAAAATTGGGCGACAGAGAAGCGGAGCTCAAGAGGGAAGCGACGACAAATGGACGTGATATCATGAAGGGTAGACTACGTGGAACAAGGAAGGGCTGGGACGAACGGGCGTGAAGTGGGAAGAAAGGAAAGAGGACGACTGGGCGGCCAGCTGGGACGGGGAGGATTGGAGTTTGGGTCCTTGGACTGGGACTGGGACTTGGACTTGGAGGAGTACGAAGTACAATGGCCGGGTCGAGTACGAAATTGTTAAGCAACGCAAGGGGGTGGGGGTGGGTGTGCCGGGTGCGAAAGAGACGGGAGCGCGAGAGAAAGAGAGAGAGAGACAACGGGAGAGATGAGAGACAGCCCAGGCACTGCGCTGAGTGGTGGTTGCGGTTGTGGGTGCGGGTGCTGTGCGGGTGCAGGTGCAGCAAGCAGCAGGCGCAGGCGCAAGCGCAGGAGCAGGAGCAGGCACTGGGAATGTGTGGTGTGCATATGAGGTGTGGAGGGTGTGTGGGCTGGGTGGGTAGGCGGGCAGAAAATGGCAGCACAAGCGTACCTACAGCGCACCCCCAAATGCTGCTTGCAAAAAATACGGGAAAAGAAGGCAGGCGAGCGAGTGAGCGACTGAGTGGTAGTGGAAGGCCACGCGGGCAAGGTAGCGAGTGCAAAGTACCTTTACCTTCCCATCTCAAGACTGGAAGCCTGCCACCCCCCGGCGGCGGCAGCAGCAGATGTACGCAGAGACGACTGACTACCCTACCAGGAGGTATCTGCACTGTACCCAGGTTCTTAGTTCCCCCACATGGGCCATGCCTCCCCTCCCGTCAGCCTAGGTACTAACCCAGGATGCGAGTGCAAGTACATACCTTACGTTGCCAACCAAAGCAAGGCGGGACGGAACAAGAAACAGAAATCGAAGCTCTCCAACCCAAGGAAAAGCTATAGGAGTGTGACTTGACACCGGGCTAGCAAGGCAGCATCCACTTACCGCAGAGTCTTTTCTTCTCGTACCCTGGAGTGGCGACGGAGAGTTCGAGCGAATGAGTAAGTGAGGTGGGGGAGGCGACTTGAGTCCTCGGCACTACGAGTGTTTATGGTGTAGTGTAGGCGCCTTTCTTTTCTTTTTTAATTTTCTAGTCTGGAGAATGAGGGTTTTTTTTTTGGTCTTCTTCTTCTCTTGGGTAAGGTTAGCAGCAGTACATCTACCGGGCGTGGTCACGAGGAGATCAACGCATGAATGGAGATGGTGTCAGTGAGAAGTTGGGGAAGGAAAGGCATTGGCGAAAAGAAACGAGACGAGAAACAAGAGAGGAAATGGCGAATGGGGTTCGGATTGACAGAGGAGCAGAAGGAGAAGCAGATGGCGGCGGTGGTAAGTAACCCAATTGGCAGTTGGCAGTGCGAGGTGTCAAGATGGTGGCACTACATGTTGTAGTATGTGGTGTGTGGAGTGTACCTACCGTATGAGGAAAGGAATGGAAGCCATGGAAGGCGACGGTTCCTTACCACCAGCACCAGGTACATTCGAGGTACGAGGTCACTTCTGATCCGGTCTGGCGTGGTCTCGTCTGCTTTACTACCTAACGCAGGTAGCGCGTGTCTTCCAAAGCCAAGGATGTACTGGCGCCCCAACCTTGGGAGGAATGGATGGATGCAGAGGGGAGAGCTCGAAAGCGCTCCGGGACCCAAGACGACGATCCAGAGATGGTAAGGCGGATAGGCAATGGCTGATTCTTGCTATCTCTCCCATACAGAGGAGGCAATTTCCCCAGTCAAAACTACATGTCGAAGAGGGAGAGGCAGAGGCAGAGGCAGAGAGAGGGCTCCAGCCCAAAGAGCTCAGGAATTCCCCAATCCCGTGCTTGTTTTCAAATTTCGATCTCAGTTCCGTGAGAAAAAAAAATATATATATAGAACCCAGGTTATTAGCTGCGGTCTCGAGACAGGAGTGCTGGATGTGACTGCAACGCCAGATAAGCCAGGGCATGACTGGGCTCGCAAGCGACATGCTTCAGAGTACCTTCAAGTAAAGAAGGGGGCTCTTCTCGGGGAGTCTGTCTGGTGACGGCTCGGTATGTTACTGTACGTTTCCTCTCGCTTGAGAATCTGGCGCAAATACAACGGAGGAATTCCCTACAACCCAAGATTCGTGACAAACAACGGCATGCCAAGACGGGCAGCTCCAGATCCGGCCCTTGTTCGTGTTAACCGTACTCTGCGGAGTGTCGCCGTTCCAAGCATAATAAACTATCCTTGCGCAGTTAACTCAACATCGACGCACTTCGACTCGGGGCAAAAGTCGACGGAAACCAGATCAAAAAGCTCGGGCGCGGGCGACTCTACGATGGATGCGGGCCACGCAAAAATAAAAAATAAAATAAAAAATAAAGCGAGGCGACAAAGCGGACAATTGGAGACGTATTCGACCGAGTCATCTGATAGGCATCCGTCCTGGGACGCACAGAGCAAAAGTGATGGCTGACGCTCGTGCTGGGTAGCTTGTTGAGCAGCTGGCCGGCGGGAAGGAAATCAATTGCTGGTGCTATTCGGAGGCTCAGGGGCCTAAGATAGGGTGCGATGGCATGCTGGAGACTTGTCGGACTCAGAATGTCAGTGCCCGTCGGAATCAGAATGTCAGATCTGGATTCAGACAAGCACAAGCCCCTAGCAGGCATGGGACGATGACGGAGGGGAGAGGGAAAGATGCCCGCAAAAGGTACCTCTTCCCACAGTGACTGACCAACCCACGCTTCCGTTCCCATGGGTGCCCGTGGTCGCTAACTCGCGCCCTACACTCACTCTGCAATATGTGAGCACCGCACCTCTTTACATGCTGTCAGTAACAATCGATGACTGACTGATCGATTGATCGATTGATTGATTGATTGATTGATGGATGGATGGAGGAAGTGGTCGAGGTAGGTCGTGGAGATGTAGTGTGAGGCAATGCATCACTGATCGGCCGCTGCAGTTTTCGGGCTGCTGGTGCTTATCTCGTGTGAGGGGGGCAGCAGGGTAGCAGGGGAGCATGGCAGCAGGGCAGCAGGCAAGGGGGCCGGCGGCGGGGGCAAGGGGAAGGGCCCTGCACCCAGTCTTCTGGCCGCCTTCTCGAACATCGATCGAAAGTGTGGAAGCCTTCCAAGGAGCCACTTTGCCATGCAGTCGAGGGGGTGCACCGGGGATGGCGACTGGAACCACTGGGAACAGTGTTTGCAGGGGAGAAGCACGTCAAAAGCAAGGGCAGGGGGAGGGGGTTGACGTCCATGGAATGTGCTCCGGTACCTCGACCAATCGACTACCTCCCTGCTGGTTTTTCTGCCTCAGGGATTCCAACTCATTGGGTCAAGGCACCTCCTACTGTGTACAACCAGGTAAAGTACGCTAGGTACCTCAGAAGAGACGCCGTAGCGCACCGGCACCCACCTTCCCGCCCGCAGCCGTCTCTGACTGGCGCAACCAGATGCTGGATGACGCCTGCTTCCATTTCAATTCCGCCTGCACGGCGTGCCTGCCGTTCTGAGACGCGTTCCTCAAGGCCTCAACTCACCTCGACGCACCTCGGGCAGATGCACATTCAAGCCACCTACCTCGGTGACTAAGGTCGGGCATCGGAAGGTTCCTGACGAACCCAAAGAGTCTCGCAGTCGTGGCTTCCTTTTCCTGTTTGTACAACAACCGCGATGCGCACAAGGAAATATACATGTCTTAACCTTAGCAACCAAGCAGGTGGGAATACCTAAGGCAAGTAGCCTAAGGTAGCTGCCTAGGTACCTTCGTACGCACGCATACACGCACACACGCACGCACGCAGCCAATACTGGGAATGCGCGGGAATGAGCATCGAGACGTCCTTTTCGCCGAAACTCAAAGCACGCAGATGAAGTTTCTCAAAAGAAACCAAAAAAAAAATAAAAATTATAAAAAAAAAAAATGAAAAAACAAAACAAAATAAATTGGTCTAGGCGCACGTCCGCTATCAGTAAGCGCTACTTGCACAGTCACTGCGTGCGATTTTCCACACGACATTCGACATCCAACTTCCCTGGTTGGACCCTGTTTGAGACTGCCCAAGTTACCGCCTTCACCCTCGGGACTCTCCCGAAGCGTCCCCCAATCAATTCGAGCAGAATACGCAACTTTTGGCCCTGAAAGCGACAACAGGATCCGACTCCATGCTACAGCCCACCACGTCAGTAACTTGATAGTGGCCAGGTGCGTCTACGGAATAGGTACGCACACGCACATGGCATTGCGTCGTTTACCAGGTTGCAACCTGTGTGCTGCGTGTCGCGTACATGTCGCTCGTCCCGATCTGGCCTTTCACCTCGTCAGTCTTCCATTCCATCTCCATTTCCTGCCCACCGCATCCAACCACTTTCTAACACAAACCGCATTCTAGTCCACCAGGCTTGCCCATCTCCTCCGTCTTTGGTCGACTATTGCACACTTTTCCCCTCCTCCCCCTCTCAAGCATGCCCTCAAGGTGGCCGCCCTCGTCTCCAGTCGCCGTCATCAGTCACGCTGCATGCGTTCCATCCGCCAAAACTACATTTGGTTTCAACCCTTCCGCCACCCTGCAGGCATGACACCAGTCCCCTCTCATGGCTCTCTGACTGACTGGGAGGCACGTACTCGAATTGGTCTTTCAGTATGTCCGTCCATTGAGTCCCCCGGCCTACGCTTTCACGGTGGTATAGCGCTGGAAGAAGCGTGAGAAGATACAGGAGCACAACCCCGAAGCTCGCGACTCGCATTGCCGATCCTCTCTCCTCACGCGTGCCAGGTCTGGCCTGCCACGCAAGGAATCCACATTCTGCCCACTCCTCTCAGCACTGAGCACAGCAATCAATCATGGCAAACAAGGTCCTGTGGCTCTGTTCTTGTTCTTGCCCTGACCGCAGATTATTACCCACTTGTCGCAATGTCGCCGATGACCCATGATCCATTTCTTCTTCGTGTCTTCCAGAAGTAATGGAGAGGTGGGGAAAGAGCAAAAAGAAGCCTCTCTATCGGCGTCTTTTCTGTTTCCCTGCGGATTACGCAAACGTCCCCTGGCCTGTCATTTGCTTTATCTTGCCCCGTCCCGCCCTGCCAGAACTGCTCGTGGCTGGCTGGGCGTCGGCCCACCGTGTGTACACTTGCACATATGCAACCGCAAGATTCGACGAGGTACACTGTCATCCTCCGATTTTTTTCGTGATGAGCACCGTTGCCTGGCTCCCTGTCAGCAACATGTCGACTCAAGAAACACGCGAAGTGACTCAACGCAGTAATCGGACGGCAGGGAATCTGTCTCTTATTTCGCACGTCCGCGGACGAGCAAGAGGACTACAAGGACATCCCGTGCAATTGCGGCTGCAAAACCGCCGTTATCTACAGTGTTCAGTAGAGGCCTTCTTAAAGAGGACCCCTTCGGATCTCCATTGATGGCTGGACTAGAAACACTTGGCCACATTGGTCACAACCAAGATTGAGGGTTTCCCAGCACTCCTGACTTCGCAACATGGTACTCCAATCGCTACCACCCGGAGTTGGGGTTGCTGATAGCTTTCCATATGACTGCCGAAGCTCCCCTTCCCACCTGCACGTCAGCGTAACACCGGTATCGAGGCCTACTATGGTAGCTGTCAGAGAGGGATGAAGAAAGGCGCTATGCCTCATTCGAAGCCAGCGTGTCACGCTTCGCTTTCGAGCTTGCCACCCACAACGCACAAAGCCAGATCGGCCCATTTAGCCTTACCCGGCCCTTCTTATGACAGTAGGGTGAAAAGGCCTTTTCTGTTTGCGACCAGATCAACCAAGTTGAAGAACATCCAAGATATTTTCGGGGATGCAAACGATGAGCCGATGCATTTTACCTCCTCCCAGTCTTTGAGAGCATTCTCTTGAACCGACACCTCAGCTGCACTCAGTGAGTCTCAGTCCTTAGCTTGTACGCGATGCTTGTCTACTTCGTCGACCTTCCTTATCGAGTTATAGTCTTTCTCTTATCCGTCTCCCTAGCCAGTGATAGCTGCTATGTTTTTTACAGATCATTTCACAGGTCACATTCTGCACCCTTGACAGATCCATGCTATTGGCTGCTCAAGTGTGCAACCAGCCAGTCGCCAAGTATTCCAGAGATATTCTCAAGGTGGGGCATGGCTTCAGCTTCTCGGTCATAACATCTCGACCTCCGGCCCATGAGTTTCATCATGGTTGGCATTTTGCTGTCTGGGACGAATAGCTTCCTGGACTTCCTCTCACGTTCTTCCAGCCACCAGATGCACTTCTGCCGTACCCCTGCACCCATGGTTCATCTCAGCTATGGACCAGTCACCAATAGTATACCAACCCGCCCCCAAAGATGGGATCTGCCAACCCCTCCGACTCATCGCAGACGTGGTTGGTGGATGCGAGTGCGGACCTAAACTTGTTCCACTCATTCCCTTACGACCCCCTCTCTACTGTATTTGCCTGCAAGGGTGTCAATCTGACCACACGACGTACTCTGTAGTGCCTGCATTGGGGGTCCAGAGGAAAACCTAGGTATTACCATCTCGACTCGCAAAGATTTTCGATAGGATTTCTTTTGACTCTAGTCATTAGTGACACCTGTCCCATCCGCCCTACGGGTGTGGGAGTCATGAGACTCCCAAATAGTGACTGACATGAGTTGACAATAAGGTGACATGGTGCTTGTTCAGGCGTCCGGCCGTAGATTTCACGTCCGCGACTGGATCGGCCTCAATACCGCGCCCGCAGTTCTGCGCCCGCGCCCTCCGAAGACATCTTCTGCCGGGCGAAATGCCGTCGTCCATCTCCCGTACCTCTCACCACCACCGTTATACGTCCTCGGAACGGATGAAGGAAGACGTATCGATCCAAGGATTATGACTACATGTTGGCAATGGTGGGGTGGCAAAAGACCTGTGTAAGAGCCTCACTAAGCAGGGTGGTTCCTTTGACGACTCGTGGTCGCCGCCTTACACTTTTCCATGAATGGTCGCCTCGCCCGATGCTTGATCGCACCGTCTCCAATCTTACAGATTTTGGCTTGGGAGTCGGATCTCACCCAGCACCATTTCCTTCTACCCTCTTACTGGACATGGCTCCGGCGCATTGCACCATCCTGAGACGCATGTGCCTTGTCCTGTACGCTGATCGCCATTCGCTCAGACCGCTGATAGGGCAGGCTGATATCGCCATCGCCCATGCTAATTTTGATATAGGACGTTCCTTCAAGGTGCTTTCCTCGCAGGCACGCCAAACTAATCCCGTCATCCCACCTCGGTATTCACAGTTGGTCGCGCGGTCTCATATGGAACTCTTCGAATGGGCAGGTACGTCCCTGGGAAGGTATGATTGACAGTGTGATATCGGGTCTCATGATGCGGTTCTGGTTTTAATTCGACAAAGCGACATTATCATGCAGGCGAGCGACAGATGCTGAGGCTATTGGGAAACCTAGGATGATTACTAGTCGAGGATGCTGATAGTTTGTCACCCGTAGTCTCGTTTCAGCCCTGTCTACCTCCTGTCCAGAACCTCAATTATCCAGGATCCCCGGTACCAAGCTACACTTCACCACGAACATCCCGTGCTGTACCGGAGCTTGTCCGGAGTCACTCCCGACGATCAACTACCTAGTCAACCACTCACCCTGTCGTGATATTGCGCTCTTGCCATGTCTGCCTACCTTATTCGAAAGAGCGGGTTCGAGGAAGCCTGTTCGGTTGATTGTGCTTGTAAAGTGGCCATCGTCCGTGCCCGGTCCGAGCAGAAAGTTGAGGAGTCCTCAATTAGAAACCGCCTTAAGATCGCCCTTACTATGGATGGCACATCCGATCATACCTCTTTGACTCCTTTATTTTTTTCTTCCCTTCCTTTTCTGCTCACTCTTGCATTTACCTGTGTCTCTCTAGGTTGTCATCAAAAGATGGAAAGCTCAAGTCCGTTGCTCAGACTCGTACAGCCTGATCTGAACTTCAACGGCACCTAGCGCGTTACATACGGAAGGCAGGGGAGAGAACAGGAACGGTCCCGTCTCACTGCTGCTGCGCGCCCGCCCGCCCGCGCAAGGACGCTGCATCGAGAATCACGACAAATCTCTCATTATTCCCGGCGGCTTTGGAACGTCTCGGTCATGGTCATCGTGTAGATCTGAATGGAGGAGGACGGGTAGCGAAAGAGGGTAGTGCCGGCGACCCCCCCCCCCCGCTTCGTCCGTCAGAGCTGACTGTCGAGTTGGAGGGCAGAACGGGGTCGTCGCCGGGGGCGCCCGCCCGGAAGCGCGGGGGCGCCGCCCCGCCCGGGGTGGGCCCGCCCCCCCCCCCCCCCCGAAAAGCTTTGGGACGTATTCGTTTGAGAACTGGGGTTCAACGCGGATTCTGAGAGGGGGCCCTGCTCGAACCCCTGATCTCTCTCTCTTTTCCTTCGGTTCCCTGATCCATCACCCCCCACCCCTCTCGCTCCCTCGAATTCGACCTTTTTTTGGTCAATTCAAATGCTGATCTATGTAGGCGAAAGTATCTTCGATAGACGAGGCGCCAGGTTAGTTCACAGACGGGAGGCCCGGGGGTTTAAGTAATGTCGTCGGTGCCGTGCCGCGGGGTGGCTCGTGGGTTTGCGCCGGGTTTGCTGTTGGTTCAAGGTTTGCCGGTTTTAGTCAACATGGTGTAAGCATGAATCGGTGATCAATGCTCACGACTAAGAAGCACTCGTGAGACGCTGACCAAGGGAGCTAAGGGGAGGATTTTTATTTTCCGTATTTGAAAGGATTATTTCCCCCGCCGTAGTGTCGGCCAGGCTTGTAGCTGTGCTCTGTTACCGCAAACATGTTGTAGTTTCGTCGACATGACTTGCATGGCCAAGGGCCTTGCTTCACCGCAGTTTCCGCACCGGAAAGCCGTATGAGCGAGTGCTTGCCTGAACCGTAGCAAGATCCACGCAGTGGTCTGAGGGCATCTCTGGTTGAGTCCTTTTGTTGCAACTGTTGTGCCGGGAGCCGGTGGAAGTTGAGGTTGAGGTCGAGGCCGGGACATGTTTGAGTGGCAGGGCTGAACTCGAGGTAGAAAGAGTTTGTGGTGTGTAGAATAGACAGGACGGCCAAGCCGTGTCTCGTCGTTTGTTTTGATTGAAAAATGGCTGATCAAATTGTGAGAGTGTGAGATTTGAGATCTTCATGTGAGTATACGCTTGAACAGCTTTCCACTGTCGGGGTGCGCGAAACTGGGGCTTGTACGCGTTCTTTCAAGATTAGGCTCTTCTACTTCGGAAGGATTACATCGACCACTGTATACTCTATTTACACCTTTCAAAGAGGCCGCGGATAAATTTTTGCTTTGAAACGACTTTCATTATACATGATAGTATTTATAGTGCTTGTGTGGTCGAGCCGTGGACAAAGCCCTTATATGTCAACAAAGCCATTGACCATCAGGCCCAGAGCAAGGAATCTTGAGTAGACTGAATTGCTCAAAGGGTACAACCATTATGGAAGCAAATCTTTCCCTCGTATGCTTGCGAGTACCATCTGAGCTTGATATGGAGGAAGACCGGAATATTGCCTTACACCTCGTCTATCCCGTCGTCACATGCCCGTTTCCAGAAGGCAGGCAGGAGGACATACAGATATTAGACGCGTTCCGTGGATTATTTTATCAATTTTTCTGCTCATTATTGTCGTATGAGTTGTCGCCCCAGTCTATGCTCTTTGTGTTTATCTCAGGAGGTGTCTTCTCCTGAGCGAATCTAGAACCGATTGGTGTATTTGAAGATGGTTTTGGTCGGTGCGGCATAGCTGTACTTGCCCAGCGGTGACGATGATGTGGGTACAGTCAACGGCTTCGATGCCGAAGACAGTCGAGCTGCCATCACTGGGCTGACGGGTTGGTGCACAATCGGGCTGGCATCGCCAGCGGAAGGATTTCTGTCTGGGACTTGCGGAGCGTCGGGGCCATGATGCTTCTCGCTCTGTCCCAGTGTTGGTTCCTGACTAGCATCACATTCACCCTAGACTAAGCATCGTCCCAGTAGCAATTAAGGCGCGGAGAGATGCTCCGAAACGTGTCAAGAACACGGAATGGAAGCCTTGTAGTCCGATGGTGACTTCCGACGAGGAGTAGGCTCTGCGTGATCGGTTTGGAAGCCAGGGTTTCTTCTCCTCTATCCACCCTCCTCTAAATAGTATAGTAATTTTCTTGGCTGTTATTATAAGTCAGCCAAACATGCAAAACGAGGTGTGCGTACAGGCCGCGTCGTCTAGGGCATTTAGTTTACATTTCTAATATATGCAATAGCCTTTACTGCCTCTAACGTATTCTGGAAGACAAGATATTAGTAAGAAACTGATATTATATAACACAGCTTTCTGGCGGGTTATTAATTATGATTAATTTATCATTCATTTACCCATCAGTACTCGTCTCTCGACCCCGGTTACCATCCTTCCAATCCCAAAGACTCTCGCCGATGTCCCGGAGGCCATCGAAGTTTCCATCCACCCGACACACGATGATGGATCCCTTATAGCCGCTCGCTGCCTCGTCATATAGGAGTCGGCTGAGACCGACGCGGAATGCAATGAGCTCCAGTGGTCTGCCCGCGTCACCAGTCAACCCAATGACCTCAAGAGCCTGTTCGATAAGTTCAAGATTCGCAAGCAGACTAGCAGTGTGCGCTCTTGTCAACAGCATAGTTTCTTTCCTTTCTGATGGTCAAAACTCGCTCCTATCCGGAGTAGTCCCAAGCAGCATGCCTGGCAAATATACTAATATTCAGACATCGCAGCATGAAACATGACGCACTTGAGTCAATACCAGTTGTGGTGATCACTTGACTTTTCTCTTGATTTCACACCTGCACTCTCTGTGAGACGTATCTTTCGACGTATGAAGTGCGCCTGGCGATGGCTATAGCTGTCTTTATCTTTCTTTGTAGTCGTTAATATAATCTAGACAAGCACACCCGGGTGTGATGAGGTGGGAAACTTGTTTACAGGCCTCCAAGCCTCCAAGCCTCCAAGCAATCATAACGGCATCCAAAGCCCGATCGAGCAAGACGCCAGCTGGCAAGTTTATGTTGATCTGTGACGCAAGATTTTTATCATTCTATGTACTCATCCGGGAGTGATCCCGAGCCTTTCAAAGCACCAAATAATCAGCATTCGTCTCCTGGCCGTGTAAGGCTTATAGAGGAGTGCGCTCCCAACTTCTCTCCCAAGCCATGACCCCAGAACGCGAGCTGGGCCATGATACCAGAGGTCATATGTTGGCTAAACAACACATTCCGATTTTCTAAAAACCTTCATATTTGTGAATTTGGCGCGGCACTCTGTCGTAAACTCAGCTTATTGTTATATATCATCAAATGCATAAGAGATTTAAGCTCACAACATAGATTTACTTGCGGCTGGGGAAGCCGAACCCTTCGGAAGGAGAACATGTCACAGGATACATATGGTTAGTACGCATACTCAACTAACAATGCCTCTAGAAATAATGGGAAGGTGTGCCGCGCAGGTCATCCAGCCAGGAATGTTAAGAAACTTCATACAAAGCCAGGTGATTGGTAGCTCAAGGCCATTTCTTTATTCGTAGTCCGTAAGCTACGAGACGGCTTGCTAGTGGTATGAACGGAAGTTCACAACATCATGTCCGCTTGATTTGTCTCTAGAAGCATTATTGGGTTGACTACTATTAGACACCGTGCATCAGCTGCTAGGAAGAAGGCGTCTCAAAGACACAGTGTGCCTTTGGAAGATATACTCCAGCTACTTACATCGTCCTACCTGTTACTGTATTCGACCCCGGTCTTCGGGAATACGCTAAGAAATGTATCCAAAATTGGCGACTTAATGCGTTGCCTTGGATAGCCTAACCAAGCCTAACCAAGCTTGACCGAAGTGGTTTGTTCACTGTGACGTATTTCTGGCCCTGCAGTGAGGCCACCGCGATCTTGCTGAAATTACACTCGGGCTACACGTACATCAGCTTCTTGGGAAAGCACTCAAGCGGACGCATGCTTTCTATGAACGGGACAGAATAGGGCGTGCTATTTCCTGGGCTGAAAAGTCCGACAGAGACTGCACACAAATCTTTGCAGAGAGCTAGAGTAGAAGACAGCAAGCACGGGATGGGATTCCGGGTCATGAGACGCGAACTACTCCTTGTCTCAGCATAAAATCCTACCACGAGAGTCTTCGAGGAAAGTTCACCCAGTAGGACAGTAGTAAAAACTCTCAGTACTGGAGATGAGGCAAAATGTAGCGTAAGCGTGGGGAGTCCCCTGTATTCGGGCTTCCTACTCGCTACAAACGGCTGTCTATGAAAGTGAGTAGGCCAAACCCCAATTCAAGTACCATCGAGCTGTCTTTGACTTTGACACTTTGGTTGTAGCGTAGCAATCAATTGGCTCAAGCAGCGTTGGATCAGAGAGACTCTCGTCATTTGCAATGTCCCAGTATTCAAAGACGTTTTGATCTAAATCTATCTTTCAAATTCAAGCACGCAGATATGAGTCTCGAATCCTGAGGATGTACACCAAGATGAGACGTATTCGAAAAGCTCGGCTTTACGACACTTAGAACGCGCCCTAGTCCAACTGATGATGCAAATTCAGACTTCTGGCACAATAGCGGCTGACTTGACTTTCCGGTCAACGGAGTCGCGAGTCATCGACTCCGCTGCATCTCTGTCACCCGCGTCGGCAGCTTCAATTACTGTAGTCCTGAACAGTTCCCTCTTTGGCCTACAAGCGTGGTCAGAAGCAGCCCTGGGTATCGAACAGGTGGCTGGGTGGACATACTCGAGATGCTTGGCATCAATGTAACGAAGCACACAGGTCATGATAATGACGAGGACACCGATAGCGATAGCTGACTGCCACGCATACTTGTCTGTGTGAAAGTCAGAGCCATAATCATCTTACACGGGGTTGGTTTCCACTTACAATACGGAGCTTGAGTGGCCGGCCAGACTAGGACCTGCGACCAGGCGGAGATGGCGTAGTACCCCGCGATTGAGACTCCCACGATGAGGGTCCTCGCCTCGGGATCATGGGGTAGGATGTCGGCCAGCCATGCGAAGATGAGAGGCGCGGTTCCCATTGCCGTGAAGAGGATGAAGTTGGACGCGTAGGCTGTGGCAAGCGGCGTCGTGGTGGGGTGCGAGGACCAGATGCTCATGGCGATGCAGCATGCGATGCCAATCACAGCTGTGCCGAGCGTCAGACCGGATGCATGATTCATTGGGGGAGTGAAGGAATGCTTACCCTGAACAACAATGAGAGTCCATCTTGTCATGAACAGGTCTGACAAAATTGCCCATATCCAGACTATGAAATGAGTTAACCACGCCCCTGGCCAGGCTTCCCAAGAGATTGCGCACGTACCGAATAACACATTAATCGCGCTTCCACCGATAGGAATGGCGTTGACATCGGATGTAGTCCACCTAGGGCTTCCATCCGAATTCTTCAAAGCTTTCAGGAACAGGCCAAAGTAGTTGTTGCCGTACGACAAGAGGACAGTCGCAATGTATAGGATAGGCACGAAGTAAATGACCCAACTCTTGAATGCGCGCCTGTTCTCGGTTAGCTCTTTATTTCATCGGGAAAAGAATCAGGTTCGTCGAACCTGGCGGCGGCCCATGTCATCTTCTTGGGCTCTGCTTTGCCATGACGCTCTAGGCGCTCCATGGCAAGCTCGGCGTGTCCCTTCTTAAACCAGAACGCACGTGGATTGGGGTTGTTGGGTGTATCGGGAAGCAGGAAGAAGCCCAGAGCGCCAACGCACACGGTCATGATGGCATTCACGACGAAGAGCCAGCGCCAACCAGCCATACCTTGCAGTGCAAAAAGAGTCAGCCTTTGCTTCACTTTATTTCGTCGAGTCCCCCCCAAAAAAAAGCTCATGTCCATACCGTGTAGTCCATGCATGGAGCTCCTGATAGCAACCTGCAACGCGCCCGACATCATGGAGCCCACCGCTTGGCACGAGTGGTAGAAACCCATGCGCTTGGCCAACTCGGACGGGGTGTACCAGTGCATCAGAAGCGTCATCATGCCGGGCCAGGCACTACTCTCGCAAAGACCGAGCAGGACACGGAGCGCGTAGACCTGTTGCGCGTTCTTGGCCAGCGCAATCATGCCCGTGATGATGCCCCATAAGACCTCGAGGCCGGAGAGCCAGTAGCTCGGTCGCACGTAAGTCAGGATGATTTGGGACGGGATGAGCATGACGCAGTAGGCGACGTTGAAGTACGTTGTGAAGCTGAGATGAGACGTTGGTGAGTTGAAGCCCCTGGAGCTTGTCTTGTCATTGGGGTCGGACGCACTAGTTGAGCTCATTGCCGTGGAGGTTGAGGTCTTCTTTCATGCCTGAGACGTAGGCGTTGCTGATGTTTGTTTGGTCAAGGTCTTGATGCCGCCAGCGTCAGCGAGACTGTCCCTTTCTCTCGAGTTACTGAGTCACTTACACTTGATGACTAGGAAGTGAGTTAGCATAAGTCGACACACGAAGGATTCCGTTACTATTCACCCTGGGAAATGCAACCAAACGTCATCAAAAATATGTCCAATCTCCTGACGAGCTTCTTCTCCTCTGGCGTTCGCTCATGGCGTGCCGCGAAGGCAAGGCTACCAAAAATCATATTGTCAATTGGCTCTTCAAAGATTTCCAACGTCTCTAAATGGTGGCATCACGGGGGAGAACACGGTGTATGGCGGTCAGGGCAAAGGTCTCCCGCCAGACCTATATAAAGCGCGGATCTTTACATCTCTCTGCCCACCGGGACGCATTTTCCAGATAAGACAGGAAAGTTTCCCGGTAAGCTGCTACCCCATGTTTGTGGAAGTTGTCTATCTACCCAACCCTGGCTTACGCTGCAGAAGTTCCGTTATCACCTGATAGGAGGAGGTTACAGTGTTGCTGGGACCTGTAGATAGTCTCGGGAAAGAGGGGAGGAACGCCGGTACACAAACGCGGGCCGAGCTCTTATTGGAGCGGCCTTGGCCGCCCACAGAGCGGCGGGCCCTCCGACGATGCAGATACCCCGGGGCTGGTCAGCTGATAAGGATTCTCGCCTCCTCTGACTAGGTAGCATTGCTTTTCTTAACATTCATTATTGTTATAGCTTGCTCCTTGGGCAGTACGGTTGAGAGACAGGCAAAGACAAAGATATATGCAGTACGTCCGTATGTGCTAAACGATCTTCGGTCTTCTGAGGATTTCGTCACTCCAGTCACAAACTAGATCGGGGCACCGCAATCGTGTCACACAAATATATGGCACATGTGCGCGTCCAGTTGCGGCAGCTGGTGCATCCTGTTGCCATTATCGCTTCGAGGAATCAGGGGGTTTGAGAAGTATGTGGCCCCATATGTGCGGGAGCGGAGCGATGTTTGCCGCCTGCGGATCGGAAGCGCCTCCGACTTCGTCTCCACCGGCATGTACTACGCACGGCACATATCAGATTCGAGCAGAGGTTGAATCATGGCTATCGTCTGCCTTATCTCGACCAGATTGACCATCCTGCGGACATCTTCGCCCGCATTCGCGAAACCGAAGCTTGGTCTGAAAAAAAGAGTGCCTAGCCACCAGCGAGGATTGTCCGCTCATCAGCTTAATAAGGGAAATGATGCGTATGCGGCTGTTGATGCAAACTTGGTAATGCAATTCCGATTTATTTGCTTCGGGAGTCCATTCATGACGACTGATCTTCCAGTTCTAAACCCCTGCATCTCGTTCTGGCGACAGACGACTAGATCATATTCTTACCTCATCCACAATGATGAAGGCCCCATACCGAAGGCCGCAAAGTATGTCATTATCGGCTCTGGAATCTCTGGCGCGTTGGCAGCCTTTAAGCTGGTTGAGGGCGGTATAATAGGAGCAGATATCGTCATCCTCGAAGCAAGGGAAGCAGCCAGCGGCGCCAGCTCTCGCAACGCAGGGCATATTCGACCAGACTGCTTTCGCGGTTTCACAGTCTACAAGTCATTCCACGGCGAGGAGCATGCCGCAAAATCACCGCCAACGAGAGAACCGTATTTCGCGCTGTCGACGACTTCGTGAAGAAGCACAAAGTTCTGTTGGATCTCGTCCCGACAACCACGTTTGGCGTTTGCCTGACTCAGGACTTTGCAGATCACAATGCAGAGAGCTTTCATCCCCTCACATCGAGTTCTACCCGTCCGAGGAAGCTCGTCAGAAGACCAGCATCTCGCAAGCTCTCTGCGCCTACGAGTGGCCGGCAGGTTCTGGCCATCCCGCCAAACTAGCCCAATGGCTCCTGGTCGAATGTGTTAGCAGAAGCGTGCATTTCCTCACCCATTGCCCAGCAACCTCAGTGACATAATCGCCATCTGATGTAGAGGGGATTATCTGGGACGTCAAGACACAACGAGGTACCATGACGACGCCGACGGTCATCCACTGTACCAACGCCCTTGCATCATGCTTTTGCATCGCACTCGTTGCCGCAGCTCTCATCCCTCATTACACCTGAGCGCGCCCAGGCTCATGCTTTCGTCCCTCCTGCAACCATCACCGGCAGTAAGATCCTAACGGGTACCATCTCCCTCCGTCGCGGCTTGCGATGGTTCTACTCGATCAACCAACGCCGTTCAGACGGCGTCATCATCCTAGGGTCCGCCTCGGCCAGCCCCAAAATCAGTCAGGCGGCGTATGCCGAAAGATAGACAGCCGACGACAGCAAGTTCAGCGAGGAGATTCGCGACGATGCCGTCGCCAACTTCCAAGACTGCCTCCCAGAGTGCAGGCTAGAGAAAATGCGCCGCGGCGAGGGACTGCAGGAAACATGGACGGCTATCATTGGCATGAAGCCCGACTTGGTTCCCTTTATCGGGAGGGCAGAATATGGCGGGAAACCGAGTTGCCAGAGTGTTTTGAGATGACTCCAGAGATACTCGAAAGGCTGAGAGCAACACAACGAGAACAGGCGTCAAAGGTACGAGAGTAGCAGGATGTACGGATCCGGAAATAAATCCAACCTGGTGATCGAAACCTGATTTTGGACGTACGGGAGGATAGAACGACGTTGTACGTTCCTCGAGGAAGGACACCCGCGGCGGGGTCCTACCGGGAGACGCGCACGGGCCGCGGGCGGTGTGACCGCGCGCACCTGCATGTACAACGGCAGAATACCAGAATTTTGGTCCTTCCCAACTTTTGTCCACCCAGGCCTAATTCGGCCCAATTCACAATTCCTTTGCCTCCTGACATATTTCAACAGCGCGATACTTGGTCTCTTGCGCATAACACATATCTTGCAGTGGCATATGATCCTTAGCTGTCTCTCGACTAACATTGTCAAGCTTCGACCTAGATTGTAATAGCTGCGATGCCCCCAAGCACCAACATGGCCCCCGAAACACCCCCGGGTAGAGGTATCTCTTCTCGTCTGTTGACGATGAAGTTCATGCAGAGAGCCGCTGCTTCGGATTCTGCGCCGGAACCTTCACCAGAAGAGCCATCATCCAAGCGGCGCAAGTTCCAAAACTCGCCTCTTTCTGGTGACTTTCACTCCTTCGATCAGACAGCCGTTCAAGCGGCTCTGAAGCAGCAAGAAGCTAAGCGCTTGTCGGCATTGGAGGCGTCTAGAGCCGAGCTTGCAGACACGCACTGGGTGCTTGATGGTTCTTGGGGAAAGTCTACCGAGACTGAGAACGCGCCGCCAAACATTGTTTATGTAGGATACGCGGACATTGATGTTGCCGACGGGGAGGAGGAAGCCACAGCCACTGCACAGGTCGGGAGGATGAAGATTGGGAGCAACAAGAAAAAGGTCATCAAGGTAATGCCGAAAGCCTGGGCCTTGCTGTAATGTAGCTAACCAATGCCAGAATGCGAAGGAGACACCCAAGAAGACGAAGAACGAGTCGAGCGATTCTGATGGCTCCAGCGAATCTGCCGACGACTCCAGCGATGACTCTGCCGACGACGACGACGACGATGACGAAGCCTCTTCCTCAAGCGACGAAGAAGTTTCGATGAAGACACCGCCGAAAGCTGTGAAAGGCCTCGCGTCTGGCGGTCAAGGGCGCACAAGGGTCAATCTCCAAGCGAAGAAATCAAGCGAGTCTATGAAAGCCAAAGAATTCCGAGAGAAGCGGAAGAAGAAGGAAGTGAAGTTGAACCAGCTGGCCTCCATCTCCGGTGGTGCTACAGGCGGCTTCTCCGGAGCAGGAAAACCAAGTGCGCCCTTCAACTGCCACAACTGCAGTAAACCAGGGCACAAGGCCGCTGAGTGCCCACAGCGACGGGGAGGCGGCAAGCGAAAGTCATTTGATAAATCACGATAGACCACTGTTTTGCCAAGCGCGCCTTTCATTTTCGAGATACCCCCTATGTCCGAATCGGGCTTGCTTACCGGTTCTTCTATTCCCGCCTTGCGCCTTGCGAAACGGGAACGGTAGATCTGTTGGCTTCACAACAGGCTCCCGCCTTGCGAGAGATCACGGAGGAAATGGGTTTTGGGATTGATGACAAAATCCTGCTGAACGCATATTCAATCGATGCGAAACGTAGATACGTACTGCCTACCGCGCCGGGCTGCAAAACGCCCGACATGAACCGGCGACATTAATGGAAAAGAAATGACCACCAACTACATCTCCAGTCTTACCGCGCAAGCGACCTCGCAAAACGACGCTTCGGATGCTGACAGACTAACTAGTTCTGATTGAGCTACACGCTATGTGCATCAGATGCAGATCGACTTGAACGTGTGGTGTGAGCCGTCTCTTGAAGCAGGCAATTTACAGCTGGCTTGTCGTCTGCGCATGTACAGGTACTGGCAAGAAGTCAAGGGTAGCGGAACAAGCGCAACGTCTGCCCGGCTTGGAGCACGAACTTTTTCTCTTGGTCAATTGTCTCCTTGGGGAGAGCTATGATAGCCGGGCGAAACGTCCACAACTGCCGATGATAAGACCGACATCAACCTTGTCAACACGTGTTCCTCACATCTCGATGAGAATCTCATGCATCAATCTCTTGTTGCTTAGCCTCCTCGGATACGGCAACGAAGCCCGCATGTGACATGTCGATCTCCTGCGTATTCCAAGGCGCCTCGCTCAAGATGGCAATACGGAAACTCTGGGGGTTACGACCCGCTCCCCCGGGACATTTGAACTTTGGATGGTAGGGTGGTATGCTTTCCCACACGACGAACTTCCTGCCTGTTCTGTAGTGAATCTCGTCCAAAAGCAAGCCGTTCGGCTAAAACACCAGTTGACGCCGATAGGAACCGAACCCGGCTCAACCTACCTACTAAGCGAACTTCTGCTTCCACACTCGTACTTTAAGGGATTGTAGTATCCTCACATAAGGTAAGCAAGCTGACTTCCCTTTTAAGTGGGTAGCGGACTAGACAGGTCACCACCGGGCCGATCATAGCTGCTCGGCTGTGTGATATAGATCGTCTCCTCCTCTCGATTAGTATTGCTGCGTCACGGACTCGACAAGTGTCACAAAAGTCAACGCTTGAGGCTTAACGAGCCGCTTGTGTAACGTTGCCGCCGAAGAGTAGTCGTCGAACCTCAAAAGTATGGAAGGGACGTATCGGTCAAGTGAACCTCTGGAGCCTAGAAATGCATTGCTGTGTTAAGCCGACGCAAAAGATCTTCATTAGCTGATCGGGTTCAATGGTCAAGTGGCACCTGGACGGTTCGATACCATAGTGCAGGCTACGATTCAAGCCGCAGTTGCTAACCGTCATGGCCGAGGCTAGTAACTCGACGTCTGATTGGTACAAGGTTGCTATGTCACGACGAGCATGGGCGTATTCGTTCGAGGTGAGATCAGCGACACAGTCGATTCAGACATGATGTAGAATAACAGGACGCAGCCGTTTACGAGATTGACCACTTTGCCAAAGGGACCGGCGCGGCTCTCCGTATCTTGCAATACATACATCGAATCGGTGTTGCTCAAGATTTCTCAAATTCGTTCATCAGCATTCCTCCGTTATGAAATCGAGCTCGGGGTGCGAAATGCATGGCAGGCCGGCCGCAGAGAGTGATGATGGAACGTGTCAGTCAGTCCAACATCCCAGCAAGATCCCTAGGCCCCAATGTACGCAATATCGTCAGACCTGACAAGGGACGGCCGGCCATATCTTCCTATTGAGGATAGCGCAGCTGCATCTTCATTGGGGGAGCTAGGCGAGCGGGCCTCGTTATTTTAGTAGCGAAGAGGGGTTAAGAAGAGGGACTCAACGTCGGACGTGAGAAGAGGAGTAAAAGGCAACATGGTCCAACGGCGGTCAGCTATCGACGGGCGGCGGTCTGGAAGATGGACAGGTCAGGTCGTGCCTGTTGCGGGTTCACAAAATAACCAAAGTGGGCGGCCGGGAAGACGGAATGACTCGCCGATCCGTGACGAGGGACGAGTCTGGAAACAGTAGCCGGCATTGTCGAATCGATTGCTCTCGGAGCATCTTCCGACGCACACCAGTTTGCCCAGCTTGCTTTTTCCTGTCGCCCGGAAAGATGCAATCAATCAGTTCTGGAATCGGGGGATTTCAAAGTCATTGGCGCCTTTAAGGTTTGATAGTCAGCACTGTTGCGGCGGGAGACTCTCACTCGCGGAAGTGAGGGCGGGGCCAAGGTTACATGGCCTGTTTCTGTTAGCGGGCTGGATCATGGGTGGTTTGCAGTTTCGACTTCCGTGGATGTCTGAGAAGGATTGCAAGGATTTTGGCCAAATGCGGGCGTCGCCGTGCCACCCGCGGATCGCTTATTCAAGGCATATTCAAGGCACCGAGGAGGTTTCTGAACCTACGGATTCTGAACTGATCCCACAAGTGCCGATGTCGACACGGAATGTGGGTCACGAGATCGATACACCCGCAGCGTTCCATATCCCTACAGTAACGCAGATGGGGAAGCTGTTGAATCGGTGTAAGATCAACGAGCAACGCCATGTATGCTGTCTGACCAAGCTGGCTAATAGTCCGTACGTCTGCAGGTATGTCCAGGAGTGCAGTCGGCCGTGCATGGGAGAGGCATGGCATCCCGCCAGACGGATCGAATCCGAATCGCCGCCCACAGCTTAGGGCTGCACAGCTAATGTTCGCTAATCCGTCTAGCATTCGTGTGCTGCTGCTGTCTGCTGCTCTAGTCGGGATGTGGGTGATTATGGATTGGCATGCCAATAGATCGAGGCGATCGCCTGTGATGTTTGGTTTGAAGCATGTGAGTAAGAAAGTGTGGCAGGCTAGGTTCGTCCAATGCGAACAGCAGCACACCACCACACGATGGCTCCATCCATGCACGAGGTCCGCAGGCTTGGCCTCCTACGGCGGGCCCTTGTCTGAAGTGGTCAATAGACGTTGATGAGGAAGATCCAGTTAGCCCGGCCGGGGCTGACAAAGTTATTAGAAGGTGATGGCTTGAGGGTTCCTAACAGGCAGAACTGGAGATGCAAGTTGGGGTGGGGGAGGCATCATGGGTATGGAACCTGGGATCTTGAACCATGACTGAAAGTTGCTGACGACCCCTCTTTCACGAATCACTCGGATCTATATCCAAGTTACATCCCTGGTAGAAGGACAAATCCGAGCAGCTGGAACGATTATATCACAATTCGCTTACAGAAAACTCAGTCTTGCTTATCTCGACGTTACTCACGCTACCTATGTTGCTTTCGAGTTGACTTTCGAGTTGACATCACCGCAAGCCAACCAAGTCCGAGCTTTCTCAAAAGTTTAGCAATGCAGTGATGACGGCCCTGGAAACCCAAAACGCAACCAGATTGCCGGGAAAGATGCAGGGCAAGGGGGAGAGGGGTCTGTTTTCTCCCCGAACGGCGAAACATTCGCAGGTGGTCGGCCCCCCCTCCCCTGTCCGCCTGTCTCGCCAGTTTTTCTTCTTCGGCGAGTGACACCCGAAAACTGCAACATCCGACTACGGATGGGCTCTCTCTTCCCCTTGTCACCGCCTTGCCCTTGATCTTTGCTCATCAGCCAACAAAAACAACTGGGGCTGACGAGATCTGACAGGGGGCGCGGGGTACCCAGTATCATGGCCCCCTTCAGCGAGGCTTTCGAGGAGGTGTGGCCGGCATTTCATAACCCCCAACATCGCCACGTAGTCTTGCATCTCGGCATCAATTTTCCCATCCCACGCCGACGGTTGACGTCCGAATGGCACCCTACTGAGGGGAGGGTAGGAAGGAATGTCGGTAGAAGAAGAAAGAGATCGATCGCAGGAGGCCGAGAACGTATTGTCAGGGGGAATTACCAGAGACAGCGGGCCAGCCCGAGTTTCCGTCGCGCCCATTGCTTCTTCCGCAGAAGGAAAGCCTCCGATGAATCATGGTAGAGCGAGAGCAAGATCAGCAGTGACACACCCAAGACAAGGAGGCGAACAGCGTGCCGCGGTAGCTCTAACTTCCAAGGGCCCTTTCCACCCCTCTTGTCGCCGCCGGTCCCTTTTTCCCCAGACCGGTCCGCTCCCGCCGCTCCGCGTCCATAGTCCCAAGAAATCCCTCCCAAGGGAACGTCGATAATCATTCGTTTTTGATATCAAACCGTCCCACCGCAAAGACGGCGGCGAGATTAGGATGACCACTCTACCATGCTATACTCCGTGCAAGGGAGAACAAGACGCGCGGAAGCAAGCCACCCGATGGCCAATGCAAGACCTTTCCTGCACCCCAAAGACGGCGGCGCTCTTTTTTGTCCCTAGGGGACTACCGGTACCGGTACCCATGTAGTCAGCTGCACTGGGCCTAGCATTTGCATCACGCATTCCGTGGTACATTATGGAGACCGATTTTCTCGCTTTCCGAACCCGCGAACCACGGACGGGACTGACATGACATGGCCCCCAAGGACTTCTCCTCTGTCTTACCTCTGACATTAAGACGGCTTATATAGCACCGGGCCTCTGGATGTTGTGCACCGTCGACAACTGCGCTGGCTGCTCTCGCCGAACCCACAGTGTGTGCCTCGTTTCAAAAGGACCTGACATTCGCCTATTTTTCCACGTGGAGCCATACCTGGCTGGGGTACCCCGGTGACGAAGCCACAGGACTCCGGAGAGAGGAGGGTGTGATGGGAATGAGGCTTTCACGGCTTCTTACTCAAGAACAGTCCCGCTGGAACACTCGGCCGCATTGATCTTCTTGTCCGAAATGACTCTGCCAAGGGGCGGATGACGGGGATATAACTATGCAAATCAAAGGCCCGACATAAGGTATGGCACACACTTGTCAGATTTCATGGCTTCAGTGCCATCGACAGGTCTGAAATGACTTGTGGAATGCGATTGGGACGTCGAACCAGACAGGGACTTTGCGT